TTGTTACAGAATTTCCTAACAGTTTCATGCATATTTATAATGTGTTACAAGTTTCATGTATAGCAGATACATATTTTTTCTCTTTATGCATACTCGTAGTTGTAAAGACTGCATATGGGTATTTTTGCTCTAGTTTCAGTTATAAAAATTTTGGAAATCTATGTTTAAATACTTCTAGCATGTTCTTTTCCTTTATTCATTTATTTAGTAATTCTTAACGTTCAATGAAAAATGTTTATTTTTCATTGGCTTAAATGCTCCTTTTGACCCACAATCTAGAGTAAAAACATGTGACCGCTTTGTGCGAACGCGTTGCCGTTCCTTATCTTGATCAGTACACCATTTCGCGAGACAAAAATACGAAATCTAAACAACAAGTATGTATAACGTATATAACGTATATAACGTGTAACGCAAACAGACAATAAATAATTTAATTATCACATTGTGATGCCTCTCGACTTGGGAACCAATATTTGTCTTTCTTGCATAATCGCTTCGAGTAAAAATGTATATGTATCTCATTTAAATTTCTCTGTACAATCGAAACTGACGCTTTCAACACTTTATACTGTGCACATAATTGTGGTTAAATTAAATACCTTCTAAAAAAAGCCCCATCACCGGCTGTATATTTTAAATCTTACAATTTTTTACTTACCATCCCTGTTTTTAAGTGCAAACTTAAGGATAAAATGTTTTTATTTTTGACAAAAAGGCGCTCTCGTTTGTGTTTGAAATAAATATTCGCAACAGTTTATTTCACAGGCACACGACCCCTACCTTTTCAACATCTCCATGATCCTTACACTCGGCACGTCACGAAAACAATCGACGACACTCCGCTTCCCGGCGGCGTGCGCGTCGCGATCGCACGGCTGGATTCGCGCGCGAAAATCGATATCATGTCACGTTGGTTCGACGTAACACGTTTTCACGGCAGCGCGAACACGTAGCACGTCGTCACGGCGGCACAATCCCGCTCGCGACGGGCCAGCAGCGTCCAATTCGACTTCCGAAGCGAGTCGCGCTCTCCGCTGTGTTATTTCGGTGGAGATTGGCGCGCGCGCCTCCCGCCGCGTCGTCTGGCGCGAAAGTTGGCAACGGTTTGGCGCGGAGCCCGCTCAACAGTGGCACGGGGCGAGTGGTCACGTGTACCCAACAATGGGCGCTGTGTACGCACCGAACGATAACACGCCGCCAGCTTAAATACATATGTACCCATCGCCGCGCCGCTTGGGTCAAAGGGCGCCGGTCGATTGTGCACAGTGCACGCGCATCTCGTAATTTATTTTGTCCATAATTGTTATTTATGGATTCCGTTGCATTTAATCTCTCAGACAGTAGGGTGTGCATGAACTCGGCCTGTGCTGTCAGCATGTCAGCGTAGACGCTACGAAGTGCACGAAACGCTTGGAATATTAATTTATGATTTAGAATCGGAAAAATGTACTTCATTCATAATCAAAGTCAAAATTTCTTTATTCAGTATTAAGAAAAATTTAAAGCTTATTTTAGGCTCTTATTGAACTAGACGTGTCCAGGGAAGAACCGGCAAGAAACTCTGCGGGGTCGTTATCTTTTTTTTAAATTATATAAGTACCCAAAATTTTTTAAGTATAAAATCAGCAGTAGCCAGGGGACTTGCAAGTGCAGAGCAAGAGTCATTTCCACACATCATTGTCGTCAACGTATTCTTCAACATTATAATAGGACCTTTCCATTAGAATAATTTTACATAATATTTGCAAGTGCTTACGCATAATTGTTTGTGGATGTCATCTATTTTATTATATAATCTAATACATCTACCAAGAGACTATTGTCATTTTCTGGTTTCAGCCAGTCCAAATCTAGATATTTCCAGCATGACAGCAGGGCTCCGACGCGACATTTAACGGTGTGCAGTTTTTAGCGTTATAAAACAAATTCTAAAAGTATCATCGCTTGTCCCCTTTGGGTTCAATGTCCCCCTATATCGGAAAATTCAGTTATCGTGCTTCGTGAATTCCTCAAGGTTTCCATCGTCGTTTAATATTACATAATAATAATTTACATCGATACTATTACATCGCCTTACGTGGCGCCTGAACTCAAAACTATAAATTTTTTTTTTTTTTAATTTATTCAAAGAAAATTGAATATTTATATCGATTTTTAACATTTTTCGCCGCGGCTGGTGACTAGAGACCAGTTCTCTCTTCTTTTCTCGCTCAAAATATGTTAAGCATAACTATTGAGCTAGGAAATGCAGCTAGCGTTCTTGGCACCATGCCGCGTGGATTAGGTTTATTAGATAATATGTAATTTTAAATAGATTTAATCTTTTAAATATTGTATAAATAAAAATCCCAAAAACATTTTTACAGTTCTGCTTGAATGGAAACACGAACTGAATAAACACGGAGAGAGATTTTGGGTCGGTGTGAAGATGCCGTTTAGCTCAGTGATGAGCGTCGTACGCGCAGCGCGGGGGAAGCCGGTTCAAATTATCACGGCGGTGAAAAAATTTTCCTCCAATTTTCTCAAAAAATTGAAAAATTAAATATGATAAAAGTGAAGTCTGCACAGAGGGCATCAGGACTTAGTCCAGTACATGACCCTAAAGTTGATTACCAGACTTCACATATCTTCGAAAATAGTTTTATCGTTAATATTTCGAAAAAAAAATGCAGGTTTCTTCCTGCAAAATAGGCTTTAATTTCTTCAACGACGAGCGAGAAAGAAATCAACAATTAAAATTGCAACTAATAATTTTACTAAGCCCGGAGGGGTTAGAGCTTGGTTCCTCGAGTCTTATCATATCACGGTTATACTCATATTATATGACCCGCTGAACAGTTTCATGCTGTATTATTTGAGAACGCTAGTTATGTCTTTTACCGCCGACTTACGAAACGTCAAAGTTAAGCTATCAACAATCGTTTGGCTCGAAAGGGTCGCCATGAAAGTTACGAAATAATACGCCGCGTACAACTCCGTTACACGCAACGCTTGACAGAAATCGGCAATTTCGGACCAATCTCCCGAAGGTCTGTGTCGCAAGGGAAATTAACTCGAGCCTATAACGGGTCCTTCGCACCGCCTATGTCTATGCTCGGGCTCTCTCCGGCAATGACCTGGCGAATTGTCTATCACGCGTCAGCCTTGACCAAATCGCGCGAATTGGGCAATCGGTCGCGATTAAATTCCGTCGCATTCAATTCGGTCGGGATAAAACGATGGATAACCTCTAGAAACGGCATTGGGTTGCATAGAGATTTAAATAAACGTGCAGTGCGTTTAGAGAAGTTTCTATTTATAAGTTTTGTAGGGTTCCGTACCCATGAGGGTAAAATGGGACCCTATTACTAAGACTCCGCTGTCTGTCTGTCTTTCTGTCTGTCTGTCTGTTCGTCCGTCCGTCCGTCCGTCTGTCTGTCCATCTATCACCAGACTTTATCTCATGAACCGTGATAGTTAGACAGACAATTGAAATTTTCACACATGATGTATTTCTGTGGCTGCTATATAAATAAATAAAAAAAACAGAATAAAAAAAAAAAAAAATAAAGGTATATTAGGGCAGGCCTGCTTCTTTAAAAAAAGTCTTCATGTTATTTTCCACCAATAAACTTTGCGCATTACAAAAACATTATATAAAGCCAATGTCATATTTCTTAATTACTTCGACAATGACATGTAACTTGACAATATAAACATAAAAATATAAGGACAGATTCAGAATGACAGACCTCTGTACCGCTACAATAACATACAGAAAGCAACGACGACCATCGCCAGGCCAAGAGACTGCATTTATTTTATAATCAGTTCCGCTCTACTGAATTCAAACGTGAAATAAGAAATTTTGATTGAGAAAGTTACTTCATTGTGCCGAAATACACAAAAATCTCATTGTGTCCAATGCGATGTTAAGAATTCATCAGTGTCTGGGCTTAGGTTTTCTCTTCCGAATTGCCGATTGGAAGACTTCGCATATCATTACACGCACTATCCTATTTATATCCTTAATTATTTTGGCTCGTTCGCCCTGAGTCAACCGGAAGTTTTACGCTGCCGCGGAATTAAATAAAGAGGTCATTGAATAAGGCGCCGTAACTTGCCCAGCGATAGACAGACTGTAGGCCGCCGAAAGGGCGCAACGCTCGGTGACACGCAATAAAAAAACACGATTGGCACGTCAACTATGCGCACGATAAGCCAGCATACGTGTCTGCCCGTCCGTTTGTCTGCGTGTTGCGTCATGGCAGAACACGTTCGGGGGCATTGTTCAGTGCTCCGACGAGATACTGGCTGCTTCTCGTTGTTGGGTTCAATTTAGCGTTACATATCCGTAGTATATAGCTTTCTATGGTGGTGAGCCGTCAGCTCTGTGCCCGAGCTCTTCCCGAGTTCGAATCCATTAGTGTCGGCATTGCGAAGTACTGGGCGATGATGGAAAATGTCTTCGAGAAAATATTTTCTAATAATACTATTTTACCGTGTCTGTCGATTTGAATTTCATTTTTTATTTGCAACTTTTCAATAATAAACAGCAACCATGGTTACGGTACTGTATATAATAATTCTGTTTCATGATGTGTATATACAAGATGTACTTATTAGAACTGCTACTAACTGATTTTTTTTAATGTAAGAAGTCATCTTCTTACAAGCGTGCTGGCTATTCACCAGACGTTAAGTGATAGCCGCCGCCCATGGACATCTGCAACACCAACACCCGAAGAGTTACAAATGTGTTCCGACCTTATATTAAAGTGAGCCGCGGATACCGCACTCCCCACACGAAACGCTGAGGTATAAAACTTCCACTTCACGCCGGTCTTCTGTGAGGTCGTGGTACTTCTCCGGACGGACCTGCCCATTCTCGCCCTATTAAAGACTGCTGCGCGCAATAAAAAATTACAAGTAATTTCTTAATTCGACTAATTAAAAATATTAACACACTATGGCATCCTTTGAAAGTGTGCCACTAACTATGTTTTCATCTTTCGCAGGACGTACATACAACGATCTCAACCAGTATCCGGTCTTCCCGTGGGTTCTCACCAACTACGAGAGCGAGGAGCTAGACCTCAGCCAGCCGTCCAACTACCGTGACCTCTCCAAGGTAAGGTCTTATTCGACAAATCCTCGATCGAGGATAAGGTAAATAGGACGCACGAGGCTTCATTAATAAAACCTAACAACGAACTAGCTCAACTCAGCCACTAATAGCTACTACGTTTCAACAACGAAGTATTGTAAGACTCTAATGCTCTCTTTAAAAAGTAGTCAGTCTAGTAAATGTAACAGTACCACTTCACGCCGGTCTTCTGTGAGGTCGTGGAACTTACCCGGACGGAATGCCCATTCGTGCAACAGCCGAAGCATTTGTGTGGGTCTACCACATTTAAAAAAGTCGTAATCCGTATTTATTCGCATTATCATTCATTGAGTTTGCAATATATTAATTATTAGCGAACCGCCCCCCCTTCGCGCACTAAATATAAAAAAAATCTATATATCTATCTATAAATTGAACGATCGCTGCCGAACTTACACTTACAGGATTACCCACTGAACTAATCTGAACATAGTTTAAATTTCATCGAAATCGCTCCAGTCGTATTGGAGCCCTTAGAACATACGCACATATCTATTTTTATATGCTCGTACATATCAAGTTAACATATTATATATTTAGATCCGTGTCAGCTCATTTTTCAGGCGCTCGCCTTTAATTAAACATACACGAGTGACCCCAGTTCTAATTCCAGAGCGGGCACCAATGAGATTATTAATTTAAGCACTGACTTATCACGTGCTCAGGCAGCGGCACCTGCATATTATCGAAATAATGGTAAAAAAAAAAATATTTCTAAAATCCTCAACGGGGTCGCGCTTTGTTTCTCTTTCTCTTTTTTCAAAAACATTGCCCTTACTTTAGGATAACATTATCCTGTGTTGTAAGGACGTTTTACAAACATACTCGTTAATTTCACGCGGACAAAGACCCAGATGTGAAACAAGTATCTGTGGGTCACACAAATATTTGTCCCGTGTGGAAATCGAACCCACGCCGAAGCCAATACGTTGTCAACTGCGCCACGGAGTCATGTAAACTCGTGTAAAACACATACATCTTGTGTACTCTGCCCTAATAACCTGCGTACAGACGATGCCTTTGCCCAGCCGTGGGACCTATATAGGCCGTTACTTTACTTTTTCATATTTGAATATGGAACGTTTTACAGCCCATCGGAGCTTTGAACCCAAGCCGCCGCGCGTACTTCGAGGAGCGGTACAACACTTGGGAGCACGAGTCCACACCCCCCTTCCACTACGGAACCCACTACTCCACCGGTGCCTTTGTGCTGAACTGGCTCGTACGCATTGTAAGTACCCTTTTTTGTATTGCCCCCCCCCCCCCCCCCCCCCCCCCCCATCTTCAGAAGATACCCTTACACCTTACATGACAGGGTGGCCATCTTCTGTCATCCCTTCCCAGAAACAGCCCGCCCATTTGTGCAACAGCAAAGTCTGATGCGTGGCCCTACCACACTTTATTTTTAATGTGAAAAGTTGAGAGGCCATTACACGGTTCACGCGATACTAAGACAACCGAGGAGTCTCAGATAACTTTAAGACCTTTGAAAACAATTCGGCCCCGGTTACCGCTGACTAGACGTAACGGAAAAGTATAATACTTCCCGGGGAAGAGTCTGCCCATTCATGCAATAGAGGAAGATATAGCGTGGACGTACCACAGTGAAAACGTTGATGTTGCCATCGATTGCTGACAACAATATCAACTGAGGTAGAGCAACACTCCCGGAGTGTCCTTTAGTGTAGACTTTTTGGAGCGTTTCTCCGGTGTTACTTTGTTGAATATAATTGATATATTATTATGAAACACATTTTATTAAAAACGCACGGGAAATTACTTTGGTTTTTGATAAACAACCAAAAACGAAACAGGTATCGTGATGGAACTGGTTTACAACGCTCGCTTATCAGCATTTTCGAAAAGAGGTACGAATTAAATTTCGCGTTTCCGAAATAAGACGTAGGTACCTTATTTTCGTTTCATGGTCTTGCCACTGACAGGCTCAATTTCTAATCGATGTTTAATGTCATTCGTTTCTAAATTTTAAAAGGTTCCCGCCTCTTGATCTTGATATGATAATGGCTCCTTTTTATACGTAAATTAATTGCAATCCGATTTATCCTTTTAAATAATCGAACTTTGGCAAATGACGAGCCCACAATTTAAAAAGAAAAGACCTTTATTTGAAAAAAATCACAGACCTTTACAACATTAAAGCAACATAAATAATAAAAACACTTCTAATTATAATCTATATTTTTTAATGTAATTGTAATGGCAATAAAGTATAAATAACTCACCAGAACGTTGTTGTTATTTAAATAAATAAATTTAAATTATCACGAATGGGCAGGTCCGTCCAGGTATCTACCACGACCTCACAAAAGGCTGACGTTAAGTCGAAGTGTTACGCTTACGCGTTTCTAGTGATAGGTGCACAATTTATTAAAAGGCGGCACGACATCTGCAACCATACGGATGTTGCCAATGTCAATGGGCGGCAGTTATCAGTGAACATCAGGCGAAGTGACAGATTATTTGCCACTTTCTCACATAAAAAATCATGTAGTAGGTGCCTCCTTAAAAAATACCTGGACGTGTGAACATCATAAACATATAAAAGAAATATTACAAAAAAAACTTATAAGGTAGTAACAATAAGGCGGTCTTATCGATAAAAAGAGTTCTCTACCAGACAACCCTGTGGCTAAAAGTACAATATTTTGGTAGGTGGTGCAAATGATAAACTTACATACTAAGATCTAAATAAACAAAACGAATATACTATATTTTGTATAATAATAATAAACTAATATGTACGAATTAATAAGATACTAAACCTATACTGAACATTCAGCATGATTTTAAGACAATTTAGGTTCATCTCCCTAGCTATGTTAAGGCGCGTCGAAATAAACACTTTAAACAGCAGCGGATCAATGTAAATTGGAGGACACGTTATCGGTGCCCCGTGGAAGTGAGATGTCACAACAATTAGAGGGGGACACGCGACGTCCTCTGGCAGATGGTCCGTTGAGATGGTGATGTAGGGCTGTGCATAATTAAACAATTTGTAGCTTTGTAATCTGAAATATCACAATAAACGTTGAGAACACAGCCACCCTGTTTGATATGTAGAGACAATGATATTATATACATGATATTCTGACGTCCCGAATGGGGTAGTGGGTAGTGTACCTGCCTCCTGCGCAGAAGGTTCTGGGTTCCCACTACTCGCAAAATATTGTGCGATGATCATAGTGTTTTTCTAATTTCTGGGTTTGTTTTATTTGATAAGTTGCCTAGCGAGCAGGCAGTTCACCTGATGTTAAGTGAATGCCGCCGCCCATGGACATCTACACCCGAGGGCTCCAGATGCGTTGACAACCTTTTGAAAATTGAAATTTACCAGACGAAACGCCAAAGTATTTGTCATACTACATCCACTTTACGCCGATCTTCTGTCAAGTCGTAGTACTTACTCGGGCGAGCCTGCACATTCGTGCAACAGCTGCGGGGCCCTACCACTGCTATGACCCTACCACGGCTGTATCTGGGTGTTTATATATGTGTATAACATGTATTTATTGCGTTTCGTAGTATGGACATACGCCATATATTTATTATTAAACGTGATTAGGTAGAGAGTTCACTACAATCAGTACATAGCAAAGTGTTCGCGGACACAGCCACTCTATCTAATAGGTAGAGATCTATCGACGCTTTTGCTACATTAATGTAAACACATTTATATTAACATATCATATACATTAAATAAATGTATATGATAAACACTTTGATACTATGTGTTGTATATTATAGCGACATATGTAATAACTTTGACTGTAATTGCACTTTTAAGAAATGTACGTACAAATTCATCATGTACATAGAGGATGTAGCGAAAAAGTTGCGTATGTCCATGGGCGGAGGTTTAAGCTTGCCAGATAGCTTATTAGGTGATCCGCTTGCTCGTTCGCATCCTTTTTCCATTAAAAAAAATAACCCATAAGCTGTGATAGTGTTTGGTCGTATGCTACGGAGGTTTAAGGTATAAGAGATTAATTTTCTCAAAAGATTTGCAAAAAAATCACTCACAGAGTACATAGAAAAACTATAAGTAGGTACAACAAAAACTTTCGTTAACTAGTGATCGTATTATGAAATTAGTGATGAAATACTAGGTAGTCCAAAAAAACATAAGAATTTGTACAAAACGTGTGGAAGGTTTTAATTAAGCGGCAATTATTAAATTATTTATAAGAGTTCTAACGATTTTACCTTGATCCTAATATTTTAACTATTACTGAACGTGAATATTAACAACCATTATAACGACAATCAGTGTTCAATCAATGTGTCCCTTGGCTCGAGTAAATAACGTCATATCTGGTATACAGTGTTGCCAGCGCCAACATATTAAATTCGTTTCGTAATATTTCCTACTCCCCAACAGTTAACTCGTAAAACAATCATCTTAAAAGGCAAATGCGATACAGAGACCCCAAGACACAGGCATAGCTAAGTTAGGAACAGACATTGTTATCTCACAACACAAGCAATTCGGTGGTACGGCCACGCAGCAGCCTCGGATGTTGCACGAATGGGCAGGCCCGTCCGGGTAAGTACCACGACCTGAAAACCAGCGTAGTGGAAGTATGACCAATACTTTCTCGTTTCGTTTGGTGAGTGAGGTGACCGGAGCCCAATTTTCAAAAGGTTGTCATGTCAACGCATCTGTTACCCTCGGGTGTGGCAGATGTCCATGGGCGGCGGCATTCACTAATCATCAGGTGAACCGTCTGCTCGTTTGACAACTTTTCGCATAAAAAAAAAGCTAGAAGTTAAAAGCACAGCTAAGTTTGGGTCCAACAAGTTGCTGGAACGTCTTTTTCATTTTGATTATGACAGTAAATACAAAAATACAGAAAAGATATGCGGCCCTACATTGGTAATGCGAAACAAAGGGACATATTACTACCATCAAATTAATGCGGAACTCATTTAAACAACTTTTTATTCTTCAAGGATATACACTCGAGTGAATGTGGTATTTGCTAAAGTGCACATAAAAAAATATTAAATAAATGCCCATTGCATTGAAATAAAAAATAACTATATATATTTTAAAGCTTTTCTTTCACATTACTTATATGTGCATTATATATTGTGAGGTGATTTTTATATCAAATGTGGATTCATATTCGTAATTGTGTTCGTGGTGACCCTAAAATTGATTTTGATTCGTCGCGACAGCACTCGGTAAAAGGTATAAAAAAGCCCAAAACATTAGCGAACGGTTCTGTTCGTTTCTAAAATAGAATTGTCTGGAGAAACGGGTTGGTTTTTTTTGTACTTATCGGCTTGTCACGGCGCGTGAAGCATGTTGATCATTATTTGGCAAAGCTTAATCAAAAATATTTAAACCCGGCACATTAGTTTAAGACATAATAACTAAATTAATAGTAAGATTTATAACTTACTAGTATCTTAATTAATATTAAGATACTAGTAAGATTTAATTTAATTTACTGATAATTTATCTTTAGTGTCCACTTCCTATTTTTTTTTTATTTCAGTTTATAAGTGTGATTAACTCTTTTTACCAATGTTCTGTATACCTGTAATATTAATATTAATTAATAAGAATTGGCCCTATAGCTAAGAACACATAAATTATACTACATTTTGTGCTGGTGTACCTAATAATAAATAAATATATCACCAGTGCTAATCTTTTTTTATATGTGAGAAGTTGGTAAACGAGCTGGCAATTCACCTGATGTTCAGTGATTGCCGCCACCCATGGACATTTGCAACACCTGTAGGGTTGCAGATCCGCTGCTATCTTTTAATAAGGTGGGCCCCGGCTACATCACTCACCGGAAGAAACGCTGAAGTAGGTATACCACTTCCACTTAACGCTGGTCTTCTGTGAGGTCGTGATACTTCCACGGACGGGAAACCGCGAAGACTGCTGCGTGACTCTACGACAGTTGTGAATCTCTAATTCCGAATATCTGACTCTCTAATTAGGGTTCCGTACTTAAAGGGTAAAACGGGTCCCTATTACTAAGACTCCGCTGTCTGTCTGTCTGTCACCAGGTTGTATCCCATGAACCGTGATAGTTAGACAGTTGAAATTTTCACAGATGATGTATTCCTGTTGCCGCTATAACAACAAATACTAAAAAACAGAATAAAAAATATTAAAGTGGGGCCATTATTGCCGTTTTATAGATAATGGTACCGAACGGAACCTTTCGCGATTCCAACTCACTTAGCCAGTTTTTAGCAGTTCCCAACTCAAGTATGAAACGTGGACTAATAAGTGATATCCTAAACTGAAGTCACATCGCTGCTTGTGACTGATTGGAGATGGTAAAGAGCCGATGGAAGTGACTACCTTTGCGCATGGCCATCCAGGATCACCACGTGGTCCTATCGAGAAAAAGTAATCATCAACAGTTTACTCAGTATTAACTTTGATGACTCCGTGGCGCAGTTGCCAAGGTATTGGCTTCGGCATCGAGGTTCGTGGGTTCGATTCCATTTGTGCGACGCACAGATAGTTGTTCGAATGGTCTAGGTGTCCACGGTAAATTTGATGTATGTAAAACCGGCCAATGTTTTTTTAAAAAAACTTCAACTTTGCACTGCTCTTTTGCGAGCCTGTGGCACTTCTCAGGGCTAACTGGAATTCTATTCATGCTGCACACTGCCACAGTACTTGCTAAGCCCGTTTTCAAAGTATACGTTGCGACTGTTACAGGAACCCATGACCACGATGTTCCTGGCCCTGCACGGAGGCAAGTTCGATCACCCCAACCGGCTGTTCTCGTCGATCGCGTCTTCGTGGAAGAATTGTCAAAGGGACACCTCTGATGTCAAGGTGCGTAGCTCCTCGGAATAATGATTTAATGGCCCCAAACTCATCCTGTTGTTACTCTGTGCAAATGTTCATAAAACCGTTGAAGTTCTTCTTTGTAGTTCCCATATCTTAGATGAACTCAAGAGCCCCATGGTATCTATAGCTGTGCAGTACCTATGCGTAAGTGATTACACTAAACTTGAATTTGAATTCTGAATTATGTCACTTTATAGGTTTTTTCTTCTACTGCTCAAATAATATTATTATCGTTAAAACCTTCAACATTGGAGACCACTTTCATTTTAATATTCATAATTTAAAAAAAAATCCCATTTGTATAAATCGTTGTAAAGCGATATTATACATCACATATACACATAGAGCCGTGATAGCTCAGTGTCCGGGCGCTCGCCTTTAATTCAATATACTCGAGCAACCTGAGTTCGATCCCCGGTGCCGGCACCAATGAAGTTTTTAACTTTAAGTGCTGACTTATCACGTGCTCCTCGGTGAAGGAAAACATCGTGAGGAAACCTGCATATTTTCGAAATAATAACAAAAAAATATATATTTCGAAAGTATGTGAAGTCCGCCAATCCGCAGTGGGGCCGCGTGGTGGACTATGCCCTGATACCCTCTGTATAGCGGAGGCCTTTGCCCAGCAGTGGGACATGTATAGGCTGTTACTTTTAAAGCGATATTCGAAATAGCTTGTATGCATTAAAGGATAGATGGATGCGCTAAGCATTGCGTGAAATGCGAAAAAAAGAATGTCGATAAAAAAGGTTACATTTTCCTTTGTGCGGCAATCAGCCGTTTAGCTTAGTGACTAAAGAGTCAGAGCGCGAATCCCGTAGTCGCGGGTTCGCTTCCCACAGCTTAAAACTTTTCGTATTTTTTACCACAAATTTCAAATTTTAAAGGTCTGTTGGGTAGGGTAAAATGTCATGAAGTTTAGTCACCTGCAAATTGCTATTTTATTAAAATATAATATATAGAAAATGACATTTCGAATAACGGCAAAACAACGGATGTTAGGACAGTAATAATTTACTGAAGCGAGACTTGTTGGCGAAACCGCTGCTTTACATTGCAGCCCAAACCATTAGTTCTGCCAAAATTATGTTATAATTTACAATCATATCTTAAATTCGCATTTTTATGGATTTTATCGCGAATGCAGCATTCGGGCTTTTGAATCTAAATTAGACGTGATAAAATGCCTTAAATAGTTTTAGTAACCCATTTTATATTGGCACACAAAATGTAATGTAATATTTTCTTAATGACTACTTGAATTGCGTCTCTTTTCCAATAGACCTCCGCTTGTCAGCTCAACATACGCCAATCGGACTATATCACTTGCACCATCAGTTATCACTACTTACGCTGTATAAAACTAATTTATTGCATAAATTACACGCTTAAATTAAAACATAATAATTTATTTAATTTAAAAAAGCTAAAATTCACATCCAAGTTATAGCTGCATACCTTTTAATTAATTTTAAAATTAAAGAACCAATAGGAATTATTTAATAATCAATCTTTATATGCTGTCGCTCCCTAATGCCAATTTGCCCTGGTCTCAAACTGACCCAGCGACGGCCAGTGAACATGACCATCACGTTCTACAAGGACAATATACCTTTTCAGGAGTTAATCCCGGAGCTGTTCTTCCTGCCGGAGATGCTGGTGAACAGCGCCGGCTACAAGCTGGGCATAGCGGAGTCGCCCTCGGGCGACGTGCTGCTGCCGCCCTGGGCTTCCTCGGCCGAGGAGTTCGTGAGGATCAACAGGATGGCCCTGGAGTCCGAGTTCGTCAGCTGCCAGCTGCACCAGTGGATCGATCTCATATTCGGGTACAAGCAGCGAGGTAATTTCCGGACAATTTTTACGCGTATATGGCTTAGCGTGACGTGAAACATCCCGAAAACTAACGTGACAAAGAGTGCACTTACCACCGTATCTTCGGTCGATAGTAAAGACGTTACTGCGTCCGACGTGACGAAGAATGCATTTTGTACCTGTCACGTTCCAATAAGTGTAATGTTAAATGTGGGTAGTTTTTTACTTCGTTTTCAACTCTTTAGTTAAACAAATAAGTGAAGGTACAACAAATAAGTTAGATACGAGAGGGGACAGACGATCGACGAGTGTTGTTAAGCCACCTAGCTAACTACGTTACAGTAAACACTTAGCGTCTTTTATTGTTATTCTGGACATATTAATACCGAATGGAGTCTCCACAGGGCCGGAGGCGGTGCGCGCGACGAACGTGTTCTACTACCTGACGTACGAGGGCGGCGTCAGGCTGGACCAGATCACGGAGCCGGTGACCAGGGCCGCGGTGGAGGACCAGATCCGCAGCTTCGGGCAGACGCCCGCCCAGCTGCTGAGCGAGCCGCACCCGCCCAGGGCGTCCAGCATGCACCTGGCGCCGCTCATGTTCTCCGCCGCGCCCGACGACCTCTGCATGCGGCTCAAGCTGCCCTCCAACGCGGCGGTGGTCCACGTCTCCGCGAACACCTACCCGCAGCTGGCGATGCCCGCCGCAGTCACGGTACGACATCCAACTCCAATCTCCTCACACCCTGTCGCTCTCCCCTCTTTCTTACGCCGCTCTCACACTACATGGCATCCGTCTGCACTGTCCTCACCACCTCTCACTCTACAGCGTCCATCTCTATTCTCCTCATACCCTGTCACTCTCCCCTCTTTCTTACGCCTCTCTCACACTAGATGGCATCCCTCTGCACTGTCTTCACAACCTCTCACTCTACCGCATCCATCTTCACTCCTCTCGCAACCCCTCACTTACGAAATCCATCTCTACTCTCGTCACACCCTGTCAATCTACAGCATTTGTCTAGTCTCTCCTCACGCCATCTCACTCGACGGCATCCGTCTGCACTGTCTTCACAACCTCTCAATCTACCGCGTCCATCTCTATTTCTCTTACAACCTTTCACTCTACGGAATCCATCTCTACTCTCGTCACACCCTATCAATCAACGGCATCTGCCTCCTCTCTCGTCACACTCTCTGACTCTACTCCTTTCATACTGTGCTAGATTCCGGTGGCAATTTCTGTTGCAAGGGCTGACGATCGGAAAAGTACCGAAGTGCTACAGAAGACTCGCATGAAGTGGAAATTTTCATGTGTGATATCTAAACCTCAGCCATGAATTATTGAATTGAATGAATGTGGCTTGGTGCCAATTCATTAACCACCAACACGTCAATCATGATTGAAAAGGCTCTAACTTGAAGAACTGGCCCTTATAAAAGGCAGAGTATAAACTTTCTCCGTGTTGTGGGCAGGTGAGTGCGGCGAGGGCGTTCGCTGCCCACCGCTGGGCTGGCGGTGGCTGCGCCCACTCTGGCGCCAGGGCCGACCTGGCGCCCCACCACGGGCCCCACCACCACCACCCGCTGATCATGGACCCCGTCTGGGGTGAGTGCCACCACCCACTTCCGAAACTATTACGATGTTTAAATTTTTATTGTGCTAATTGAAAACGTTTTTGTGCTGTAAAGGACATAAATTGTTATGTCCTTTGTATGACAATGTATTGACTATATCAATGTATTGACATTTTGTCTAAGAAGGTGGGATGCGAACTGGTAGTTCACCAGATGTTAAGTGATAACCGTTTCCCTTTGACATTTGCAACAACAGTAACATTGCAGATACGCTGCCATTTTTCAATAAAGTGGGCATTTTAGTAATATGCGCCAAGTTAAACGATATTTGAAATTGTATATGTGCTGTAAAGGACGTAACAATAGACATTGCTTAATTTAGATAAAAGACGTCGCTGTCGCAATCAGCCGTTTAGCTTAGTAGTTAAAGCGTCTGGGCGCAAATCCCGAATACGTGGGTTCGATTCCCACAGCGGCGAGAACTTTGTACTTTTTTCTACAAATTTTAATTGAGGCACGTGAGTTCGGTCAGCACTTTAAATTTTAATTTAAAGTGCTGACTTATCACGCCCTCCGCTGTGAAGAAAAACATCGTGTGATAATAACAAAAAACATTTCGAAGATATGCGAAGTCCGCCCTGCCTTGATACCGTCTGTACAGCGAAGGCCTTTGCCCACCACTAGGACATGACGGCCGTCACCTTACCCCCCTTTTGTGTCGGCACGTAGAATCGCTCTCGTCCGCAGCCGGCGGACAACGAAGATATATGAAAAGTCCGTCAACCCGCAGAGGGGTCGCGTGTGGTCCCATGCCCCGATACCCTCTGGCCTATGCCCAGCAGTGGGACTTGTAGGTCGTCACCTTACCCCACCTTTATGTCGACACGTACGGCGCACAACGAAGATATATGCGAAGTCCGCCAACCCGCAGCGGGGTCGCGTGTTGTCCCATGCCCCGATACCCTCTGGCCCGTGCCCAGCAGTGGGACATGTGGGCAGTGGGTTCACCCTACGTTTATGTCGACACGTAGAATCGCTCTCGTCCGCAGCCGGCGGCGGGGCGGGCGCCCTCTCGCGGCGGCAGCTCGGCGACAACTTCTCGCAGCGCGTGAAGGCGCGCACCAACTGCTTCGTCACCACGGTGGACTCGCGGTTCCTCATCGCGGCGGGCTTCTGGGACAACAGCTTCCGCGTCTTCTCCACGGAGACGGGTAGGCGGTGCCACGGCCACGTGAAATCTCTTCGAATGAATACGATCGACGGTAGGGGGGCGGCCCGGACAGTCCATCCAAGGGACGTGTACCCTCTTTGAACAAAATTAATCGATTCTCTTCAACAGTCCGTCCGGGACGTGTAGGGTACTTTGAGGAATTACAATTTTTAACGATAAAAAACCGCACTCAAACCGGAAACTGAAAAACTTCGTTAATACCTATAACATTAGAGGATCGCCCTCGATCTCTCTGATACGCCATCATCAGATCCGGGCTTCCTTATCATGGTCCCACTCTTGGGATGTCTCCTTTCCAACAAAAAAATAATCATCGGAATCGGTCCATAAACGACGAAGTTATCCGCGAACACACATAAAACCCCCCTCTTTTTTGAAGTCGGTTAATAAAATCGATCGATTCCCTTCGATAATTCGTCTGCCACATGAACCCTTTTTAAGCAAAATCAAGACATCTTCAAATTCAAATTCAAATGTCTTCTTCCAATATAGAAAACATTACAAGCACTTATTGATTGCTAAATTAAATGGTTCGGAGAAGGAAAGCCTGACGGAACTGAGAAGCAACGGCGGAAGAAATTCAGGGGGAGATTTTTTTTTCTATCATTTATTTGACATTATAATATGTTTCCTACAATTATATTATAGTACACTTGAATAAAGTAGACATAAGTAGGCCATGACAGTAATAAAACCTACATTAGCTGGATAAAAGTTGCAAAAAAATAAAATGGAATAAATTATTTGATTGAAAAAAAACTAAAGTTAAAATTTCTTTTTCATAGTACAGTAATCCATTTATAAAAATAAAGTTCAATCTTTTATCGACAAACTCTTAATTTAATCCTATTGTATCACCTTCTTAGGCCAATTTACATAAAGAGGTCAAATTTATAATTGTTAGCCTTAATGATAACGTCGATACATATTATACAGCTAGCTACTAATAGTTATTAGGTGATGACTTAATATTATTCGTCGACGACTTGAATCCTTTTAAAATTGGTCCTTCGTGCCGGATTCGCAAATAGAGTAATTTAATCACTACAAAAATTTGTATCGCTCTGTTATGATTCCGATGATCCTAACTACAATTCAATATAAAACATTAATAATGTGTTTTATCCTGCACTTTACAGCGAAAATAGTACAAATAATCTTCGGCCATTACGGCGTGGTGACGTGCGTGTCTCGCTCCGAATGCAACATCACGTCAGACTGCTACATAGCCTCGGGATCCGAAGACTGCACAGTGCTGCTGTGGCATTGGTGAGAATGATCTCTTCTCTCTACTTGTACATATCACATTCTAGCGGTTTCTTTACTGCCTTGAATATCGATAAGAATTTGGAAGTGAACGACGTGTAAGTCCACTTAAGAACAGTTTCCTTTTCGAAACTTGACGACCCGAATGGCGTAGTTGGTAGTGTACCTGCCTCCTGCGCCAGAGGGTGTGGGTTCGATCCCCACAACTGGAAAAATATTGTGTGATGAACATGGCGTTTTTCTAGTGTCTGGGTGTTTCTATATGTATAATATGTATTTATTTACAAAAGAAAAGTATGTTTAGGTATGTTTATCAGTTTTCTAGTACCCATAGTACAAGCGTTGTTGTACAAAAGTTTGGGACTAGAAAATGTTGTGTACAAATGTGTCCTAAAAAAAAAAACTTTTTTAAATACTTACTGTTGTGTGTTTTATCGTTAGAAAATATAACTGAGAAATGAACACTGTCAGTTAAGAACATGGCCTGCCACAGTCCCATATAATTATAGATTATCTAATATGTAAAATTCTCGTGTCATGGTGTATGTAATTGAACTCCTTCGAAACGGCTCGACCGATTTTCGTGAAATTTTGTGTGCATCGGCCAGGGTGGAGAATCGGACAACATCTACTTTTCATTCCCCTAAATGTTAAGGGTGGTCCACCCCTAAGTTTTTTTCTACCCTACAATTAATTTATATGGCAAAACAACGTTTGCCGGGTCAGCTAGTAGATATATAACACCGTCACATGTTACTGGGATAAGTATCTAAACGTTATAGTTCACCGCCATTTACTTGTGAGCCTTGTGGTACGACAATCGAATCAGCTCAAAACTTTTATTCATCGAAGTATAAAAAATATACATTCCTCTAACTTGCAAAGAAACAGGCGAAATCAAGTCGAATGCATGTCAGAAAGTTCTACTCGAGCGTATAGTAACCGCCACATTATATGAAGTCGCATTATGAGTCGTAGGCCTCATTGATAGGGTCGAAAATCCCGTGCACCGGCCAACTCTAGTAAGTACTGACTGGTCATTTAGTCTCAATGTCAATCATCGAAAAATTCGCGAACCGCACACTAAATCATGTCGCAACAAGAACTTAGTAGCCTGCTCATTATGAGCCTTGCGTCGCGGTGGCAAACTGGTCGATGCCGCTGGGCGACGAGCAGCCAACGCATTATGTGCCGTAAAACGTTGTAATAAAGCTGAAGATCCATTTCCCTATGACGACAAGAAACCAGCGCGTAATGAGCCTAGCGGCGACTAGATGAATGTCTGTTGCGCTGGGCGAATGGAAGCCAGTGCATAGTGTGCCGTGTGGTGTTGCAATAGAGTCCTAATATCCGTTGGCACTAACCAAACAATATAACCATGATAGCTCATTGTCCGGGCGTTCGCTATTAATTAAATACATTCAAGCAACCCCAGTTTGTTCCCCGCTGCTGGCACCAATGAAATTGTCTATTTTATGCGCTGACTTATCACATGCTCAGCGGTGAAGGAAAACATCGTGAGGAAACCTGCATATTTTCGAAGTTATAACAAAAAACCATTTCGAATGCGAAGTCCGCCGATCCGCAGTGGGGCTGTATAGAGGCCTTTTCCCAACAGTAGGACATATATAGGCTGTTACCTTACTTTTACTTTACACATCCGAGGTCCGTTTAGTTGTCGGGCAGTCCGTGCCTCCGTCTTTGCCCAGCGGTGGGACATGTACTCATAAATTGAGCCCTGGCGCAGGTCGGCGCGCCACGGGGGCGTGGTGGGCGAGGGCGAGACGCCGTCGCCACGCGCCACCCTCTCGGGCCACGACGCGCCCCTCAACGCGGTGCTGGTCTCCGCCGAGCTGGGCCTCGTGGTCTCCTCCTCCATCAGTGAGTGGCATCCCACCAGGAGTGGACTCTTTTATGACTACCGACTACTGATAGGCATCCGAAAGTTTCTAGACGGTGATACCCGAACGTGGCCTTTCAAAGCAACTGATACACTGTGATAGTTCAAAGTCAAAGTCAAAATGTCTTTATTCAACATAGGCTTATTTTAAGCTCTTATTGAACGTCAAAAACTACCACCGGTTCACTTAACTAGACCTGCAAGAGAAGAACCGAACCGGCAAGAAACTCTACGGTCATATATTTATATTTTATTTCTATTTTATTTTTTTTTTTTTTTAAGTATTGAAGTATACACACAAAATTATTTTAGTATAATTTAGCAGGAGCCAGGGGACTTGCAAGTGCAGAGCAAGAGTCATTTCCACACATCCTTGTCCTCAATGTATTCCTCGACATTATAATAAGCCCTTTCCATTAAGGTGGCTTTTACAAAATGTTTGAAATTATTTAAACATAATTGTTATTGGATGTCACCTATTTAATTACATAGGTTGAAACATCTACCAAAAAACGATTTCCTGGTTTTAGCTAGTCTACACCTCGGTATTTCCAACGTGTCACCACGGCCCCGACGCGATGTGGTATGTTTTTTTGTAAAATGGTGTAAGTTATTTCGTACATACATGATGTTCTCAAGTATGTATAGCGACGGGAGCGTTAAGATGTTTATCTTTTTAAAAATATGCCGAAGGGACTCACGTGGACCCAGGCCATAGACAGCCCGTATCGCTTGCTTTTGCAGTACAAATATCATGTCTAAACCGGATGCGGAACCCCAAAGTAAGACACCATAAGACATAATACTGTGAAAGTAAGCATAATAAACTAATTTAGCTGTTGCCTCGTTTGTTAGTTGCCTGATCTTGCGTATGGCAAAGACGGCAGCGCTGAGCTTTTTAGCTAATTTATCTATATGCGCTCCCCATTGCAACTTGGAGTCAATGCATATTCCAAGGAATGCCGTTGAATCCTCAAGAGGTAGGATGTTGTCATCAATAAAGATTCTTGGTTTGTGAGACAGCTTTGATAATGAAAATCTGATACATTTAGTCTTAGTGGCGTTCAAAAGTAAATTATTGGTCGCAAGCCAGCCCGACACGACACTTAGTATTTCAGTTGGTTGCTCTAATGTAACATCTTTCCTATTAACCTTAAACAACAGTGAGGTGTCATCCGCAAACAAAACGATTTGAGACCTTTTTTCTACCACATATGGCAAATCATTTATGTAGACTAAAAACAGGAATGGGCCCAGGATCGATCCCTGAGGAACACCCATTTGTACTATTGATCCCGATGACAGTATACCATTTATAATTACTTTTTGTTCTCGATCGCTAAGATATGAGGAAACAAAATTAATGGCAGATTTTCGAATACCATAATATTCCAATTTCTTAATAAGAATCTTATGATCTACACAGTCAAATGCCTTGGAGAGGTCACAGAACACACCAATGGTGTCATGGAACGTCTCCCAAGACTGCAGGATATGCGAAATTAATTCTACTCCAGCATCAGTTGTAGATCTACCGTTCGTAAATCCGAACTGATGCTGGTTCAAGATTTCATATTTATTAAAGTGAAATAGCATCTGATTAAGCATGATTTTCTCAAATATTTTACTTAAGGCTGGTAAGATAGAAATGGGTCGGTAATTAGAGGAATTTTCTCTTGAGCCTGATTTATAAACTGACACAATTTTGCTACATTTCATTAATTTTGGAAATTTCCAAGTATCTAAACATAAATTAAATATTTGGGCTAATAAACAAGCAATATCACAGATTATAAGATCTAATGCCCATATTGATACGCCCCATAGGTCTTCAGTTTTCTTTTTATTTAAATTTTTAAAAGTCTTAATAATATCATTCGGACCTATGTGGCAAAACTTAAAATCTGGAATGGAAATATTAACATATTTATCCAGATATGTTGCTGCCTCTGTGGGACAGTGTTGCAAATGCCTAGTAGTTTCAAAAGGTATATTTGTGAAAACATTTAGAAACTCATTTGCAACTTTATAATTTTCTTTTATAACTTTGCCATGTACATTTAATGTAAAATCCGTTTTTTTTTTTTCATTATTTTTACCAGTTTCCTTATTTATCACTTTCTAAGTAGTTTTAACTTTGCGGATAATTTTATTTTATTGCTCAAGTAGTCTGCCTTAGCTATAATACAGACCCTTTTAAAGATTTTTGAAAACTTCCTAACATATTCATGGAAGTTAGGATTACAAGTTAATGATTTTATACTGTATAGATCATAAAGTCTATCCCTGCTCTTTCTTATTCCCTTAGTCGCCCATTCACTGAAAGAAAGTTTATTGCTTAAGGTTATTGTTTTCCTTTTTGGCAGATTTTTATTAAATTCTCTGCTAATCATACTAGACAGGGTATTGAAATCGCCATCAGGATCATTAAGGGTTAATTTTAGCAAGGGTAGTTTATACTTAATACTATCCCTGAACTTCTTAATTCTGTTTTTAGTTACAAGCCTACATTCATTTATAATAAAATTATTCTTGTTATTAATGTGAAAGTCTATTTTAAGGGCTTTATGATCTGATCTAACGCCACTCAATATAACTTGATTAATAATTTTACAATTTACTATTATATTGTCTATGCATGAGGCACAGGATGGGGTTACTCTTGTTGGTTCATTGAAGATGCAATTAAGATTAAAAATTTCAAGAAGTGATAGGAATCTTACTTTGTCCGGTGAATCTGTTAGTAAATCAATGTTGAAATCACCACAGATGACTATTTGATTTTTCATTTTAAATATTTTACTTAATACATCTTCAATAATTAACAAGAAGTTCAAAAGGTTACAATATAATAGCACACTATAAAGTAATAGAACAAGCGATAAGTGGTCTATGTCGTGATGTGGTTTACCTGATCTAAAATGATTACCGCCGCTCATGAAGATCTACGACGCCTAATGGGTTGAAGATATGTTGACAACCTTTTAATAAGCGATTCTAATTGCCTCACTCACCAGACGCAACGCGAAAGGATAACGCTTCCATTTTCTTCCGGTTTCCGGTCTTCTCTAAATGTTCATGTGTATAATTCCGTGTGTGAGCGCATGTGTATGAGAGAACGCGGAGTCAGCTGGTACGACTAGTGTTCCGCAGTGAGTTGCGTGCTCATGTGTGAATTAGTTGTGTGTGCAGTATGAGAGAGCGCGTTAAACTCGAACGCGGTGAACTGCGTGTGTATGCGTGCATCTGTTGGTAATGCTGTATGGGAGAGCGTGAAGTGTGAACTGAAGCGTAAAGTGAAGTGTGAACTGAAGCGCAAATTGAAGTGTGAACTGAAGCGCGAATTGAAGCGTAAAGTGAAGTATCAACTGAAATGTGAAGTGAAGCGTGAAGTGAAGTGTGAATTGAAGCGTGAAGTGAATGAAGTGTGAACTGAAGCGTAAAGTGAAGTGTGAACTGAAGCGCAAATTGAAGTGTGAACTGAAGCGTAAAGTGAAGTGTGAACTGAAGCGTAAAGTGAAGTGTGAACTGAAGCGTAAAGTGAAGTGTGAACTGAAGCGTAAAGTGAAGTGTGAACTGAAGCGCAAATTGAAGTGTGAACTGAAGCGCAAATTGAAGTGTGAACTGAAGCGTAAAGTGAAGTGTGAACTGAAGCGTAAAGTGAAGTGTGAACTGAAGCGTAAAGTGAAGTGTGAACTGAAGCGTAAAGTGAAGTGTGAACTGAAGCGTAAAGTGAAGTGTGAACTGAAGCGTAAAGTGAAGTGTGAACTGAAGCGCCGGCCGGAGCGCCCGTCTGCAGCCTGGCGCTGTCCCACGACCAGAAGTGAGCCCCCACCACACATTCACATTCACGTTCCCACCCACACACGCCCTCGGGCTAACTCCCGTACACACCGATTGGAAGTTAAATGCCCCCATACCCACCCACACTTCTACATTCACACACACATGCGCGCAAGCGAACGCTCGTACACACCGATTGGAAGTTAGGACACGCCCGAGTATCGAAATCGAAATATATTTCCTATTATATTTAGAAAACATTACCCCGCTGTAAGATGAGATGGATTTATGTTGAAGAGACGTTTTACAAATACAGATTAAACAATAACAACAACCAGGTCCGAAACAAAATGTGTAAAGTCGAATAAATGCGGGACATTTAGCTAGCCGATATAACAACTACATCATAAAGAAATAATTGCTACATCCTTGGACTTCTCGCACTGGATTGCGCTTTGTGGCGGTCTGTGAGGGAGGGTACAGCAGTGGACTCAATGATGATGATGAAATAATACATGCGCAAACATATTAACGCTTTCAGCCTTTAATCTTAAATTTACTTCAAATAAATTTATTTTTAATTCTTTCGAGCATTCTTTCGTAATCGCGTCTTTTATACACGAATACAATTCACAATTTGAGCCTGACCATAGATAATATACGTGCCATAGATAACGAACACAAGCTTATCAATCTTGTCCACAAGTTCTGCCTTCGATGAAGCTTCAATCGCCTACAGGCTAACGCAAAAACTTTAGTTAAAGTAAAAGAAAAAAAGCAGAACTTTAAACCTAATCAAGGTTCAAAATTATCTTTTGTATCCTACGGATTAAGTTTCGAAATTTACTTGTTGAAATTTTTCAGGTTCCTGTTGGCTGGCCTAGAAAACGGCTCCCTGGTAGTATTCCACATAGACTTCAATAGATGGCATCACGAGTATCAACAGCGATACTGATCCTTGCGATACCTCAGTTTCGATTGTTAAAAAAAATTACAAAAGACAAGACACTAAAGCAACGCTCACTTTGACATCTGTCAGAATAACATTACTGTTGTATGAAATAACAGATGTCAGATGATCACAATGTTCGAAACTTCTTATGACAAGCACTTAAAGTTTAGAAACGTCAAACGAGTGTTTGTTATTTAATCAAATGTGATTGCTTTGAATACTTTTGATATTTCTAAATTGGAAGTGTCGTATATTAGGCAATAGAAGTTGCTTTTTGAGCGGTAGAAATTGTTAGATTGTGGCTATGCAAGTTCGTGTATTGTTCGACAACTTTGCCCCGTTTCAATGTCATAGCAAATAATGTCATTCTAATTGAGGTTTTGCAAATAGGATGGCGGTAATAATGTCTGTATGGAGAAATCCTCAAGACGTTAGAATGTAATAAAAATAATGTCAATATAATCTACTTCCTAACAAGCGGATAAGGTTTCAACGACCACAGATAATCAATCACAAATGCAAAGTATTAGTGTGCCGACGCTGTTAAAACAATTGTTTTTAAAAATTTGTCTTAATTTGACAGAATGTATAAATTATATATTGATAAATATAAGTCGTTAAGTAATATTATCGGTTATTTACACAATTGCAGTTTCAACTTAATCAAGTAAATGACCTTTAAACGGAGCAAATTTGGCAAAATTTAATATATTGGACTTTATATGAGGGAGAGCATTGCATAACAGTAATGTTTATGGTATATTTGATGGTGATTATTGTTAAAAAAAATATGTTGAAAAGCGGACTAGTACTTACTTAAAATTACATAGTAGACACTTTGTAGTCTTAAACCAATTAACAATTATTGTACATTTTTTTTAATTTTTGACATTCCATCGATTAATGTATTTTATGGTGTTATTAATTGGAACTTTATTTTAGTGCCATAGGTGACGATGTACATGTAAAATGAGGACTGAAAGTATTTATTTAGATCTCTTTTCTCCAGCAAACGTCCATTTCTGTACTTAATAAAAAGAAACAATGTGCAATAAGTACTTTTAGTTATAATTATTTCTTTTTCTTCGTCTTTCTCCATTAGTTCATTAGTAAATTTTATATATATAATTTTGATGGAATTATTTTGTGTGAAATTTTATTTTATCATAAATTTCTTCGGTGATGGGTAGTAATAGGTATTTAATTTTTGAGGAAATCAATTTGTTACAATTACATTTTTTTGATTTTATTAAATGGTTGTATTAACTTCTTTGTTTTTTTTTATTTTTATGTTTCGTTGCAGATCCGTGTTTATTCTTCTTACTTTTCTTATTTATATTTTTATATTTCCCAAAATAATAGACTGTCTGACTTGTGAGACGGTGAGTTGAATGGAAATTATATAAGAAATGAAAGGTATTCGTAATTTGGCGAATGAACTATGTCAATACTTATAGAAGGATTTAAGATATTTGTAAGTTAATTATAAGGCATATTAAAATTGTGTTACGGCTGAGATACCATAACTGGAAATAGTTTTTTACGCGATCATTGTAGTTATTGTAAATTCGATTGAAATCTATATTTTTGCATCACTACACCAGCACCGCTCCTTCCGTTCTGTGATTTAGGCTTTAAATATGCACAATTAGACGTAAAAATATTAAAAAAAATGAATCTATCTTTTCCTACTCTCTGTGCCAAAACCATTGTTACATACAGAATTTTAGAGATGACAGTCATATCTCTATGCAAATAAGAGTTTACACCATTACTGCTCCTACCCTATATTTATCGTTCTGCATTTCGTATAGGCTAAGTTAGAACCTCAATCTTTAACGTTTCTAGAAAAGTTCTTGTTGGTAAAATTTGGTTTCGCGTAGTCTCTTCTAGTAAATTGTACAAATGAATCTTAAAACCCTTATTCTCACGTCCCACGGTAGATTCTATCTTAGATCCTAATAATTGCTAATCCTAGCTCGTACAACTTAATCTTAGATAACCTTTGGCTGTCATATAACTTCTTAAATGGTTTGCAGCTTATTATGTCCCTATCCTTATCTTTCCACTGCTTTCAAACTGAAATCTCTAAAATATAAATTTAGCTCTTACACAAAATTATTACCCAAATTATAATATATAATGCCAATACATTTATTGAAACCAAAAATTATTCTTATATTAGAGGACGATAAAAAACGCTAAATCTTATTCATGTCCTATCGAAATCACGTCAGCAGTCAGCACTTTGTCACAAATCTTAGCCCAGATACACGCAGCACGCTATTAAAAAAACAAAACACGCTACACGCAATTCTGTCCATTAAAAGTAAGGTTATTATAAGAAGCGGGAGTAAAATTAGAATAAAAATTGACGTTTTCATAGAATAAGTTACACCTTGTATAGTGTGTCAATGGCTGTCCTGTCCATTTAGATGTAAGCAGAACGCGCCTCCGCGTAATCAAATTTAAATAGATCGTAAAAAAAAATTACAGTAAGCTTTAGAGTAATTACTATAATTACAAAGCAGAGTTGTGACCGCCTCAGTGTGCCGCAAATGTAACCAGTTAAACAACAATATTATTAGTGTTAAAATAACAATATATAACGCAACTCTTGTATAAACTATGCTAAAACATAACAAAGATTTCCGTTAAGTAAATCGATAACTATAACTTCAGATTAAGTAAAAACGACAAACGCTTTCTTTAAATATTAAAGTACAATACAATAAAGTATGAACTATGGCTTATGAAAAATTAATAGCTTTCTACGCATTATTACATATTCATAGGCTTTACCAACATGTAATTTGTCGACATAAGGATATATACTGCCTCCGCAACCTAATGAGTGAAAGTGTCATTTAGATGATAAATATTCAATATTATGAGAATGTTGTTGAACGTACATTAGTTAAAACCTAGATTAGTATAATTTGTAGTTATTTAGAGGGCGTAGAATTAGTTTAGCGTGACTTTTGGCTGGAGTTGGATAAACTGACGGTTTGTTGGATTTAAATAACGAATTTGAACTGTGTCTATTTGAATTTAGCAATGATTTTCTTATACTCGTATGGTAACTTGTTATTTTTGGTATTTATTATAATTTATAAGCTTACTTGAAGTTGACCATAATTGAAATGTTGCATAGGCGAATTTGAGTTGTTAAATTTATGAGATGTATAATTTTTATAGTAATATAGATAAAGGTTAATCCTTTCTCGTTTTTCTATTGGCCATTACTAGATTTCTTTAATCTAGTGGCTATTATTATGCAATGTTTAGCTCACTTAAAAGTTATATCTATACACTCCTGCACACGCTTTCAATGACATAACGTAGAGGGTGAACTCCTTTCTTACTTACTTACTTGATACTTTGTTTAATTGGGCACTTTTTTGTATAATTTATTAGCTCATAAAAAACTTGATTGTTATGCTAAGTATATGGTGCGTTTGTATGTTAAAAAAAGTCTTAAGTAATAAATAAATTGCATTGATCAACCGACTTTTATTAATTAGAACCTAAAATTTCTTGACGAAAACGAATTAAACAGGGACTAACCCCCAAACCGAGAATGCTTAGTTATTGGGAATCGATCCCACGTCTCTCAGCAGCGTGGCGTACCGAGCTATAAGAATGTGTGTATTTGCATACTTTCAATGCTGACTTTTTCCATATCTAGCTTCCCTTAACAGTGAATGGACATTAAAATATTATTTACGGAGTCTGTACAGGCAGCTGCTATCACCCGCGGCGGACTAACCCGGGGGAGGAAGCCCTGGTCCTGGGGGCCCCCAAAACGCCTTCAGGTTTCCTTGAACAAACCTTAACCAGAGCTTTAAAATTATGCCTTGTGCCTATCTAAGAAACTGGAGTTCCGGGCCGACACAAACATTATTTCTTTCAGATAAAATACGAATAAAGAATACGAATATATGAATACGAAAAATAATAAATAAAATAAGTAAATTACAGTCTGAACTGGTAATTTACAATTTATAAATAAAATTACTACTACTGCAAATCAGGGGCGTAATTATCGCCGCATCAGGCGTATCAGTGATACGGGGCCTCCGGACTATCTCGACTACTATGTCGACTTGGACAGTATATAGATGGCGCGGTTACGTCATCATATAGAGCGTGTCGTTACCATCGCGACAATAAATGAACACACATCTAAGGGATAACTTTTTAAAGTTGTATTAAACATATAAATTCTTTAAACATCAATATTTACAGAGTTAATAAATTTTCCAAAACAAAGAATTTTAGAACACCCTTACCTATAAAAGCGTAACGTTAAGTTCATTTGTAACAGTCACAAAGCATATGAATGGGTTGAATGAATTTAAAAGAGATAAAACATACTGTTAGAAGGAGAGGCTTGTAATGCGCCGCTGTTGCGCGGGTTGTATAGGATGTTACAAGTTTTGTTTCTTTTTTACTTAATTAGTTTGTTTGAAAAATATTTTTTTTTAATTATGGATTTTGTTTAACGTTAATATTTTTTTATGATTATTGGCAAGTAGCGTTAGACGTGTGTTCATTTATTGTCTTCTTGTATCTTGTATTAACTGATGTTTGTGCTTTCAGTCCCGAGACTATTAAAGCTTCATCTGACGCAGAATCGATAGGCTAGCCAGAACCCACGGGTTTGGACCCTCCGCTGTGGGTAGGGCCACGCATGTGCTCATGCGTGCGTTTAAGTGTGGTGTGTCATCTAAGGGCCATCGAGGTCGCGGTTCGGACCGAAACCCCGATGGCCGTCGACTGTGCAATTAGCTAATCGGTGGCTGGGAGCGGTGAGAACCGCCCCGGAACGCGGGTGTACCTTATGTACGCGTTGTGTTGGTCTCGCCGTGCTCGGAGGCGAGGGCGAACTAGTATGTTTGTTGTTGCACTAACTGTGGGTGTAGTGTTATCCGGCGGGACCCCCGGCGGTGGGTCCGGCGTATCTAAGTTTCCTTCCTCGACCGGGTCGATGAGGACGTTTCGCGGGAGACGCTTGTTGACGTTCGCGTTTGTGTCGGGTTGGTAATTTGCTGCGCTTACCACCAGAGGGTTGGGATGATGTTCGGCTCTATCGAAGAACCGTTTGGTTAGGTCTTTAAAATATTCGCGAATCGTCGGGAGTCTGCAATCGCTGTGCAGGTCGACGTTGCGTTGATACCACTGCGCACCGGTTGCGCGGCGGATGAACTTATTTTGAACTTGGTCTTATATAATAATAATTTGTCTTAAGGGCATTTTACTTTTAGCGTTAGTTAAATTGTGTAGCCGGCCCGAGACGAACGCGGCTCTATTGCGAACATTATTAATGTGCGTATTAAATGACATACGCGAGTCGAAAGTGACTCCTAAGTATTTGACCTTTTTCTCCCAGGGGAGCGGTTGGCCATAAAGGGATACTATTTATTGTCACGATGGTAATGACACGCTGTATGATGGTCGAAAGCGCGTCCAAGCATCCATGCTTTCCCCATGGGTTTGCCGCTGCTATGTAAAAGAATAAATCCCACCGTCCCTCTTTCAACGGTCCCGGTCCATTGTTTTCTCCGTCTACGCTTCAAGGCTTAGGTTCTCTATTGTAATAATGTGCTCTCATAATAGTGATCAATCCATTGATTATTTTACGAAGTTAAAGAAGGACCAACACGTTGTTACTTTTATTATTGAGTGATTAAAATACGTATAATAATGGATCTAAGAAAGTAGCCTATGTCACTCTCCAGTCTCCTAACTAACCCCAGACACAAAAAACATCGCTCCCTTGACACGTGAGAGAAGAAGAAAAAAAACACACTTTTGCATTTATAATATTAAGTTTGGATTTGCAAATTCTACTTATATAAATGGACCGTTACGTGTTCTAGTAATTAATTTTAAATCCGATCAGTGTGTTCATAATAATTTATTTATTTATGCAGATAAATTAAATATTATTTATACTATTGATACATTTGTTTATTTAGTTCGTTTCCTTCTTTTAATTTTTCCAATTACAATAATGTTTTCGTTGTTCATCTAACGGAACGCAGCACAAGTTGACAGTGACGTTTGTTAATCTGTGTTCTGTCTTTTTGAGGTTTCTCAGCCCCCGTTGCAATCATGGCGGTGAACAATATTTCTAAAAAACGCAAAGTAGGTTTCTTTTAACAAATTTTAATAAATACGATTACGAAACTTTACTACTTAGTAATATCGTTTAACAAAAGTGTAAATTTAGTTGAAAGTGACAGTGTAGATGCCGATGTTAATCGATGTCAAAAAGTTATGTTTGTCGTTTTGAATGAACACAATCTTCTTTATATTTTTGTATATTTATTTTTTTCTGTTTAAGAGAAACATTTATAAGTGTGTTAAGAAGACGTGATTCGGAATATAAATTTTCGAAAACATAACCTCTGATATTTTTCAGTTCGTCGGGGACGGTGTGTTTAAGGCGGAACTTAACGAGTTCTTGACCAGGGAATTAGCTGAAGATGGCTACTCCGGTGTGGAGGTGCGTGTCACACCAACGCGTTCAGAAATCATCATTATGGCAACCAGAACACAAAGTGTGCTTGGCGAGAAAGGACGCAGAATCCGCGAGTTGACATCAGTTGTTCAAAAAAGATTCAATATTCCTGAACAGTCTGTTGAATTGTATGCTGAGAAGGTCGCTACTCGTGGTCTTTGCGCCATCGCACAAGCCGAATCATTGAGATACAAACTCATTGGAGGTTAGTCTAGTTATACACATAGTTCATTAATAAAGGGAGGGAAAATAAGGGTTTTTGCAATTTCAGTTACGTTCGGTAAAGAAACGTTTTTTTTTTTTACCGTTATTTTTCATTTCCTGAAAACAGTAATAATAGGACATTTTCTAAAAATGAAACCTAGCTAGATCGATTTTTCGCCACCGAATCTATCATAGGCACACTAAATTTCATGAAAATCACTTGAGCCGTTTCAGAGTTTCCGATTATATATATATATATACAAGAATTGCTCGTTTAAAGGATAAGATTTAAAATGTTTGACAAATTATTTGAAACTGCAAGCAAGAAAAGAATATTGTTTTGTTGTGCGATAATTAATCGCACACTTGATACTTATAGTATTGGTATTTAAAATGAATGTATACTTTATTTATTGGAATGTTTTTTCGTCCTTCCGCAGGTGAAGATCATGCTGCCGTGGGACCAGCAGGGCAAGAACGGCCCCAAGAAGCCGCAGCCCGACCACATCCTGGTGACGGAGCCCAAGGACGAGCCGGTGCCATCGGAGCCCACCAGCGACGTGCGCACCCTGCCGCCCGCGCCGCTACCGCCGCCCGTCGCCGCCGTCGCTTAGCTCATAGGCTACACTTAATAAAAATTACCCAAAAACGGCCTATTGTTATTTTATCGTCATTCCCTCGCCCTCATCCCACCTAGGTAGAGTCGGCGCAACATGCGAATCTGATGGCTCCGTGGCGCACTTGGTTGGCGCTTGGTCGTGGGTTGTGGGTAACCCACAGATAATTGTTTCGAATCTGGGTGTTTTTAAAAAAAAATGTAAGTACATTACTATATTGATACTATAAACAATTTAAATTTCTAAATAGCAATGGCATCTCTCGTCTCTTATCGTTGTAAAACGATATTCGAAATTGTTTGTATGCTGGAAAGGATATAACAATGGATGTGCCAAGCATTTGCTTCAAATGCTAAAAACCAAAAGAAAGAAAGAAAGATTTAAGATTATCAACGGTGTGGCAGTCGGCCGCTTAGCTTAGTGGTTAAAGTGTCAGGCAGCGAATGCCGCAGACGTGGGGTGCAATTCCCACAGCGGCGACAATCTTTTCGTACTTTTTCTACATATTTTAATGTTAAGTGCAAAGGTTAGCACTATAAACAATTTAAATTTCTAACACAGTGTAATGTTATCTTGCATGCTAATAAAAAAAAATGTAAGCGGTTTCCTCCTTGGGAAACAAACACTCAGATTTAAAACAATTATTTGTGCGTCACACAAAGAGCGAAATTGAAATATTTTGCTAACAGTTGTTAGGTGTACTAAAATTAAGATTAAGGGATAGGCGGAATATGAACGCCTTTATAATTATTATGGAGTCATTTGGTTACTACAGCAATTGTTGCTCAGTAAAAACAGCATCATTCTATATCTTCTATGACCGGATATTCGATTTTAGTAACAACTATTGAATAATGAAACTAATACCTCGTTTATATGTTTTATTAAAAAGTCATAACTACATTCATCCCACACCAAGTGCTTTATACTTTATTACTAAATACAAAATGTGTACCCAACAATCCGCTGACAAATTATTTTTTTACAAAATATGACTGTTGCTTGTTGCCATAATCGAATTGTAAATTCATCGAATAATTTTTTATCCACAAACCAAAAAAATACATAGAAATGTTAATTAAAAAGTATTATGCACTGTCATATTATTAAAATATTAAAAATTTAAAGCATTTGATAATCGTGGCATATGTACTTGCTGGAAATTGATAGTTAACATACAGACAAATAAACTTCAATCCTCATGATTTCATAACTTATCATCACTAAACAATAACTGTGGACTAAAATAAATTGTTCAATTCTCATACTTAAATTAAATTAAACTTAATTAATACCTTTACTTAGTCCCATTGAACCATGTGGTTAATACAGATTTACTAATGGCAAAATTAAAGTGAGTAATGAAAGCCTATACAATACATTGTTATTTTAATTAAACATTACAAAAAATTGTACAAAGAAACTACAGTGTTTAAGCTGAATGCAATTGTGACAAACTAAGTAGCTCTATTTAATGTTTACTAATGAAAGGAGCAATACTTGTGCGATGGTCTGGCCCAAGTAGCAATAATTGTATTGCTACTTGGGCCAGATCATCGCACTTAAAGACCAAACAACCAAAGAAATAAATAAGAGGATTGCTAATGGGTGGAAAAGATACTGGTCTCTCAAGGAAATTGTAAAATGTAAAGATCACAATATGGGAACGAAAAGAAAAGTATTCAACGCTTGTATTCTACCGTGCATCACTTATGGCTGCGAAACATGGTCCCTTACAAAATACCATAGAGAGAAACTAGCAAAGTGCCAGAGAGGTATGGAACAAAGCATAACAGGAACAAGAAGGCTAGATAAAATTAGCAATGTGAAATTAAGAGCAAAGACCAAATTAACAGATATCCTAGAAAAAATAGACCTCCAAAAATGGAGATGGACCGGCCATATATTGAGATCTACACAAGAAAAGTGGAGCCAAATTACAACAAATTGGTATCCAAGAGATGGTAAGAGACATCGAGGACGACAACTAATGCGCTGGGAAGATGAGCTGAAACTTACTGCGGGACCCAAATGGAGGAGAGTTGCTCAAGACAGGAAGCAATGGAAACTACTGGAGGAGGCCTTTGCCAAAAGGCACACTGAGTTGAGAGACATTCTATAGCCCAACGAACTACAACAATACAGCCGCATATATTTAATCTCTCACCCAGTTCAACGGGTTAAATAAATAAATAAATAAATGAAAGGAGATTGTAAAATATAATGAAAATGAAATATACAATAATAAGTGATAATATGATTAAGAAACAAATGCACTAAAAAATATAAAACATAATTATAGCATTGTTCATAGTGTTCACTTCTGCTTCTTTATTAAATATTGCATGACCTAAGACTGCCAATTATTGTACCACAAAACAAAACCTCTGCAACGCCTCAGGAATTTTGAATGTCTATGAGCAGTGGTTGCCCAGTTTTAACATTAAAAATCTCATACAAAAAATCAAGATTGCGTTAACAAAAAGTATTTATTTCTTTGTACAGAATTTTATAAGAATGCGGAAGGTTGCATTAAACTCTGAATTCGGATTAAAAAATTAGATACTCAGTATGGACTGTGTAGTCATAACTCAATAAAGTTGGATTTAAAATGCATCATGGCAATGTGAATTGGACAGAATGGTGTTTGGTCTTCTTTCCATACAACCTGTAGAACATAGTCCTAAAACTCGTCAAGTGAATGAAACCACTCAATAGATATTTTCAATCACCAGGTGAGCTTACATTGCTTGGTATTATCTGGAAACATACAAAATTATTATTGTAATACAAGAAATAATAAACACAGTACACTGTTGTTCACAAAAGGTGGAAATGCGGTCTAATATGGAGTTAAGGAAAGAAAGAGAGTGAGCATGGTATTGTGTTTCTTTCTTATTTACTTTTACGTCTTTTTCTTTCAATGAAGCTGGAGAAGTTGTATTGGAATGAAGATTAGTAACAGTTTAGTCATAAGGAGTGTAGTCGAAGAAAGTGAAAGGATGTATTATGATGTGAGAAAGATAGAGAAAACAGTCTTATTATAATGCCAGCAATCTAGTGGGTGTAAGAGCGAAAGGGAGCGTGACACTCACTGCTGAGAGAGAGAGACGGCACCGTGTATTAGGATACTGTAATGAGACGCCGTGTGGTTGAGCGAAAGGGAGTGGAACACTCATTACTGAGAGAGAGAGAGAGAGAGAGTACTGTGTATTAGGAGGATGTAATGAGAAGACGTGAGTTAGAACGTAAGAGAGCGGAACACTCACTAGTGAGAGAGAGAGCGACGGCACTCTGTATTAGGAGAGTGTAAGAGCGAAAGGGAGCGCGACACTCACTGCTGAGAGAGAGAGAGACGGCACCGTGTATTAGGATACAGTAATGAGACGCCGTGTGGTTGAGCGAAAGGGAGTGGAACACTCATTACTGAGAGAGAGAGAGAGAGTACTGTGTATTAGGAGGATGTAATGAGAAGACGTGAGTTAGAACGTAAGAGAGCGGAACACTCACTAGTGAGAGAGAGAGAGCGACGGCACTCTGTATTAGGAGAGTGTAAGAGCGAAAGGGAGCGCGACACTCACTGCTGCACCTGGTCGGGCGGCGCCATGCGGCAGGCGAGGCGCACGGCGGCCAGCAGCGCGTCGCGCAGCGGCCCCGGCGCCTTGGGGCTCGCCGCCAGCCGCTCGGTGAGCACGCGCAGCTCGCGGAACGTGTTGCGCGTGTACGGGTTGCGGCGCGACGCGTAGCGCCACGTCACGGAGTAGTAGTACACGAACGGGGTGAGCAGGCCGCAGTGGCCGCTGCGGGGGAGATTGGGTCTCACTTGTACATACGAGTGGGACTCACACATGTGTGTACATTATTAGCGGCTCGGAGCCACGTCACGGAGTAGTAGTACACGAACGGGGTGAGCAGGCCGCAGTGGCCGCTGCGGATTACATACAGTCTCTCGTGTGCGTGTATAAAATCTGCTAATCGGCGAACAAAGCCACGATGAAGCAGCGATGTAGAACACAAAGAAATATATCGATATCGGCTTCGATACATCGAAGAGAAAATATCGACATATCGCATATTGGCCTCAGAAACGCCTTTGTCCAAAAAAAGAAAAGGTATGTCAAGCCTAACGGTGGTAGCGCCACGTGGCAACCTCATTTCGTCTGTTGGGTGAGGTGGCCGGGGCCCACTTTTAACAGGTGGCAACGCATCTGCAACCCTACGGGTGTTGCAAATGTCCATGGGCGGCAATTATCACTTGAATCAGTTGCACCACCAGCTCGTTTGCCACCTTCTCACATAAAAAATATACACATATTTTATCCATAAAGCTAAGAAGGTATGTAAAACAATCTCGTCCGCTAGATATTAGCGCCTGGGGTACTCACAAGAAGGCCATTATGACCACCAGCGGGAACAGCATGATCTCGGCGAGGGCAGCGGCGCGGAGGATGTTCCGCGACTGGAACTCGACCAGGGAGATGAGCAGCCGCGCCACCCACATCGAGTTCTGACCCAGGGTCTGGGAACCGCACCCGTACGGTTATAAAAAATCTTACACACATTTTTACACAACGTTCTCTAGTCCCAAACTAAGCGACGATTATACTGTGGGTACTAGATAACTGATAAACATACCTAAATATATTTTTATTTTGTAATTATATACATATTATACATATATAAACACCCAGACAGTAGAAACACTATGTTCATCACACAATATTTTTCCAGTAGTGGGGATCGAACCCACACCCTCTGGCGCAGGAGACGGGTACACTGTTCCCTGCGCCATTTGGGTCGTTCATATCAACCCGTAATAACAAACATGATTCACATGTTCTGCCAACCCCACCTAGGAGGGATAAGGACAGGATGATGATATCTACCGAACTTCCTACTCTAAAATCACTCCCATAATAACACTGCGTTCCACTGCGATACGGCCACGCTGCTTATGCTATTGCACGAACAGACGGCGGTAATTGCAGGTATTATACTTTCGCGTTCCTAGTGATGATTGAGGTAGCTGCAGCGCAATATTTCAGAGGCATCGCATCTGCAACCCCCCGCGTGTTGTAGATTTCCATAGGTGGCGGTAATCGTGGAATAACCTTTACTTTAAAAATAACAACACTTATATACCGACAACGATCGTAAAAGCGAAAGTAAGTCGATAAAATCTTATGAAATCTTAAAAAAAAAAAAACACATTTCACAGTCGGCGTCAGTATAGAAATATCGAATGCCAATCATTTTGCAATATGTATAAAATTTAGTTTTTTTTTTTTCACATAGTGACTCAGTCGCGGTAAAATGTTCAAGTATTGCACATCGAAGATAAAAAAAGGTGAGTAAACCATTTTCTGGATTAATGACATACAAAAATCAATGATTCGCACGTGTGCCCAACATTTTTTAATTTAATTCCATTCCTCTAATAAAGGAAAAATCCATTTACTGCACTTCACACACTCGAAATTAACACTATATTAATAATTTAGATCCGAAATAACACTTATGGCAACACAGTAAGATATTAGGGACGATAGTACATATGGTAATTATAAAGCAATTAACATAAATTGTCCATCGTAAATGGAACTGAATTAGATACGAAATTAGAATCACAATTTCTATTGTTCTAATTTTTGGCTCACGACGTTTCTCAGCATTGTTCCAATTTGCGAACAGCTTTTGTTAAGAACACTATAAAGAGTTTTATAATGTGCTGAATTTGGTGCAGGTTGCAGAATCGATCAGATAACTTTCTCCAAAACTTCAACCTTCTTTAAAGCGTTTACGAACTTAAACATTTAACCGTTTAATAATTTTTACTTTTGTTAGTTTCCAAGATATAATAGTACACGGTAAAATTACTGCGTAACAGATACTTAGGAGGAATATTTGTGATTTAAATACTTACGTCTAGTATGGTCAGCGAATAGGAGGCGGCGTGTAGCAACGCGAAGAGAAAGATCGGCGTCAGAATCACTGAGGCGAGTCAAGGTCAATCTCTAAAACGATTCATCTTACCGCCCGTTTCAATATTCAAACTACAGATAGATTTGGTTACTGGAGTTAGAATTCTGACGTAAGTTATGGAGCTAATGTCAAATAACCGTCGCTAGTAACCAAGCCTATCTGTAGATAGAACATTGAAACCGGCCATTAATCATACAAGAAAATTTTTCGACGAAAACAAAACCGCTTCTTCGACTTCAAAAATCTCGCTCTGTATTCATTTTATAATGGATTTTCAGGAATTTCCTTCATAAGACCGGAGCCCAAGATCCAATACCAATGTAATTAATATGGGACCACAAGGGAAGCACCAGCTTTCAAATAAAAACGAATGATCATTATCGATTCACTCAGCCGAAAGTTCTGAGGTAACAAACATTAAAAAAATTACAGTCGAATCGAGAACCTACTCCGTTTTTGAAAGTCTGTTGAAAAACTTTGAAATTCATCTATAGCTGTCTCTCTGTACTCTCTACGGAGGCCTCTCAGCTTTAGGCTGTTACTGTACTACTTTTTGCTTTGGTTAGTGATGTATATATAAGATAATGCATTTTATTTTAGTTTTCATTTTATTTCAGCTGTTAAACGACTTTTGAAAAATTTAAATAGTTTCACTAAGTCGAATTTAATCTCAAAATTCTCAATGTGTATTGACCGTCCTGTATACCACGGAAAGGATCAAAGTTTGTGACCAATGTATTTTTAAGTTAATTGTAATTTTAAGTGACGGTTAACCACGGTCCTTTACGGTGATGTGAAGCATCAATATAGCATTGTATAAAGCCTACATGTAGATTTATTAACGATGTCAAGGTGACAAAACGTAAACATGTCATGAAAAATATAGAGAAGCCATGTTCCGGCATCTTGTTTACGTTCTAATTAAAAGTGAAGGATAAAAATCTCGAAAACGTTAACCATTTTGGTTATTTTAATGAACGCATTTGTGTAGCATAATTAACCGTTAAATAGTAAAAAGAAAAAAAAAACAATCGGAACTTTATACAGTCATGGTGGCGTCGGTAAATAAGTATAATCTCGTTTATTTAAATTGAGAGAACTTTGCGCCAAAAATCCTTGAAGCGTAATTGTATTGTTCATATATGTAAATGTGGATAAAATGACATTCATTATATTAGAGGCGCCACGAAAATAGTCATTCCGTAAACGAGGTACCGCTATTGTGCATACATTGTAGAATATCTAAATAAAGAGAAAATATATGTCAATCTGTAAAATAACATTCGTAATTACGGAGGCGCTTATAAAATTTTGTTCATTATCTTCCGGTTCCGTGTGAAGATAACCACGGCCGGATCCAAAGAAATAAAAAAAGAAACATTTAGAACTAAAACGTCAAATCGAAAAAAAGCGCGCCAACGTTAAAAAAATAACCTCAAACTGTCAACACTTTGGAAAGGATACGCAAGTTCGGCGCGACGTTCATGAATATCAGCGAGTAGAACAGATAGTGGGCGCTGTCTTCGAGGAAGAACCTCGCTAGGAACTCCCTGGAGAGGGCGATCTCTCTTGGCGCGATGCGCTGGTGCAGGCGTAGAGCAGACGTGGCGGCGTTGGCAAGCAGCGCCTTGTAAAACGCCGATATGGGGCTGTAACAAAATTCGATGATTGATGCCTTGGCTATATCTTTCTTTCTTTCTATGTCCTATGTGTGGCTGTTTCTTTTGAAGAGGGCTGTGAAACGAGAAATCGCACGTGGACCGCTTGTAACATTTTATGAGTGACTAGCGACCCGCCCCGGCTTCGCACGGGTGCAATGCTGATACATAATATACTCTACTATGTTTATCTACTATATGACGCATGTATTATACGTATAACCCTCCCTCCTGAATCACTCTATCTAGTCTCTAGTAAAAGGAACCGCACCAAGATCCGTTGCGCAGTTCTCAAGATCTAAGCATACATAGGGACAGACATACAGCGGGACTACTATGTTTTATACTAGTTATGTAGTGATGATGGAAAATTACATAGCAGTTTACTTTACGTTAAAGGCCCATTTACACGGTGCAAGTTACTTGCCTGTTATATACAATTAAATTGAAGCAATAAATGAGTTGCATTGTTTAAACAACACATAACATTCTTGACTGTTGAACAAGACTTGCTTCAAGTTTTGTTTCAAAACTTTCCTTGGTGTAAACAGCACACACAATAATTTCTTAAGCAATTCTTGTATTCAATTGCATTCTCTTTTCCTTTGTGAAAAATTAAAAAAAAAATAGTGCAATGAGTGAGGGTATTTAATCGTGGCTGTTCTTTTGAGGATAGAAATATTGAGAAAAGGTCGTAAAAAAAGTTGGATAAAAATATGAATAATAATATATGGATCGTAATAAATAAATCTCAATGAAATATATTTAATCGGCATAATCTAACTTGAACATTTATTATTGAACCATTTTAAAAAAAAAACCGCCCTTTGTAAAACGTTCAACACTTGCATGAAAAATTTGTCAACGGAAATACGTGCAATACTTGAAGCAACACGCCAATAAATTGTACACGCACATACAAGGATGTGTTTAGACAAGTCAAAACTTGAAAGCAATAATCGCCTAAACATTTTCAATATAGTGTCCGTAAAAAAATAATGGAATAGTTAGTGTTTAATGCTCCTTTAATTATACGCAGAAAGGGCTTCAATTGTCTTATATTTTAAGATTTAAACTGTTGTTTCATTATGTCAACAATCTGTGAATCATCATCTTTGGGAGGCATCGGTGGCCGTTTGCGAAGGTCTGCGGTTTATCAAAAATAATCTGTAATAAATGCTGGTTTACCTTTACTTTTTGCTCATAATTTTAATTTTAATCTCTCCAATTACATTGTATAAGTAATAGTTAGATTATAATTAATATAAGAGCATTTGCATGTTGTGTTTTCCTTCAACTAATGAGTCAATTTACTCGTGTTTCCATGTTAGGTTAATCGTTCTATCATTTAATATACTCATTGTAGGAAAAATAAAAAAATCATGGTTGCGCTTACGTAATGGGGTCACAAAAAATATAAGAAACGCCAAAACCAGTTACTTCTGACATATTCCATACGACACTGCTCTTTCAAATGATAAATCGATATAATGACCAGACTTTGAGAACGAACATTAATATTTTATAAGATAAGTAGACACTATTCTACATTTTTAATGTAACATTACTTTGGTCAGAAATACTCGCATCCACAACAATAATGATTACGCCATTCAAATAATAATAATAATAATAATATATTAACGTTAAACAAAATCCATAATTAAAAAAAAATATTTTTCAAACAAACTAATTAAGTCAAAAAGGAACAAAATTTGTAACATCCTATACAACTCGCGCCACAGCGTCGCATTATAAGCCTCTCCTTCTAACAGTATGTTTTGTCTCTTTTAAATTCATTCAACCCATTCATATGCTTTGTGACCTTTACAAATGAACCTTACGTTACGCTTTTATAGGTAAGGGTGTTCTAAAATTCTTTGTTTTGGAAAATTTAATAACTCTGTAAATATTGATGTTTAAAGAATTTAAATGTTTAATACAACTTTAAAAGTTATCCCCTATATGTGTGTTCATTTATTGTCGCGATGGTAACGACACGCTGTATATATGTGTTTGTACTGGATTAGTTGTGTGTGTGTGTGTGTGTGTGTGTGTGTGTGTGTGTGTGTGTGTGTGTGTGTGTGTGTGTGTGTGTGTGTGTGTGTGTGTGTGTGTGTGTGTGTGTGTGTGTGTGTGTGTGTGTGTGTGTGTGTGTGTGTGTGTGTGTGTGTGTGTGTGTGTGTGTGTGTGTGTGTGTGTGTGGTGTGTGTGTGTGTGTGTGTGGGTGTGTGCGTTCGAGTGTGTGTGCGCGCGTGCGAGTGTGTGTGAGCGCGTATGTGCGCGTGAGTGTGCGTATGCGTGTGTCTATAATTACTTAATTTTTAAGATATTTTCCATATCAACTTGTTACCCCTTAACATGTTTATGCGGCCCGCCAAGCATTTCTAAAATTGAATTTATTTTATCGAATTTCTCCCATCAATATATTGTATATTGATGGGAGAAATTATATAATATTAATTATATTATAATGGTATCATTTTTACCCTTAACATGTTTATGCGGCCCGCCAAGCATTTCTAAAATTGAATTTATTTTATCGAATTTCTCCCATCAATATATATATTGATGGGAGAAATTATATAATATTAATTATATTATAATGGTAGTATATACAGAATCGAAATATTTTTTGTTCGTTTTTCTGTTCTTTTCTTGTTTGTTTTTACCTTGCATTAAAATTTGTATATGGAATCTTTACTTTTTTTTTAATTTTATATTTTTTTATTCTCATATTTATTGTAAGTAAAGTTTCGTAAATTATTATGTGCGGCCCGCCAAAAAAATTTGAAATTTAAATTGTCCCATTGATTCAAAAGGTTGCTCACCCCTGCTGTAGATTATTAAAAGGTGAATAAAAGTAATATAGCAATTATTATAAACAATTGTTTTTTTCAATAATCACATATTTTTTTATTTTTAAACTTGCAGAATGTTCTTGTTTCTAAATTATTATTTCTTATGTTTATATACAAAACATTAACTCGCGTGTTTGTGTCCAAAGTCAAAAACGATTTGATGGATTGGCAAGACGTTTGTTCTCAAGATAGCTTTTGAGTAGGAGTGTTTTTATATACTTTTACATTCAGAAGTTTAAAGGGAAACGAGAAAAAAAAATTACAGCGAAGCGTGGCTGGGTTCCACTAGTTTGGTAGTGCAATTTTTTTTATAACGATGATTATCAAAGAAATTCTTACGCCCGGTTTCTGAAACACTGATTTCTAGTGAATCTTCTTAGTGATCAGAATGATCAAAGAGTTTAACAAGCCTTTTGGCAACTCAAATGACATTTGAAAAACCATTTCACAGCTGATTAGTTAATTACTACGACTGTCAGTGTTTTAGAAGCCGGGCGATAGAGTAAGGCCTCGGGAATTAAAAAAAATTACATATAAGACTTGTAGCTATGTCGATTGCGTAATTTTAAATATTTTTTATTAAAGGTAATACGAAATGTAGCATGAAAACCTTATTGTGACTAATGACATATAAATTATAGACACGTGTCAAAGCCAAACTTGACGGTTAACTTTTTTTCGCTAACGGCCAGCACGAGCGGAAAGTAATATAATTGTATAGTGGCATACATAACCAGCTTGTACCACTTTCACATTGCTTTCAATGACTTCGAGCGAATAATGGTTGCCGCGAAGTAATTTTAGACCTCAAACATTTTGGTCGCAAACGGAAAATATTAAATAATTAACATTTTTCATTAACAAAGAACAAATAATATAATATAACCAACTTCAAATATCTAATTCACTGTACTTTCTTATTCTATTTTGAGGAGTTACATGATGTATCTTCGAAATCCAATAAGGAAAAGTAACAACTTATATGTGTCACACTGTTGGGTAAAAGCCTTCTCTGTGCAGAGGGTATTAGACCATAGTCCACCACGCGACCCCCCGCGGATTGGTGGACTTCACATATCTTAGAAATGTTTTTTGAAAATATGCAGGTGTCCTCACGATGTTTTCCTTCTTCACTGAGCATGTTATAAGTCAGCACTTAAAAGCAACAATTTCATTGGTGGCCAGCACCGGGATTCGAACTCGGGTTGCTTGAGTATATTGAATTAATAGTGACGCCCGAACACTGAGCCAGCCCATTAGGTACGTAAAAATTTACATCTTTGCACTGTGTAGAAGGGCAACAAGCCCACTCTCTGTGGTCACTCTTTCATTATCGCATTATATCTGCAATCTCCAGGTGCTGTAGATGTCCACAAATCAAAGCATTCGCTTAAAATTAGGTGAACCACTGGTCCAATCAATTAGGTGAACCAATTGGTCACCAGCTTTTGCAATAAAAAAAAACAGTGGCACACTGTTAAATTCTTAAAAATTTAGAGCAGATATATTTTTCATTACATTCTATTGTTTACATGACATCACATAAATAAAAGATGGGGTGACAAGATTTGCAAATGTCATTTGCAAATCTTGTCACTCCTCAAGTCAATGAAGAGAGAGAAGAGAGAAGTCAACGGAAGCAGGTGTCTCAGGATCATGCTTCATGGCAATCTGTGGGGGAAGCCTATGTTCAGCAATTGACTCTTCAACAGGTTGAAGTGACGATGGGGATGATGACATAAATATACAACAGATAAGAGGATAAATATTGTACTTACTTGTTGAATAACGGCAATACATATCCTATTGTACACAGCACTGTTAAAAGTCGAATGCCCCAAAGTGCAACATCAACTTTATTTGCTATAACATGAGCTTTTAATGCTGGAATCCCCTTGGGGGGACCACCCTCACCTGCCGGAGTATTTTGATCCGCCATTCTATATGCAAAATCAAAAATTTTAAATTATATATCATAAATTTGAAATAATATATCTGGAGCTATAATAAATACATCATTCCAATTGTACATACATTTTCTGCAGTTTCTAGAAGATTAGTTTTAAACAAATAACATTGGAAAAAAAAATAAACCAATATAATATTTATGTTTATCAGTTATCACCACAAATATGAATAGCAAAATTGACTACAATCAGGTAATTTTCTTAAATCATTTAAGTAAATTACTTCAATCAACATAAACATTTATATCATTAATGATATAATATGCCTTTTGACCATTTCAACATGTATTGGGAAAAATTGAAACGTCAAAGAAAGTACTGTTTGTTTTACTTTCTAAATTGAAGTTTCTAATTGTTCGATACAATATTAAACCTCAAATTCTCTAATTTGTTCCATCTTTATAATGAGATTTAGGCATAAAGAAAATGATTACATTAACATGGAATACATGCAATACATTGCAATCCTTGGTTGACTATTATCAGATAAGAATGGACTGATAAAACAATAAATTCAATAATTTTAACCAATGTCTGTATGGAACTTGAAGAACTTCTTCTTCACCTTAAATCAATGTTTTATACATGTCAGAATTGTATATGCGAGTTTCTATAAGAGAAAATTATTTAACAATTAAATTATAGCATAGTTAAAAAGATCATTTAGATATTCAAAAAATTCCATAATGCAATAAAGATCTTCGTGTTTATAGCACAATTAACCTTCAAGATTGTTTTAATATGGATTTTAACACATCATGATTGTCACAGAAAAACTTGTTTTGAGGATATTGGTAAGAAACTTAAAAATGGTATTTTACAAAATCTAAGAACCTATGGAAAAAGTTTTTGGTTAAAAAAATACTAAAAACATACGGAACTTACCTTTAATAATAAAATTTATGCACGTTTCTTTTTCTTAACTTTAATTTCGTGAACTTACTAAATAACTAACACTACTCAACGCTGTCCACGAACATGATTTGCTAAATGACAGAAGAAAAAGTGGCAACAGGTAATAAAATAATATTATCACGTTCTATGGTTTTTTTTTTTCATGAAGGTTTTTAGTGTAGTTGCTGTTAATCCGGTGGATTTGAAAGTTTCCTTGGAAGAGATCCACAGGCAGATGACCTGTTGCGGCTTAGACGAACAACGTTGCTGGTGCACGACAACCTCCGCTCCTCTGCATCTTCGCGACCTCTGTTAACGAAAGACGGTAATTTTTGTCAAATTAGCAAGGGAAAACACGACATGATCCAAGGACCCAAAGATAGAGGTTTGTACCTCGGCTTCGATTGATAGTAGCACATAATTCGATTGATAGTAGCACCTACCCCCAGGAACTAATCCAGTTAAAATTGCAACTTAACCGCTAGATCCCTTTTATCTTCATTGTTTTATCGCTTTTACAAATTTTAATGTTTCATCTTAATCAACTATAAAAATTTTATTTTTTTATAGCAATGGCGACATCTCTCGTTCGAATTATCGTTGTAAAATTCATTGTAAAATCCGGATCCCGTAGATACGGGGCATACTCGTGGAGGCGGTGTCCTTTTTCTTACAAAACAATACCTTCATGGCTTCCAAGAAACGTTACCTCCTTGCCCATACGAAATTCTTTACATAACTGTCAGAATAGGCGGAGTACTTAACATCATATGTGTTTATTTGCCCGGCACAAACGGAAGGCACAAACGGAAGGCACAATTTCATTTTAGAACACTTTACAAATCTACGCAAAAGTATCATAAGTCGACACCAGAATGAACGGTTTCTTATTGTAGGGAATTTTAATATAGACGATGTGAAGTGGGCTTTTGATGATAAAAATGAACATCACATTCCATCTTACAACACTAATTGTATTAGGCAAGAATTTTTGGATTATATCGTATCAGCTGGTCTAAATCAATATAACTATATTTTAAATGACAATGGTCGTCTGTTAGATCTCTAGAGAACAAGAAATTTCACAGAAGATGGAAGATTTATAAAAATCAATTAGACTATGATACATTTTCATTGCTCCGGCGTAGGCAAAAATTAGAACACGATATCTGCTGGAATAAATATATAAGTAAATGCGAAAAGTGTATAAAGATTAATCCTAAAAATATGTGGAATTTTGCCCAAAATCTTAAGACCAATCAACTGAATTCGCATACCCTCTGATCTGATCATATAACCCTCGAAGTTGTGCTTAAATATATCCTTCGAATAAATACCAATAAGGGCGCTGGTAGCGATAATATACCACCTTTGTTCGTGCCAAAATGCTAGCCTTTCCTGTGTGTTTAATATTTAATAAATCCCTAAATGAGAGCGTTTTTCATAAGAAATGAAGATGCTTACATTATACCGATCTACAAAAGTGGATCAAGACATAGATATCCACCTTTAGTAAACTTTTTGAAAGTCTCGTGTATGGAACCATCTATGCTCACGTATCCTCGTTTATTCCCAGTGAACAACATGTCCTTATGCGTCAAAGATCCACGGAAACGTATCTATGTACCTTAACGTACTTCATCTCCTGCAAAATAGATACTCGCGTTCAAGTAAATGTGGTATATACAGATTTTTCCAAATGTTTCGACAGAATCGATCACAGCTTACTTCTTATAAAGTTAGAAAATTTAGGGATTCATGGAGACTTGCTAAAGTGGCTTAATTCTTACTTAAGAAATAGGTCTCAGTGAAGAAAATTGGCAGTTACTGTTCGGACAAAGCTTCAATTCGATCGGGGGTTCCTCGAGGCTCCCTATTAGGTCCCCTGCTCTTTAATATTTATTTGTACGATATTGATAATTGCTTTCATCACTCCCGCTTTCTCATGTACACTGATGATACCAAAATGTTTTATCCGATCCTCGATGTTGAAGACTGTTGCAGATTGCAGGACGATCTCGACAGATTTTCAAGCTATTGCACAAAAAATTTACTTAATCTAAACGTCAAAAAATGTCAAATAATTACATTCAGTAGTCAGGTACATCCATTACAATTTAAGTACAAATTAAATAATATTGTTATTAGTCGTGTTATGAAAATAAGGGATCTAGGTGTCTTCTTAGATTCGAAGCTCATATTTTCAGAACATTACAATCACATCGGTCATAAGGGCCTTAGAATGCTTGGGTTTATCAAGAGACTATCAAAAGTTTTCCGCAGTTCAAGTCCCCTACTACCCTTGTACTTCGCTTATGTCCGAAGCACACTGGAGTACGCTTCACCCGTTTGGTCTCCATCCTACGTAACGTACACTCGCAACATTGAGAAAGTTCAGAAAAAAATTCTAAACTTTTTAAATTATTTTAACAAAAAATCCACATGTGACTATAATGTCTCGCTCGGGGAATATAATCTTTTATCCAAACACGCAGTCTACGAGGTACAAATTTATTTGATGTCCCTTTTACAAAAACAAAGCATGCCCAGAGCTCAGTCTTATATAGGTGCATATACATCTATAACGTTAAGTCTGGTAAAATTGACATATTTCATCTTAAACGAAAACAGTTTCTTAAAAATGTTTCTGAAGCACTCCTGAATAAGCGTTAATAATTTAAGATACATGCGCTCACAGAGAGACACACACACACACACGCACACGCGCACACACACACACACACACACACACACACACACACACACACACACACACACACACACACACACACACACACACACACACACACACACACACACACACACACACACACACACACACACACACACACACACACACACACACACACACACACACACACACACACACACACACACATGTGCGCGCGCGCGCGCTCGCCCAATTAGAATGATGAATGAATTAAAAATAGAATGATTTTTGCAATTATTTGTATGCTGTTTTGTTTATGCCCGGTTCCTATATTCAACGAACGGCCGTTAGTTAATAGCTTCGTAACTTTCATAACGACTTGTAGATTAAAGGAACGCTAGTAACTCACTGTCCGTAGGTAATGCAACAGCTCGTATGGAAAACGCCTCGTTTTGTTAATAAAGGAACCGGGCGTAACAATATTTAAATTTCATATAGAAACTTTGTATAAATATAAGCTGTGCCTCTCAACGTCATTTTAGAGACGACAACGACTCCGTTATGCAGTTGCCAAGGTATGGACTTTGGCACTAGGGGTCGTGGGTTCGATTCCCACATGATTTATTGTTGTGTATACAACTATTTGTGTGAATTGTTTCAAATCTGGGTGTTTGTCCACATAAAGTTTATGTAAGTAAAAACTCCATACAACACAGGATAATCCTTACTATCCTTACTAATATTATAAAGGTGAAAGTTTGTATGTATGGATGGATGTTTGTTACTCTTTCACGCAAATACTGCTGAATGGATTTTAATGAAACTTTACAATAATATAGCTTATACATCTGTCTTTCTGCCTTAATGTTACATTTTCAGCCTATTATACGCAGACGTAGTCGCGGGCAACACCTAGTATAATATAATGTTATTACAGTTATTGGGCAACGTTTTCAAAGGGCCACTGACTAAGACTTATCGCTGGATCTAAAAAGCATTAAGAGTCGACATTTGCAGAGGATATTTTTGTTAATTGGGCAACCTTAACGCCGCGCGTCGAGTACAAATGTTAAACTTCAGTATCTGGTATAAAGTTCAACTCCCTAGGTCCACCCGTTCCTGAGAAAATCCGTGGTGATTATTTACCAATAACTACAATAGATCTTTCTCGGTAGCAGTGGGAGTTAACCATTTACCCAACTCCTTTACACATACTACGAAAATGTCATTTTGATAGAAGCTCGTATCAGAGGTGACAGAATTCCAACCTTATTACTTCCTCTGGATAGGTTCTCCACTTTTGATGGCGGTACATCCCGAACTTTGAACCTTCATCTCAGGAGCCTTTGGATTTTGTTGTGCTCACCCCTAATTTGTCGAATTGTCCAATGTCCATCAATCCATCATCGTTAATAGGGATCGTGGAGATGCAGCGGAGTAGGCGTCGTCGTGCAATAGCAACCTTGTTTCTTCCGATGTTGTTGCTATCCACCATTCACCAGGCTAACAACAAACTACACTTAAACAACAGCCACGCTGACGCCATTTTAGTGCATGCTGTCGGAAGAACATTTTTTATCTAGTAATTGTATCCTTTGGAATGAAACTTGACAATTATGATTATGACATTGACTACGTCAAAATGACAGAATTTAGCGCAAAAGTACTTCAAAAATATTTACATTTTACCCAAGAAATAAAATATTGAGTATTGTAAAATGTTATGCAAACTTGCTTGCAGAATACCATTCGAATTAAATTCTAAAGTCTCTCACCATTACCGGAGATACAGTGTCATTTCTGCTGTCATTGAAAGAGCAAATTTTGGAGAGTTGACTGAAGTTAAGGTTATAATATAATAAATACATGAACAAATAAAATTAAATATATCAGTTTTGAGTTTTTAATATATCTATTTCTTTACTTTGTATTTGTTCTGCAGGGTTGGGTGAAGAGTCTAAGAATTCAAAAGGAACATATATTTGCAGACGTAAACGATGGTTCCTGTGCTAAAAAATTGCAAATTGTCATTCCAAAACACTTAAAACCGGATGAATTAACTTACGGCAGCTCAGTTAGAATTGTGGGCAAACTCACTAAAAGCCCTAGAGGACAACTAGAGCTCGTGGCCGAAAATATAAATGTGTTAGGGACATGTGTTGTATTGGATGGATATCCATTTAATCCCAGAACTACACATCCTCCAGAGTATATTCGCCAATATCTCCATTTACGTTCTAGAACTAACTATATCTCGTCAATTTTAAGGATACGAAATGCTGTCACTAAGCAAATACATGATTATTTTACATCTAAAAATTATTTGAACATTCATACACCCATTCTAACATCAAATGACTGTGAGGGGGCAGGTGAGGTCTTTAAAGTATTACCTGATAAAGCTGACACAATAAAAGTAATGATGCAACAGAATAAAGATGTTGACAATGTTTATTTTGGAAGCAAAACATTCCTGACAGTATCAGGACAGTTGCATTTAGAGGCCATGTGCAGAGGTCTCGGTAATGTATATACACTAGGCCCAACATTTCGTGCTGAAAACTCGAAGTCCCGTTTACACTTATCTGAGTTTTACATGTTAGAAGCAGAGCTGGCATTTTGCGACAGCTTAGAAGAACTGCAAAGATCAATTGAAAGTTTGTTGAAGCATATCTTTACTGAAACATGGAATTCCAATGAGGAAGATTTATATTTAATAGATAAAGAAAAGAACAGAGCCCCGTCATGGTTAGATAAGAGTTTTGTTACTATGACATATGATGAGGCAAAAAATGTGCTTAATAAGAAAGGTTTAAATTCTTCAGAAGATGGTATAAACAAAGAGCAAGAGCTGGCTTTGGTAGACTACTGTAATGGTGTACCCGTTTTTATTATTAGATGGCCAAAAGAGCAGAAATCATTTTATATGAAGGAGGCTCACGATAACACAAAGGTATGTTTATGAAACTTGCTTTCTTACACATTATGTAAATTGTTGTTTATGTTTAAATAGATTTTACTTTTTTCAGGTGGAAGCATTAGATCTATTGGCACCAATTACTGGTGAATTAGTTGGTGGAAGCCTCAGGGAAGATGACTACAATAAATTGAAATCAAAATTACCATCGGAGGCTTTGAACTGGTACTTAGAATTAAGAAAGTTTGGCAATATACCCACCGGAGGTTTTGGCTTGGGGCTGGAAAGGTTATTGCAAGTACTATGCAGTGTGCCAAATATCAAAGATACCTTGCCATTCCCACGATGGCCGCATAATTGTGATATGTAGAAATAAGTTAAGTTTAAATGATATATAAATAAAAAGAAATAGAAACCGAGGACTTTACTTAGTTTTTTCCCTTTGTACCTGTATCTTATGAAAATCAATTACTTTCTATAGTCCAGAACAGTGTTGTTAGAAATACCTTTTACTTATATTTAATTTCCGTTTAGAGTGCAGACTAGCACTAACAAAAACAGCCAGAAATATAACTATTCGAGAGAAATGTAGAAAAGGTGTTACAAAATGAAATAAAAATTTGCTGTAAATATCTTTATTGAACTATTTCTTTGACATAACAATTTTGTGATGTCTTGTATTTAAATGATAAAGAAAAACCAGTGAAACAAAATTGTCCCATAGTGACATTTAAATAGTGTCATTTTTATTTAGATTAAAACATGAAAGAGATGAAAATTTAAAGTTAATAAAGAAATTAAGTTGGTAGAAAGAAAATGAAGATAAACAGCTTTTGAATGATTTATTGACATATTAAAAAAGAGATTCTTCTCTTTAAATTCGTAACAAGAATTCTACTCCCAGCAATAAACTGGTTCAATTGGAAAGGAGCGTTTTGTTTTTACATTGTTATGCAATAAATCAAAAGCAATCCTAATAAAAACGAAAAAGAAAACACTACCTTTTTAATTAATGATAAAGTACAAGTAATTAGATATTATTTAATGTTATAAAATTGTAAATGCTATATACAATGATTGTATGACTATACAACTCTATCTTACCGCTGAAAGATAACAAGATAAAGAAACCAAGCAAATCATAAAGTTGCGATAACCTTAAATTTAATATCACAATTTTTTAAAGTACACCCTCTATTATTATATTATGTACAAATTATTTAAGTATTTCCTTTGAATGGTAACTTATTTCTGAGTGTCATTTTTTTAAACGATAAATTGTCATAATTGTTGTTTTTCAGCACTGATTTTATTCCACAATTACATTTCATATAAGTCGTTAAGTGTTATGTAAATGTTACAGTTCTACTCCCAATTCAAATAAGTTTCACCTACATTGTTACCAAGATTTAATTTAATCTACTAGAAAGTATCATGAAAATGGTGTTATCAGCATATAGTTACTGTAAAAGTTTAGCTAGCTGCAAAATTTTATATGACATTGTATATGATAAGTACATTTTTGCAACTGAAATTGATTAACTTTTTTAACAGTTGGTAATATATACTATCTTTATTTTTTTAAATAACTATTTAAACCATTGACTATATGTTATTGACAGTGTTAAGCAGCTTTAAAATTTATATACGGTTATTGCTAATAACAAATAAACTTTTTTAAATAACATGGATTTGTATTGTATGTGTGGATAAATTTAAATGTTTTTAGTTCAATAATAAGATTTAACTCTGAAATATATCACCAGGAACAAAGGAACTGTTTACTATATACACAAGCCGCAATTAAATTTACATGCAATCAAATCAATTGGTTTCCTAAGCCACAACATTATATATATATCCATTTCTCCGTTCAATTAACACAACCAAACTGTTAAGTCTATTGTGCATTTATTACATCGTTGTAGTCTTCACATAATTGAGCATAGTCCCGACAAGTCACTCCCTTTCTGCACAGGGGGTTGTCTGCTGAACTGGACGCCCTCCAAGTTCGGCTTCAGCTTGTATTCCAGCTCAGGTTCCTCACCCGGCGGGAGTGGTTCATCATCGGCGCTGACGTCTTCCAGCATCGGCTCTAGATTGTTAACTGCGGTGGGAATGGCCTTGGTAATGTTGATCCTGATTCCGCCCACGGGAAGGACCGCGGTGGGCGGCGCCGCGTCCAGCTGCACGTTTCCGTCTATCGATGAGGTCACTGTCGTGTGTGTCGTTTCAATTGTGGTGGGAAGACGTTCCTCCTCGGCAGTTATTACGGGCTCGTCATCTGCAATTGAGAGTATTGCTTTGGTTTTGCAATCTAGAATACGTATTAAACTTTCGCCGTGACAAACACTCACAAATGTGACGTTTAATAATGCCACGTAAACGGTTCTACTATAGTTTTTATTTACTCTGGTAGTATTAGTTTCTCTTTAATTCTTCGCTATTAATTATTGATTTATATGGTAGTTATATTCACGATATATACTTAATATAATAAAGCTGAAGAATTTGTTTGTTTGAACATGCCAATCTCTGGAAGTACCAAATGGATTTGAAAAAATCTTTTTGCATTTGAAAGCTCAATGCTTGAGTAAGGTTATAGAGTATTTAACATCACGCTATGACCTATGGGCGAAAAGCAGAAACGATTCTCGCAGATTTAATCGCATGGGACAGGTAATTAATGAAAAAACAAAATCTGTTGATATCGAATATCTCGCCCTACCATGCTTTAAAACCAAACCAATGCATTGATATCAAACTGTTCTATTTTGAGTATTATTATTTGAGAGGCAATCGAGGAAATATTATAGAGACGTGTCGCGGCTTCTGCTATTGCATATGATTAAGCATCACGTAAGAACGCCGCGACGTGCATTACGTCAAGTGAGTAAGATAAGTTAGGCCATAAATTATAAAAATAACAATGCGCTTGCATCTTTCTGTCACTAGTTACTCATTTAGGTAAGTAAAGTTTTGCCCTAGTTACTCATTTAGGTAAGTAAAGTTTTGCCCTAGTTACTCATTTAGGTAAGTAAAGTTTTGCCCTAGTTACTCATTTAGGTAAGTAAAGTTTTGCATAAAACAATAAAAAAATCTCCTTGAATTTTCATAATTTGTTTACTGTGGGACAAAAACTTGTGTTATAGCAGAAATGGGCAGGCTGGGCAGGCTCGGCAGGCACATAAGACCGACGTGAAGTAGAAGTATCATATTTTCGCGGTTCATGCAAAGTGAGGTAGCCACATTCAATTTTTTGAAGTTTGCAGAGACGGCATCGAAAAAAAATATCGTTCCGTTAAAATAATACCTAGCGGAACAAATGGGCAGGCTTCTCCGGGAAGTGCCATGGCCTCGTAGAAGACTGACTTAAAGTGTTATAATTTCGCGGTTCTCGTAAATTGAAGTAGCCGGGGGCCTATTCCATTAAACTTTGTCTTCATTGCGTCTCCCCGCTCAATGCTTAGCTTAGGCGAGATGCTTACTCGTTTCCAATAAAAGCAATCAAATAAAAAAATATCTTTATTCAAATAGACGCTTGCGCGTTTTTATCAATCGTCAAATTTAACATAGATATATATATATATATATATAGATATATATATATATATATATAGATATACGAATATATACTTTATATATATATATATATATATATATATATATATATATATATATATATATATATATATATATATATATATATATATATATATATATATATATATATATAGGTTCGTAAGGCACCACCGGTTCGGAAAGCAGTTTCTGCTGAGAAGAGACCGGCAAGAAACTCAACAGTTGCCCTTTTTCGAGTGTACGAGGCGGGGCTCTCACCGGGGTCTATGGGCTCCTGCTTGACCCGCACTCGGCTGAAGTCCAGCATGGCGGTGCGGTCCCTCTCGTGGCGCTGCGCCGCCGTCTCGTCGTCCGTGTCCGCGTCCTCGAGCACCACCTGCTCCACTGGTTCCGCTTTCAGCACCACGTCGTCATCCGATTCGCTATCGGAACCCTCCTCGATCTGTGGAAAAATTACATGTTCATCGTGATAATAGCTTACTTTTATAAATACCGACTGTGGTTGTAGGCAGCAACGCATCAGTCTTGACTGTTGCAAGAATGTGCAGGTCCGGATAAACAAAACTACCTAACGGAAGAATGGCGTGAAGTGGAAGTATTATACTTCTGCATTTCGTCTGGTGAGTGTTACCACACTTAATATAACGAATATATACTTTTTAATTCCCTTCAATTTCGTTATATCGAGGTAGCACTGTATTAGCGTTTTAAATTACTCGGACTAGTGATATAAACAATGCTTACCTCCAAAGCTTCAACGTCAGGCTCTTTAATCTCCAGTACTTCCACGTCGGATTCACCATCTGAGGCATCCGCAACTTCTTCAGTGTCCTTTATCTCTATTGGCTCTGATTTTTCAACTTCTGGTACCTCTTCTTTTGACTCTTCCTGTTCCTCTTTAGCAAGGGATGCCTGTTTAAAAATAAGGACAAATTATTTTGGAACTACAAATATCTTTTATTTTAATAACTAGTAACAATTACTTAAACTATATAAACATTGTCTAAAATTACTATGGTTCAAACCAAAGTAAAAAGATTAGCCACAATAAAAATAACAGTTTTAAGATATTAAAATTTGTCAAAAAATGGACAAATTTTTTTGCTACTGCGAGAATCGAACCTATGTCTTGCAGATTCTCGCATTACACTTTAACAACTATGCTAAATGGCTGACTGCCGCACCAACGAAAATCAACGTATTTTATCTAAATTGGGGTTGTATGCACTTTTTGCAATGCTTTATTATGCCTTATTTATCTAATAGCCACCTTCTAGGATGGAGCGTATTAATGAACAGATAAGAATTGAACAATTAGGTTTTCACTGAGCTATTGTGATTGCTATATGTTACACACATGTTTATTCAGGTGTAAGGGAAAAAGTAGCACTGGTCTAGTTTGTAAATTATTTAATAACTAGCCTCTAGGATAGAGCAATTTATTGAACAGTTAAAATTGAAGAATTTGTCATTTGAGCACAATGGAATTTTAATTTTCGCTTTAGTCTGTAACCTGTTTGGTTGCGGTGCCAATGATTGTGGAGTACCAGCCCAGTTTGAGAAACATTTTTTTTGCGAAAGTGGCAAACGAACTGGCGGATCACATGATGTTAAGTGATAACCGCAACTGGAAGGGATCTGTAACCCCTTCGAGTTACAATAATCTGGGCCTCAGCTACCTCACTCAAACGTTCAAACGTAGAAGTGTCCCACCAGGACGGACCTGGGCATTCGTGCAACAGCTCGTACCGTTGGCGGCGTACCTTGTAGTCGGCGAGGCAGAGCGGGTGGTAGTGGCGCGCGTCGTGGCAGAGCGCGTTGCGCAGGTGCCACTCCTCGCGGTCCTCGTTGTAGAACTGCAGGAAGGGGTCGCCGCAGAGGGCGCAGTGGGCCGCCTTGGGCGCGCCCGCCGCCGCGCTGGGCGCCTCGCCCGCCCCCGCCCCCGCGCCCGCCTCGCTCGCCGCGCCCGCCCCCGCCCCCGCGCCCGCCTCCCCGCCCGCCGCGTTCGTCTCGAACCAGTTCTTCTCTGTATACGAACGTTGGGTAATCCTTTAATGTATGTTTCAAATATTTTTGTGCGTATTACTGGCGATGGTCACACATACCTGTGAGATTTGAAAGCGAAATGGGCGAAGATAACTGGTTTTTATAATAGCTGTCACAACGTAAATTCCCTCAATTCGAGCTCGCCTTTAGGTTGTCATCACAACAATGTAATACAGATTTTGTATTTAAAAAATATCACAAATAAAAACGAAAACTCTTCAAGGTTCGATATCATTTAAGTTTAAGTTGCCAAGACATTTGACTTCAGCTGGAGAGTCAGAGATGACCGTTTTGGAGTCGATTGTTCGACGCCAAACGCACCTCTCTCGTCGAGCTCCTCGAGCTCCTCGTAGCGCAGCCAGTCGGGCAGGTCGTAGTGCCAGGCGCGCGAGTGCGCCCTCCTGGCGGAGTCGCGCTCGCGCCGGTTCTGGCGGAAGTGCCAGTCCAGGTGCTGCGAGTAGCGCACCGTGTGCTCCGGCGGGAAGCGCGCGCCGCACCCGCTGCATTGCATGCCGCCGTACAGCCGCCGCACCAGCCCCGGCTGCGGCCTGCCGACGTCAACAAGGCGATGTGTTTCTCTGACGATTGTTATACAAATACTAGCCAAGTAACAACACGGAAGAATACTTACACTTTCAAGGTCTCCGGTTTGAGCAAGTCCACTTTGTGAATGACGCTCTTGTCTTCGATCTGCTTAGGCTTCACGTCCTCCGGTTTGGACTCCTCCTTTTTCTCCTTAGGCATCGGGACTATGCCCGTCGCGACGAGTTTAGCGAACAGGTCGTTGATGTTGATGTTGCTGGGAATCGGCAGCGGGTTGGCCGGCTTCTCCTCCGAGGGTGTCTCCAGGCCGGGGATTTTGGCGGAGCTGTTGAAGAGGGGCTCCGCCACGCTGTACTCGGAGCCCGAAGCGGGCGCCATGCTCGACGGCATCAGGCTGGCCAACATGTCGAGACCTGGAATATATTTGCCATTACAATAGAATTTTTTTCAATTTGTGTTAATATAATAAAATAAAGTTAAAAAGAAAATTGATTGTTTGTTGCACGGTCAATTCTTATAAGAAAGAATCGATCTATGTAAGATGGAAATAGGCATTGTGAAACATAAAATACCCTATGTAATAAACTACTAGAGTGTAAAACAAAATTTATAGTTGGTTACATATATTTAAGTTTACAATATTTTTTTATGAGATAGTGGTTCCCACGATGTTAAGTGATATCAACCACACATGAACATTGCAACACCGTAATGTTGCAGATGCTTTGCCAACTTTCGTCGTGGTACTTCCTCAGACGTACCTACCCATTCGGGCTGTTGCGTGGTCCTACCATTTTCATCTGCATTTCCATACATTTTATTTATAGATATAACTAATTACAAAATGCAAAACATTCAAAACTACATGTTAACTTTTCTGTTATAATCTAGATTAATACGATTAAGCTTTGAGATTGTTACCTTGGTTCTCTCTATCGGGGCTGGGTGACTTGTTCGGTCTCGGCTCGGGCTCCGCTTCTGCCTCCTCGGGCTCCTTTTCCGGGACGGACATCTTGTCCACGGGTGGCGGAAGTCTGGGGACTGCGGGAACAGAGACGCCCTCCATGTCAGCTATCTGCACCTGACCGGGCTTCACTTGTCGCGGCAGCGCCGAGAAGCGGATGAAGAACTTCTCCTTGCCGACGAATATAGGCCTCGGCAGGTCGCCGAACTCCACTTTGAACGGTTTCTCGTTTATCAGGACAGTGCGTAGAGCGTCGACGAAGCGCAGCGTGAAGAACTGCCCGTTTATGAGCACCTTCTGCACCTTGGCGTCCAGGTAAACGGGGCACATTTGGGTGGCGTTGATGATGAGATTGATTTTGCCGGCCACCAGGTCCGTGCGCTTGGTTTTGCCGATGTCCACCTGGGGCAGTGGACCCTCGAGGTGGAGGAGGCGCGGTTTGCCGTCGATCAGCACGCCCAGCGGCTGCCCGCCGAAGAAGCACTCGTACCACCTCCCGTTGATGTAGAGCTCGCGTGTCGGCGCACCGAAGCGTATGTCGAACACCTGCTCGTCGATCTCCACCTGCTTGTAGCCCTCGTTGAAGTTGAGGATCACGGAGTCCTTGTTGTCGAAGGTGACCCGCCTGCAGCCGGGCAGGAACTTGATCTCGCGCGGATCGTCCCAGTCGAGCATGATCACCGCCGTCTCACCGTAGAACCTGATCTCCCTGGGCACCCCGTCGATTTGGATGGTCTTGACCGGGTCCTGGTCTATGTACTCCAGGACCTGGAAGTTGGTGGGCGGGATCGTGTGGCCGGGCGCGCCGATCGGGGGCGGCGACTCCGTCCGCTCGTACGGCGCGAGGGGGCTCTCGCCCTGGCACATGCCGAACTTCGGGGCGGGCAGCGGTAACGGCAGCCGAGGGTCGAAAGGCATTCTCGGCGCCCTCTTATCAAACTTCCCCCTGAAGTAGGGCGGCACAGGTCCCCTGAACCGCCTGGGTCCGAACTCGTCCATCCGCGGCCGCAGCTGTCCGCGCCACATCGGGTACGGGCCCATGTACATCGGCATCATCGGCGGGAGCGGCAGCAGCCCCTTAGACTTGGCCGCGTCGAGCGAATCCCCCGGCGGGCCCGAGTTCATCCTCATGTCGGAGTCCTGCATGTAGTTTTGGCTGTCCGGCGGGGTTTCCATGAAAACTGACGGCGTGACCCTCTCGTCGATATCGCCGAAGTTGTTCCTGTCGGACGGGGACGTTTTGGGGCTGGCGATTTTGTGGTTCTCCTCGTCGATGTGCGCTTTCAGCTTCCGCTTGGAGAGCTCAAGCGACTCCCTCTGCTTGGCCTCTTTTAGCTTTAACTTTTCATTCAATTGCAGCACCTGATACATGAGGGTGTTGTACTGGTTCTTGTCGAGCTTGCCGTCGCTGAACTGCTCCTTGGCTTGGGACATGATGATGGATATCGTCTTCTTGTGGTCTTCGGCCGTGAAGTCATCACCGCTGTCCGATCTCTGATCCCCGTCGTCTGGACTGAGCGTACGCCGTCTCTCTCTCTCGATGCCTGGTTAAGAGTGAAAAAGGATATTTTAATCAAAAGACATACTACTCAGCAATTCTCACGTTTACCAGGGAACTACAGACAGTTGCTTAGTGATCCTTTTTATTCTAAACGATAAATAATAAAAGTACTTTTGAAATATTTATTTTTACGATAATGGTTTACGTAATTACATATAACACCATCTACATAACAACTGCTGAACGTCTGGCGAAAAGCATGTAAATCGTTATATATGTACATTGTTTACTATAGTCTGATGATGACTGTAAGTTAGTGCATAATTATGCTACAACGGGTATAGTAACGTAAGATTATTTGGGACAATGAAATTGTAATAATCAGGCGAATCTGTTGAAAGCATGTGAAACAAACTCACTTGGTGATTTGCTGAAGAGCAGGGGTCTGCCCAATCGGTCCTTGCCCTTGGTCGCCTCCGCCAACTTGGCCCTGACCAGGTCCAGTTTCGAGGGCGTTTTCTTCGTGTCCTCCTTCTTCTCCTTGACCTCGTGCCAGTCCTTCTTTGGCGATAATGCGGGCGACGGTCCGTACTCCTCCGAGTCGTCTAGGTCCTCGACGACTTTCGGTTTCTCCGTTATGAGCGGCGGTGGGGGCGCGATCACTTCGTCCACCTGCGGCAGCTGACGCAGATCCACGTCCTCGTTGCCGAACAGGCTGCCGATTTTACGTTTCGGATGAACAATCATTGAGTAACCCAAAATCGCGCGACATAAAAAGCAACAGCCTATACATGAGGTAGCCGGATAGCACTTTACATATCTTGGAAACATTATTTTTTATTGTTATATCGAAAATATGCAGGTTTCTTCACGATGTTTACCTTAACCGCTGCACGTGATATGTCAGCACATCAAATTAGCAATTTCATTGGTTCCGGCACCGAGGATCGAACTCAAGTTGCTCGAGTATATTGAATTAAAGGCGAGCACCCGGACACGCTATCACTAGTTTAGTTAGCCGCGTTAGTTTATAAAATATTTGTCTAAAGGTACTGAGTTAAAACTGTGTTAGATTCAAATTTTTGGCTACCCGCAGGCGGGGTAACATGTCCACGTAACACGTTATATGATATGCAAACTTTCTCTTGCTCAGATTACTTTTATATCTCTATAGACCAGTAAAAATGGTCTAAGAAGTCACCTGCACCCTTATGAATCAATGAAAGTGCCCCCAAGTGTCTTCAATGGATTATCATTAAACATACTTTACAGGAATACAAAAACATCTTTTTTTTAATTCAAAACTGGCCAGCACTGCCATCCCACATGATGTTATCTCATCAAGGTGGGGTTTACACAATATGTGAGTAATTTTGTTAGTGGTTTGGGCCGTTTTTACGACCGGCCGTCTCTCTGTCTTTACCTCCCTCGGGAACAAACACTTAGATCCAGAACAATTATCTATTGGTCACAAATATACTTGTGCTAGGTTGAAATTGAACCCGCGATCGGCGCCGAGGCCGCTAGCTTGGCCGCGCAACTACGGTCATCACACTTTAAAGGAGTATTCATCATGAACTGTTTTAAAGGAAAAATTGGCAACCGAGAAGGCGGTCTATCTTATATTGTGTGTATCTTATACGGTTAGCTCAATCACCAGACGCAACGCAATAACAGATGTGAAGCGAAAAATAAAAGTATAATATTCCCAAGCCGGTAGTATTCGTGCCGGCCTAATTAACCGATCATAACTATGAAAAAAATTAAGTATATGGTCGTACGTGTCATTCGACCACATGACAAATGACCACAATTACATGCGCCATTAATTAGCACGTATAAAGATTCACATGTATTTAAAGTCAAACCTTCGTAATTGGAAGAGTGATGAACGTGAACCCATACCAATTTTAGTTGTTGTCACATAGTCATCATAGAAGAACAGTCATATTTTTAATTATGTTATGTCATTATAATATCTTGTTTATTAAATGTATTATACATAGTACCCGGAGGACCTTAAGGTGTTTTTTTTTTTTTTGGTAAATCGTGTATTTTGGAAATTACATTTAGATACAAATTACTGAGTAATGAAATATGCATAATATTTTTCGATCTTACCTACGTAATAATAAGAAAATATGAACTGATGTTTTTCACAAAAGAAAGAACTTAAAAAAAAAGGGAAAAAAATAACAAAATAACAAATCGACAAAAAATTAAAAGAAAGAGAAAGCAATGATCTGGAATCGAAAAAAAAGTAAAAAAATAAATGTGTAAATGATCGTGACGCGAACCACGGCCGTCTGTTTTGGGGTCGCCCGATTACCGACCGAGCTATTATGACATTTTCTCTTGCGGCGAAATTTACCGTCATATTCGAATTAATTTAATTAATTGAGGTTTTTAATTAAAATTAATTGAGCCGTGATAGCTCAGTGTCCGGGCGCTCGCCTTAATTCAATGTATACTCGAGCAACCTGAGTTCGATCCCCGGTGCCGGCACCAATGAAGTTTTTAACTTTAAGTGCTGAATTATCACGTGCGCCGCGGTGAAGGAAAACATCGTGAGGAAACCTGCATATTTTCGGAATAATAACAAAAAAAAAATGTATTTCGAAAATATGTGAAGTCCGCCAATCCGCAGTGGGGCCGCGTGGTGGACTATGCCCTGATACCCTCTGTATAGAGGAGGCCTTTGCCCAGCAGTGGGACATGTATAGGCTGTTACTTTACTTTTACTTTTATTCGAATTATATTTTTCATTCCCTGAAAACAGAGATAAAAGGACATTTTCTAAAAATGAAACCTAGCTAGATCGATTTTTCGCCCCCGAATCTATGCGCATACTAAATTTCATGAAAATCGCTGGAGCCGTTTCCGAGATTCCGATTATATATATATATATATATATATATATATATATATATATATATATACATACAAGAATTGCTCGTTTAAAGGATAAGATTCCGGTTAGAGCAGTTTAAGAACCGATTGGTAAGGCTGTTTCTCTCACTGAATTATACGAATCTAATGTTAAATATTGAAACATTTGCCTAAGACCAGAGTGATATTATGGTCATTGTACAATTACTAAAGCATACGTCGTGTAAAACTTTCGAAAGAAGTAATCTCCATGAGTTCTGACCATCTGAATCCAATTGATTTTATCTGGACGTATTATTTTACAATTTTTTATAACGTCTCATGTCGTTCTAACGACACAAACTCAGCAATGATTCTACTATGGGTTCTATAGGTAACTGATAAACATTCTTAAACAAACTTTTGTAAATCCATACATATAAATTGCTTCAAATCAACACACAGTATTTTTTCTTCACTGGAGTAAGAACCCACAGCCTCTGGCGCATGAGACAGATACACTGCTACTACCTACTTCGCCATTTAGGTCGTCAAATATAGATTGTCACGTGGAGGGGACCAAGAGAACCGTCCCTTATACAGCGTGTCGTTACCATCGCGACAATAAATGAACACACGTCTATCGCTACTTGCCAATAATTAAAAAAAAAAAATTATCAAACAAACTAATTAAGTAAAAAAGAAACAAAATTTGTAACATCCTATACAACTCGCGCCACAGCGTCGTATTACAAGCCTCCTCAAGTGGTAACGACACGTTGTATATATATATAGTATATACAGCGTGTCGTTACCATCGCGACAATAAATGAACACACGTCTAACGCTACTTGCCAATAATCATAAAAAAATATTAACGTTAAGCAAAATCCATGATTAAAAAAAAATATTTATCAAACAACTAATTAAGTAAAAAAGAAACAAAATTTGTAACATCCTATACAACTCGCGCCACAGCGTCGTATTACAAGCCTCTCTGTCTAACAGTATGTTTTGTCTCTTTTAAATTCATACAACCCATTCATATGCTTTGTGACCTTTACAAATGAACTTTACGTTACGCTTTTATAGGTAAGGATGTTCTAAAATTCTTTGTTTTGGAAAATTTAATAACTCTGTAAATATTGATGTTTAAAGAATTTAAATGTTTAATACAACTTTATAAAGTTATCCCCTATATGTGTGTTCATTTATTGTCGCGATGGTAACGATACGCTGTATATAATAACTTCAATATATGTATATACTAACTAGTGCTAGCTTTCTCTAAAATTCAACTAACTTATATAGGAAATAAAGTTTTTTAAGAAATTAAAAAGAGCACAAACATGTAGCACGGTGCCTTAGTCAAAACTGTCGTAAATGAACACCATTATATCACAAAAAAGATGTCCGCGCACATTGCAACTTCTAAGCGCGTAACGTTTAAAAGTAACAGCCTATAAATGAGGAAAGGGAGTATTAGGGCGTAGTCCACCATAAACGTTTTTTTATTATTATTTCGAAAATATGCAGGTTTCCTCGCGAATTTCATTACTGGTACCGGGGACCGAACTCAGGTTGCTCGAGTAAATGTTATTAAAGGCGTGTGCCCACACACTGAGCTATCACGGCTATAACATTTAAAAGATCCGGCTCGAAGGACCAGATCAACTCTATTATAAAGTAGTTTGTTTATGTCAAAGATATCTTCGACCCAATCGGCCATATTTCGAACTCGAAAGGGATTCGAACCCAATTGGGTTCCATAACGATATATTCGCAATCCATTACCAAAGCCTACGAAATGACTTTCGCCAGGCGCGCGGTGATATCGAACTGTGTACTTACATGTCGAACTTGTCGAGCTTATTCTTCTTAACCTTCCCCTCGAGGCTCTCGGTGGACGGTCTCTTCTGGGCCACCGGCGCCGGCGTCGGCTCGCCGATAACCGGATGCAAAACTCTTAGATCAACATCCTTGTTTTCCACTACAACGTCGAGCACATCTGAAAAATTCACTAAATTTTTATGCAATCTACCTCCGGGTATAGCGTCGATAGACTATCTCGCGCTGCTCGGAGTCTCCGTCGCACCTCTGGCCACTTTAGCGACTAAATCCTCAATGTTTAAAGATAGGTAGATCTTCATCACACACACATGATGTTTTTCTTGTACCAAACTGTTCGAGTTTGCTGACAATATTATCAGCAATGGATTATTTTTAAAACATTAATCACTTGTTTTTTCGTTTTTCTTCCATAAGCCGTTCGCAAATAAGCATGTTTGCCTTTTTTTAATCTAAGCCACCCCGAGCTTAGTTAAAAAATTTAACACGAAGCCGTTATATTTCACAAAGCTTTATATAAATATGTAGTTAAGTCGTAAAGTTGAATACCAATAGAATATGAGATTGAGGCTCATTAAAACGATAAAAAAGCGGGTATTTTAATGCGGGTAGGAAAGATAATCTCTGCACGCCCATAAAGTTACTTAACTAAAACTGCACTAATTCATATTAATGTAAAGGAAAAAAAATCAAAGATTTAGACGTTGAAAATGTATTACTTCGTATGTTGATGAAATAGATGGAGTGAAATGGAGAAAGTACAAAATGCAGGAACTACTGAAGACTGTAATAGAAATGAAACGCTAGTAAGGAGATACAGAGAAGGTGCATCGCGGAAGCATCACTGCAGAAAAGGTCGAGTTTTGGAATTAAAATTGCAGAAACTGCAGTTGAACTAACATTGGTTAGTTGGTATTGATAGTGTTGGTGCATGATGATATATGAGATACATGAGACATGATGGTATAAAATCAATTTGTTAATTTTACTGCCACATTGTACAAGAGAATTTGTATTTCAACATAGAAGTTGGAGTGAGTAAGTTAGCTATGTATGTAGCTCACTTAAAAAAAAGATAGGCCAATGAAACAATTTACTGCTAAAATTATCGCTATGAGAGTTTGCACATTAGTGACAACAGTAACTAAAACAAAGTTCACTACACTGTTAGTTTAGGACTGGGCGTCTAAATGGGCGAGAACATGCAAAGTTACAGAAGACGATGACATAATAACTATTGACAGTTAGTTAAGAAAATCAGGCATTAAAAAAGGTTGGAACAATTGAAGACGCGCGTGGCGGTGTATTTTTAATTCTAACAGGTGTAGAAACACTGATATTGTAAGATGGGATCCTAACTTTTTAATTTTTTTTATGTGATAACCGTCGCTTATTGACATTTGCAAAACCCCTATGGTTGCAGATACTTCGCCACCTTTTAATAAAGTGGGCCCCGGCAACTGCACTCGCCAGACGAAACGTAGAAATAAACACTTCCAATTTACGCTGTTTTGTTATTATATTAAGTTTCTGATATTTAAATGAACGGTGGGAATGAAATCACCATAAAATGTTTGGTCCCGAGATTCGTAAGAGATTTGTTAATATTTTTAAATAGCGATGGTGTTGACAAGACACTGTGGTTGTTGTGGTTTCTGCTTTACTAATCGTCCAACTTTACGTTGATACTGACGTCTTGGATCTTCATTTGTTGATACCATGAGCTGTTCTTCTTGTTCACTAAAGTCTTCTTCACTAAGAGATAGGCCTACACAATGGCTTTGCCTTGTATTTTTGACACAAGTTTGTTTTATATATTTTTTTATAATGTGCGCCTGAGTGTTCGACAAAAAGCCGTTAAATTCCAAAATAGATCATAATTACATGAGATCAAATCGATCATGGATTTTTCGTAGAACTTATGAAAAGCGAAAACTCGTGGTTTTGATTTTGTTGACAGCTGACAGCCTGGTCTTCTAAGATCTTCTCGCGTAACACAAGGGAATCCAAAATGCCTGATTTATCATCCTAATACATGTTTAAAAATGCAGATGGGTACTTCATTCCGATGCACTTATTGGTGCTTTCAACTTGCAAATAAAAATGTAGACCAAAACTATATTGACCTATAGAAATATCTCTGAACTTTGCAAAGAATAGCTTGTTATTTCAAGAGATAAAGTACGGTAATTTATTGGAAAAGAAACAAAGATGTTTAAATGATATTTAAAACTTCTATGTACTAAATTTGAGTTTTTGCAGAGTTTTAGCCACATTTTGTTATGATCATAATATCAAAGGGCAATTTAACTGTCTTGCATATAGCCAGCAAAGCCTTACTTGATAAGTCCAAAATTATAATTCAGTAAATGATATTACCATGTTGCTTGGATTATAGTCTCCAGCTAGATATCAGTTTTATTTACATATATCCCATTACCCTTTTAATTGAACTAAAAATAGATAGTTTAAACTAGGCTAATTTCTAATTATATAATGAGATTCTGGATGGTTTTGCTATTCAAAACAAACTATTTAGATGGATTTTGTTAGAAACATATGTTTATAAATGTTTAACTGGTCTAATAAAGGGAAAATAATATCATATCAATGTAACTTAATGTTTGGCGGCTCTGACGTTTCGACGGATGGGTTATTACTGAAGTCCCTCAGTTCATACTTACTTATAGTGATGCAATTAAAGATATGCTTATCTTTTACTTTGTATTATTAATTTTCACTCGTAAGACGAGTTCATCGGGTACTATTAATGGATCCTTTCAACTACAATCCCTACACAGAACCGCCGCTACACCGAAACCGTGCTAACAAAAAGATCCGAAACCGTTCGAATCTCACTGGTGAGGGGATCTCACGGAGAGCCGTCGCATAGTGCGCCATCGGTCAATATGAATACTCCAGCAGTTGAAAAACTCTTTTATTATCACACACACACAACAGCCCGCGTGCCAGATTACAACCTAGTAACACAGTCCGGCCTACGTATACGGATATCTTACTTGATGGTTCACTATCGGCCACCGCGTTCTCCGTCCGCTCGGGGCTTTCGGACTTGTCCCTGTTGCGGCGCATGTACCGCTCCCGGTTGAAGTTCTTCAGCGCCTTGAAGGCGACCGTCTCCTGGGGCCCCTCCTCGCCCTTCTCCCTGGGCTTGCCCCTCGTCTTCCGCTTGTCGGGCGAGGTCTCCTTGGGGTTCTGGTCGCGCTTCTTCTTCCTCTGCTGCTCCTTGGGGCTGTCGCGCCGCCGCTTGGGGGCGTGGGCGGCTCGTCGGGCAGCGCGGGCTGGGCGGGCTGCGCCGGCTCGTGGTCCCGGCTGATCCTCGGGATGGGCGGCAGCCGGTTGATGCGCTTCGGGTCTGGTATCTGGAGCCGCTCGATGTAGTCGTCCTTGGGCCTCTCCTTGGGGCGGGGCCTGCGGTCGGCGCGCGGGTCCCTGCGCCGCGGGGCGGGCCCCTTCATCGCGTCCGGCCTCACGTCGATCGTGATCACGTTCTTGCGCTTGGTGACGCGCTCCGGCGGCGGTTTGGCGTCGAACGCGCTGCTCGCGGGCGACGGGCCGTTGGCCGCGGGCGGCACTTGCGGCGGGTGAGGTGCTTGCGGCACCTGCGCCACCTGCTGCGGCACGGGGCGGCGCGCTAGGCGGGGGTCCCGGCGCGCGGCGACCAGCGGCCCGCTCACGGGCGCTATACGCCCGCCCCCCGCTTTGTTCACCGGCTGCGAACACGATTGAACGGTTCAGGACAGTCGGCACAAGGGTTGTGGAACGATTCTCAGTCGATAGAGCAACTCCCACAGACAACTCTTCTCCTTACTGGGGAGGTCGTGGTACTTACCCGGACGTGCCTGTCATACATGCAACAGTTGAGGCTGCTGCGTGGCCCTACCACAGTTTGAAATATACAGCGGGTCGTTACCATGGCGACAATAAATGAACACACGTCTAACGCTACTTGCCAATAATCATAAAAAAATATTAACGTTAAGCAAAATCCATAATTAAAATATTTTTCAAACAAACTAATTAAGTCAAAAAGGAACAAAATTTGTAACATCCTATACAACTCGCGCCACAGCGTCGCATTATAAGCCTCTCCTTCTAACAGTATGTTTTGTCTCTTTTAAATTCATTCAACCCATTCATATGCTTTGTGACCTTTACAAATGAACTTTACGTTACGCTTTCATGTGTAAGGGTGTTCTAAAATTCTTTGTTTTGGAAAATTTAATAACTCTGTAAATATTGATGTTTAACGACACGCTGTATATTGTAAGCAAAATCATTATATCGACCAAGACAACGGCAAGGAACAAATATAATATTCCTATCTGGATTTTGTAATTGTGTAATAACTTTTACCATATTTAAGCTTATAATATTATATCCACGCCAGTAAACATCAAAATGTACCACTGGTACTAACTACAAGATTGAGAGCCATTATCATGGGAAATTTGAAAATATAAAAAAAAATTAGGGCTTGTTCACATCATTACAAATGCTAATGCTATGCCTAGCACTTAATACTATTAAGACACTCGGAAGCATAATATACATCAATTAAGACTTTAACCGACCCTAAAAAAAGGAAGTTGTTAATTTGTCGATTTTTTTGTCATTCTGTAGCGTTGTATTTATTTTGGGGCATAAAGTTCCATATAAATACGTACATCTGTATTGGAATAAGAAAAAAAACTGATCTATTCAATTTATAACAGAGTTATCTTTTATTAAACTTCTGTCCCCCAACAGCTAACCATAATAATTTTTTGGAATTTTTAGTTCTCTTGCATTTATTTTTGTTCCCATGACTTTGTCGGAATCGTTGTACATATTTTTAAAAATGATTTTTTTTTCCTTATTAAGAATAGCTTACTTACAACTTAAGACTTACTTATAAAAATCACAATACCAAAACGCCCTTGGCCGACAGCAACACTTATTTTTAAGAATAGAAATATATCCTCCTGATATTTTCCTTCAACCTTATTGCGAATTGCCGAACCAGAAAGCCAGGTGCATATTTTCGAAACAATAACAAAACGGAACCCTAAAAATTAACAGCCCAAAGTTAGATGTATCTAGATAATTTAAACAAAACCCATTACGCAATCGACCGCAACTCTTGACTCATTTTACACATAGGTATTGGTATTTTATACGTGTTTATTCAATTAATTTAGTCTTTTATGATTCCACCTCAGTTTTAATACTCGGCCACTGCTGTTTAATTCAGACATGTGAGTAAAAAACAACTATTGCAATGTACTCAATATTTTATATATTATGTATATATATATATATATATATATATATATATATATATGTTATATAGATATATATTTGTATACAAACACGGTTCCTTTTTATCATAGAGTACACTTCAATTTAATAGATATTAATAATAATCCCTCCTGAGAAATACATTAAACTTGTTTTGAGATAACCTTTTAATAAATGAACAAAGTTCATGCCAGGAAACAGGTCAGGAAATCCCAATAAGTACATAAATAATACCCAAGTCGTTAATGGCAGTATGACTACATCTGATGACATCAGAATAATAAATCAATATTATTTGACGAAATATTGCGAAATGTTATGGGGCTTGTGAAAATGTCAGATATTGAAAACCGTGTACATATTGTAATAACGAGCAATTACTTTGGAGCGTATCAAACATGAAGCTATGAAATATTTTCGATACGACGAAATATACATTTGTATGTAGTGATAATTCAGTGAACGTAGTATCTCCAATCAATTCAGCATATACGTGAAACAAGTTAAAGACTGAACTGTGTTGCAATCTTAAGTACTTATTTAGGCATAGATTGGCGATCAAGGTAAACTTCCTCAGGAAGTTTATCTTGATTGATACTGAATAAAGACTACTAAACACAATGGAGCGCGAAAATGATATCTATCATATTTCTTCGCGGCTTATTTTTGACCTTTTGTAATAAGACTTTTGTCCAACGTAAAATTACGATTATATTTTATAATATCGATTATATAGCGGTACGATTACATTGAAATTATTACATCATCAAATAATTAAATGTAATATATAAAAGTCTCGTGTCACGGTGTTCGTAATTGAACTCCTCCGAAACGGCTCGACCGATTTTCGTGAAATTTTGTGTGCATATCGGCTAGGGTGGAGAATCGGACAACATCTATTTTTCATCCCCCTAAATTTTAAGGGTGGTCCACCCCAAACATTTTTTTCTACACTACAAATAATTTATATGGCAAAACAAAGTTTCCCGGGTCAGCTAGTGATTTTATATACATTAGAAAATTTCAGTATAAACTCAGTAAAAAATACTGCGTGATATTTACGCATTTTCGGCAATTCGCAATATCACACAATCATCTATATGCCTACTTAAATAATGAAATATGAATAAAAAGACTTAATGTCCATTTAATCAATAGAAATTTGGGAATATGCGTTGTAGTATTTAATTTGTCGAATGATGTGTGATGATAATGAAGAGGTTGTCTATTAGAGGTAGTGAATTACTCATCGATGTCGAGTACCAAGTTGAATGCATTTAGAGGTAGATAAAAATGTTAAAACAAGAAATGGCCACTACAATATAAGGGCGGAATGTGGTGCCAAACTGTGGTACTATGTATGCGCGCAATGTAAGTGGGGTAGTCAGGTCGAGAATGTAAACCACCACACAGCCACCTCTGTTTTTTGCAACTGAGAATGAATCGTGGCAAGACAGTTATTATTGCGTTTCCATCTCCTCCATTTGTAGCAGTGGTGTTGAAAACTCCTTCAATAGAGAATAGAGTATGAGACGGAGGCGAGTGTGCACTACGACTGGCCAGTGCGTGGGAGAGTTCCATCTGCTTCCGCCTAAGAGGGAATCCCCTGCCAACCTTCGAGCTTCGTCACCGTAGAAAGGGAGACGGGAGTAGGGAGAAGGATTGGATTGGGATTCCTTTTAATACTATAATGCCCTTACTTTAGGATTGCATGATCCCGTGTTGTGAGCACGTTTCACAAACACAAATTTCGTGGAACAACACCCAGATCCGAAACAATCATCTGTGCGTCTCGCAAGTAGTTGTCCCGTGCGGGACTGGAACCCACGACCCGCGGCGCAGAAGCCAATACATCGATAGCTGCGCCGCGGAATCAAAGGGAGAAGCTAGAATGGAGAGGGGAGAGGGGAGAAAGGAGAGGCGAGAAAGGAGAGGGGAGAAAGGAGAGGGGAAAAAGGAGAATGGAGGGGAAAAGGGAGAAAGGAGAGGAGAGATTGACTCACCGGGCCGAGGCGTTGCTTGATGGAGACGGGCGGGGCCGGGGGCTGGGGCGCGGGGGCTGCGCTGACGGCCACAGGGCTCACCAGCGCCACCGGCATGGCCGAAGCGCTAGGCCCCACCTGTCAGCGACATCATTTTAGAACTAGTCTCAAACGACAGTTTTTAGGGTTCCGTACCCAAAATGTAAAACGGGACCATATTACTGAGACTCCGCTGTCTGTCTGTTCGTCCGTCAGTCACCTGACTGTATCTCATGAACCGTGATAGTTAGACAGTTGAAATTGTCACAGTTGAATGTATTTCTGTTGTCTCTATAACAACAAATACAACAGATATGAATTACCGTTTTTATCGACAACTAGCTGCTGCCCGCGACTACGTCTGCGTAGAATAGGCTGAAGGCGTCACATTCAGACAGAAAGACAGATATACATAAAATATGTATATAAATTATAGCCTATGTTTTATTCTGATGTATAAGCTATGTTATTGTAAAGTTTCATTAAAATCCATTCAGTAGTATTTGCGTGAAAGTAACAAACATCCATCCATACATACAAACTTTCGCGTTTATAATATTTGTAAGGATGGTACGGAATGCTTCGTGGTTTTTTGATAAAGGTTGAAAAGAACTAAAGTCAAGTTAGTGCTTTTTAAACTTATCCTCATAGGTACTGTAATTTTTTGGCTTTTTTAATGTGGGACGTCCTGACGGTTCATCTGATGTTAAGCGGTAAGCACCGCCCATGGAAATTTGTAATCCTTTAGGGTTGCAGGCGCGTCGCCACCTTTTAACAAAGTGGGCTCCGGTCACCTCACTCACCAGACGAAACGCATAACACTTGTACTTCACGCCGGCCTTATGCGAGGTCGTGGTACTTACCCGGGCGAGCCTGCCCATTTATGCAACAAGACTGCTGCGTGGCCCTACCACAGTGAATGTTGAAAGTTGGCAAACGAGCAGGCGGTTCATCCGAGTTTCGTTCGGTGGTGGTCGTTGCCAACTTTTATATTGGGCCTTATGGTTGTCACTTTATACACCGCAGCTGAGATTGTAACGCGAGAACGAGCGGTTAGGTACTTGTCTAATCAACGCTTTGTTATATACAGCGTGTCGTTACCATCGCGACAATAAATGAACACACGTCTAACGCTACTTGTCAATAAACGTAAAAAAATATTAAGGTTAAAGAAAATCCATAATTAAAAAAAAAATATTTTTCAAACAAACTAATTAAGTAAAAAAGAAACAAAATGTGTAACATCCTATACAACTCGCGCCACAGCGTCGTATTACAAGCCTCTCCTTCTAACAGTATGTTTTGTCTCTTTTAAATTCATTCAACCCATTCATACGCTTTGTGACCTTTACAAATGAACTTTACGTTACGCTTTTATAGGTAAGGGTGTTCTAAAATTCTTTGTTTTGGAAAATGTAATAACTCTGTAAATATTGATGTTTAAAGAATTTAAATGTTTAATACAACTTTAAAAAGTTATCCCCTATATGTGTGTTTATGTATTGTCGCGATGGTAACGACACACTGTATAACAACGAAGGCGTTATTAACATTCGTTTGTCAGAGACTGATATCAAGGCTGCAACAAATCTGCAACCGTACGTGTATTTTAAATGTAAATGGGCAGCATTTATCATTTACAACAGGGACACGGCAATTTAAAAAAAAAATTGGCACTGACGATTTTTCCAACTTTTCACGTAAAAAAAACTTAGATATTAGTAAAATAGATTATAATACATAAAATTAGACTTAGTTAGATTAGATATTGCTTGTTTTCTTCTTTAACCTGCCCTTATTCCAACTAGGTGAGGTCAGTGCAACACATGAATCATACTGTTAACGGTATTGGCTAGGGTTTTCTACGAACCGAACCCAAGACTAGGGCAGCCGCAGCAAAAAGCTTAGCAGCCGCGCCATCGAGTAGGGTATTGCCTGTTTAAATGAGAATACTCCCCAAAAATCTATTTTTAAACACACGAGTCATGTTTAATAATAACGGTACATTATTGAGCAATTATGTGTGATAATTAGAATGGTTACTTCTTATGCAATTCACATTTATCTATAATCTAAGTATCATAGACCAATATAACAAATGAAATACATTTGTATATTTGGTAATACCGTAATTCAGGAAACTTCGACAGAGATAGACACAATTTAAAACAGGAATATCCCTATTGCATATTATATCAAATATTACGAAATATATAAAATATATAAGAAATTATCTTTTGTTACTAATACAAAGTTTTAAAATGTGCTCAATGTAATTCAATAAGTAATTAAATATTAATGTTTTGTAATATTTTTCATGTTTTTTGTTAATTAATTAAATTTTATAAAACAATGCTAAATAAAAAGTTGTATTTCCTTTCACAACTCCTCAATTCACAACAGAATAAATTTCAATATGGGAAAATGTGTATATAATACCCCACTTAAATAAATTTTTAGGACATATTTTTACGGAAAAATATTATCTAGTTAAAATTTGTAGACAAATTTTTAAATAAATATGTGTAGTATTCGTCGGTGTGGCAATCAGCCGTTTAGCTGTTAAAGCGTCAGGCCGCGAATGCCGAAGACGTGGCTTCGATTCCCACAGCGGAGATACTATTTTCATACTTTTTTTTTAATCTTGAGCGCAGAGATTAGCGCTATACATTAAAATTTCTAAAAATATTATCTAGTCCCAAACTAGACAAAGCTTGTTCCATGGATAGAAGGTAATTAATTAATATTAATCTTGATATATATATAACTAGCTGCTGCTAGCGACTACCCCTGCTTAGAATCAGCCTATTCTAATAGGCCTAGGCGTAATATCCTGTCTGGATAGACAGAAAGACAGATATACATAAAATGTGTATATAAATTATAGCCTATGTCTTTTTCTGATGTATAAGCAAGTATTATTGTAAAGTTTCATTAAAAATCCATTCAGTAGTATTTGCGTGAAAGAGTAACAAACATCCATCCATAATTCTAAATTTAAATTCAATTTGGTCTACTCCAAATGTTTTTTAAATTAGTTTTTTATTTATATATATTTATTTATATATAAGTTGTCGGATTTAAGATGTGTGTATGTGTACGGGCAATGTCTGGTGGGCCCCCTAGTAGATATATAACCTATACACTAGAACAACGCTATTTTCATTACACTATATTTTTCCAGTAGTGGGTATCGCACTCACACACTAATGCGTAAGTGTATTACACCTATTATATCTGTATTAGCTCTTGTAAGTTCATTCAATGTACTCTGTCCATGCGGAGCCCAATTTTCAAAAGGTTGTCAACGCATCTGTAACCCTCGGGTGTAGCAGATGTCCACGGGCGGCGGTTTTCACTTAACGTCAGGAGAACCGTCTGCTCGTTTGGCAACTTTTCACATAAAAAAAAATCACTGACAGTGTGGACTGTCCGTACGTCACTTAATTCTCTAGCCCACTGAAAACCAGTATTGTAGTCTCGAATCGACTGCAGCATTAAGCGGAGTGTGGTCAGTTTGTGTTATATGCCACACAAGTGTGTGTGTGTGGACAATGTGTGTTGTGTATTTCATAATTATTATTTTTTCCTCTTACCATTTTTTTTTGTTTGCAGTTTAAATGTACCTCTAAGATGTTGGTTGTGATTCTAACTGTTCAATCCTCGTGTGGTGTATTTGTGCAACAAATGTTTTCTTTCTTTCTATTTGTAACCGAGTAATATTTACCTTTTTAACATTCTTCTCAGCCAACTCCAGCTGTCGCCGAGTTTGTTCTAGCTCCATTTCAATCTTCTTCCTCTGCAGCATGAGCAACTCCTGCTCCTTCTTGGCGAGGATGCTGCGCATCTTCTCTTCTTCTTCTGTCAAAGCTGTGGTTGAGCTTGCTGTTGGTGCAGCATTCTGTAAAGCAACAAAGTTGTGTGAGTCTTCAGCTTATATACAAATGTTGTGTGATCGATTGTACTAAGCTTCTAAAGCCATTATTTATATGTTATATATATATGCCAGAGGGTTAAATAGCAATTGTGAGTAAACATTTTTGTGTTCCTTAAAAACCTGAGTAATTATTGCAAAAATTAATTAAGTCTCAATAGCCACTATATATCAGGCACAAGTTTACATTTTCTAAAGATATTATGTAATTACACTACTATAAGATCCAAGCAAATTAAATGGAACCACTCTGTCCTTTAGAGCCCTACATGGTGTGAATGAAACATCAAAACATAATCAACTAAAAAAACACCTTTTTCAGAAAATTTGGATTTACATGGATGTTAGACTGTTGCGGTTGGGCTTGAATTGGCCATGCAGGGTCAATCAGGTTCACTTTAACGTCCAACTGATAGAGCTTTGTTGCAGGGAACACATCGTGCCAGGTCTCCCGAAGTTTGAACATTTGTGACCTTATCTTCTCGTCAACCTGTCGAAAAACGAAGCTTCCAGTAAAGACACAAAACTCACCATGAACATATTGTAATGAACTGATACATTTTCTATATTTACCTGTTTAAAAGTCCTTGTGAACATGTTCACAATGATTTGTGAGAACTTCTGTGTGTATGCACCTCCGACATTCTTGATAATAGAATCTACTAAATACAGGACTGGCAGCTTGATCTCTGGATGAACCTGTATGGAGGAATAACATTTCCTCATCCCAAACTCCTTGGCTGACCAAGTCTAGATTGGGTTTCTCTTAGGTTTGCTTCTAATGAATCTTCAATATGTTTGCAATGGTACAGGTAAGAATAAGACAAAATTTGTTTCAGCAACGCATTTAATTTAAAGCAATCCAAAAGAAAATAAGAACTCAAGTTTTTAAAAACCTTTATTTAAACAACAGTACACAACTGAATTAGAACCAGCGAGTGTGTTTGTTAAATATTACATACCAATGAAGGTAGAGCAGCGGTTTCTGTGATTTGAACGAACAGGTATCTCCTAAGCTATGTAAATGACTGAATGAAACATTTGTTATATTATAATAATACACTTAAAAAAAACTTTTGTTTTGCTTTGTGCAATATATTAGATTTGAGAATAATGGGTTACATGATTAACATGTCACTAAGTTTCTAATTTATTGAATCATATATTTATTTTAATAAGAATGGAAAGAACACTAAGAATTTTTAAAACTTTGTTAAGAAGGAAATATTAAATTTTCTAGATACCCTTGATAAGAATATTGATGTTTCTATAAGTGAGAATAATTGTTTCATGTCATTTAAAGAAAAATTCACCAAGGGCCAAGTGAAAGATGGAAACAAGCAATTCAACCAAAGACCATACAACATGAAGAATCTATAGCCCCCATATCCATATCTTAGTAGTAAAACAAAACAATTTTTTTTATGTAGGGTGTAATGACTGGTCTCTCTTTGCATATATTTTTTTTTAATTTTGCAATACATCAGAAGAAATTAATTATCAATATCAACCATGTGGTTCATATATCTTATCCATAATTTATTCTTCAAAAACATGCACAAATATATGAATAAAAATTTAGAACTTTAATGCAAAATAAATAGAAAAAAAATCGATAAATTTACAAATATTTTATTTTGATTACTTGCGTCATTTAGTACAATTTAAAAGTTTATTGGTAATGTCATGATGAAAAAAATTCGGGAACATTATAAACAAATGAAGACAATTGTTTAAAATTTATATCTAATCTACGGATACTTTGAAATCTACTGATAAACTAACGACTATATGATTTTATCTATTGTAGGAGTTACCTGTTCGTTAGCAAGGACTGGTACAAAGGAGGTCAGATTAATCTCACTGTAAACACATAAAACGCACAAGGGTGTGCGTCATCTACCACACTTTCCCAACTTCCCACTTTGTTCACGTCACGCCGTGACACATTGGAAGGCCCGCCAATTTAAAAATGCAAAATCACCTTCTCCAAATGTTTCTCCACAGTATCAACGATAACCCCAGCATGCTCGATATTCTCTTCTGCGAGTATTGTTAGCATATTTATGAGGGGTTTGCTGTTGACCGTAAGATCCGCCAAACTGGATGCATACTCCTCGGCAATTTCTTTTGACATCTTGCACGACGAACAAGTCCGTTGTTCTCAGCATAACAATCCTTCTTCAACAGCACATTACTGCAAAGAGAAAAACGAAGCTCAATGACTGTTACGTGGCTTTGATTTCATCCAACATGGCGAGAAATTTCATAAAAGGACACGTAGTGAACTTACGTTATCACTGATAACACGAAATATAGATAGTAATTTCACAACTATGCGGCGTAGCCACACGTACAAATTAAATACACATTATGGAAATAAAATCACGTAGAATATATTTCATTAGCAAATTGGCGCATTGAATTATCCGCAGAGAAACTGCCCGACTCGTAGCGTAGTTCTTCAGAGAATACAAAATGGCGGATCTGGATTAAATAGAAAAAAAAACCATAACCTAAAATGTTGTCATAGAGAAAAAATATTTAAATGAGGAATGCTTAAATCAAAAATTAAAAGAAAAAGCCTATAAAATAATTTAGGATATCCTATACAATCTTGAAGCAGTCAACTATGAATGAGAGAATTTGAAACTTGTCTTAATGAATATTTTTTATAACATTTTAGAACATTTACGCAATAAATTCAGTCTAACTATTTCACCTACTATATATCCGCACCCTGGATTTATTACATAACGGTTTTATTTTCACCGTTTTTTATGCTGATTTAAGGTAATTGCAATAATATATTATAGCGACTAAGAATAGTCGCTATAATATATCTTACAGCAGCGAAGCAGGGACTAACTCAGAAAAGCATCTGTACGATCGATCACTGAAACGAAGCTGAAGCGTAGATGTGCGCCGTCACTAGGCTCGCAACGAGTATGTGAAAGGGAGCCTTGGGTAAACTATAACACAAACAATATGCAGGAAAGTAGGCTGTAGTCAAATTCAAAATCTCTATGCAATGTAGGAGCATTAAACTCACTTTTTGAGTGTCAAAATTCTACTACCAGCTTGGAAAAACTCAGCGCGACATATTTTTTTAACATTTTTTGGACAGTGAGAATATGTTTACACTATATTTCAAACCAATTGAAGGGCCTGAAAATGTTTTGGAATTTAAATAATCATTTATATTATAATAGCCTCTAACACATATTCTTATTTATTACTTTTTTTAATTTAGCAATTGATACATTTTGAACGTTTACTGGATTCCCATAAAAGGCTTACTTACTCTACGCAGTCTAGTTGGGGGTAGGATATAATTTACGCTTTTTCCTGGTATTTACATCATGCGCATTACTATGTCTTGGGAATATTATCTTTATTTTTAAGGACATTAGAACATTCATAATATTTTTAAGCATGTACTGAGAAGCAACAGTCAATATCTCTTTAAACAATTACCTTAGTAATTCTTTGGACCCACGTTATAATCTGCTCGAATAGCTCTCTTTTTGAGAGTATATTTTAATGGACCAGTAAGATTGTATTATTTTGGCCGCGTTATCCCAAAGTAGAATGCCGTAAGACATTAAAAAGTGGAAATCATTAAATATATTAAGCGAGCCGTATCTATAAACTACATCAATCAAGTGTCTTATTTTGTTAACCGCGAAAGCTGCCGAGTCTTCTCACCGGCTTATTAATATGGAGGCCCCATTGCAGTTTCGATAGTTAAAGATGCTAATCTATTTTAAAAAAATACTGGCCCAATAACTATCTCTCTCTTCTTGCTCGGTCCCTCTTTGCTGAGGATCGTGACCACATGATGTTCTCCTCCACTGTGTGCGGTCGTAGGCGGTGTGAACCGCGCGATGACCAATATCTATACGCCACAAATAGTCATAATGAGAGAGAAAAGTAAATAAAGTGATCGTGTTATATTATCTAGAAAATCATGTTTTGTTCTGAAGATTGCTGTGGAATGTAAGTGGAAGAAAATATTCGACATCTTTGCTGTATCATAGAAGCATTTATTATACTTTTAAGCAAATATTTGACTCTGTGCCGGATTCGATTATCAAAAAAATATCGTTTTTGATACGATTTCGATATTGAATATTTTACATTGACATATCGGAAATATATTGGCTAAGAATATATCGATATTTTTTGTGCAACTCTATGAGTTTGCGGGATTGACAAGGTTGACATTGGCCTAAAGGTTCTTGATACCGGGCCATAAAATAAAAAAAAAAAAAACAAGATTGACAGTTTGACACTGACACTTGGCAACTTGTATAGGCCAAGTAGGTAGTTTTTAAATTGAAATACATTTTATACACACGACATAAGTTATCATGGCTAATGTTCATACTGGTGAACTATTGAACTTTCAAGATTATTCTCCGGAACATAATGATCGCAGCGCGCGAATCGAAGTTGAAGCCGTACATACAAATCAATACAACAACATGACAAATCCAAATTATGGTTTTGAAGAGCCTAAAAACGTCGAAGAACCGCAGGCAGTGCCACAAAGTTAGTTCAAACGTATAATTTATATACATGTTTAGGATTAGAGTAAAATTTGAAACAATGTTAAATGAAAATAGCAGTCTGTAGCTCACATATAACACTGGTAGCATAACTTAACGAAACCCTTGTTGCAAATGTTCACACATATAGCAACACTACAAGCACTTAGAACTTACCTTTACACTATAATTTTTATTTACAGTTAGCAAGAATTATTGACTCTCAATTGTATAGGTCATGAAATACTGAACTAAACTGTGTTGTGTCACCATTGCAACAAGTATTTTTCACACTTATTTGTAGTCATTTGTGAACAGAGTTGGAGAAAACTTAGGCTTTGCTTTAGTATATGGTTGCACGATTTTCATTATAATTTTAAAAAGTAGGTAATAGATTAATGAAGTAAATGCTCATAGGATTTTCTGCAGAAACTTATAGTTTTCAAGAAATTATTTTTTAAACTTTTATAGGTTCACTGCTAGGAATTGTATAGAAACAACAGTATTGTTTCGGCTTTTTGCTTAAGAGATTTACATAACACCATTCTAAAGCATTAGAAAGAGTATTTTTGGCTGTTTATGGTAATATTTTACCTATAAAATAAGAGAACACAGAAAAAGAAAATGTAACAGTAATTTTTAATGGTCTTAATGGAGTTCACCACTTCCCCTCCTCACCCCATTACTATGCATGTTACCTGTTTTACATTTACATCAATCTAATACTTTTTGTATTTCTAGAACAATAAAAAAACAATTATAGTAGTAGTACTTATTACCTTTATACATCTTCAGCAGGAAACCATAACTTTTGGACCATTGAATACTATCAGAAATACTTTGATGTCCATACCCATGAGGTGGTAGAAAGGATTATTTCATCCGTTTTACCACAGAAGGTGTCACGTAATTATTTTGATGAAAGGATCAAGGGAAAACCTGACTTGTACGGACCAATTTGGATATCTGTTACTTTAGTAAGAGTTCTATTTTGCTTTTTTTAGATATTAAGACAAATTGATAGTTTTCTTATATCTCTCACAAACTAAGTATTGTTCAATTAAGAGATTGCTGTATACCAGGCACAAATGCTGGACTATGATTTTAGCACTTAGCAACTGGAAAGATGGGAAAATCAACGGTATACACTGCTTGGATTTGAATCCTCTAGTTTAATATCCTCATGTTTTTGTTCTAGCTACAAGGATATCACTGTGATTCATTCATTTTTATGAATGAATACACCATTCCTTCATTCATAGTTGACATAATTTACAACATATCATTAACATTTGCAGAAAGTTATGTATTAGACAATGAATTTCTCTAATTATAGATTATATAAAAAATATGTAGTCCCATTTGTATAGTTTATTTTCAGATTTGTGCATAAAAATGTTTCTCACCAAATTTCTTATCTTGAAAATTGTGTATGATAATGAAAACAGGAAAAGGCAATTAAGATTATAGTTGTTTTTGAGGTTCAGTTATTTTTATTTAGATAAAAATTCACAAATTAGGGCATATTTTATCCTACTTGGCTGATTTTATTTGTTTATCTGACTTAAGTGAAAATTACTATTTCAGATCTTCACAATTGCGGTGAGCGGCAACATTGCAAACTATCTTCAGAGTGCAAACAAGGCAGTGCACTGGCGTTATGACTTCCACCTGGTGTCATATGCAGCGACAGCCATAGTATGCTACGTATGGTTGGTGCCCCTAGCATTATGGACGGCACTTAAGTGGACAACGGTACCAGAGGGACAGGACGAAATTGAGACACAGGTGAGACTATCCTTTTATGATTATACTTGACACTACTCTGGGTATCCTATCATTTGTCAATCTCATTTCATGGCATGGCATCAATGGCATTTATGATTTTTTTAAATAAAATTAGTAGTAATAAAAGTAGTAGTAATATAATAAAAGTACACACTTGAAACATTCATGTGATTGCAGCCCATGAATGTTTCCATTATCTTTGAGGCTGCAAGTTCATCTAAAGTAATGTAAAAAGTTGTCTGTCTGTGCCTGTGACCATGAACGCTGGAAAGGGTTTGGGAATTATAAAATCATAATTAAAACGCGATAAAATCTGTAAACAGTTAGTTTCATTTCATATGTATAATATTTGCGTTAAATCAAGAAATCAATATGTAAAGAAAGTTGGCAAACGAAAATGCGGTTCACCTGATGTTAACTGATTGCCGCCGCCCATATATATCTACAACAGCTGGCGGGTTGCAGATGTTGCCGATCTAATCAAAAGTTGGCCCAAGTTTACCTCACCCACCAGACGAAATGTTAAAGTATAATTACTTCCTCTTCACACCTGTCTTCCGTAAGGCCACAATACCTCCCCTGACGAGCCTGCCATTCATACAACAGAAACTGTTATGTCGCCCTACAACAGGAAAATAGTACATTTGAATTAAAAGTCGTAAGTCATTGATAGGAGTGGTAGGTTGCTGTGTTCAAGTTAGGGATGGTCGATGATCATCGATGTTGAGTATAAAACATCGATGTTTTTACATCGATGTTGCTATACGGAAAATATCGTGACATCGATGTTAACGGAATCGATCATCGATGAGGCCGTGAGTTAGGCCTCACGCACGACCAACGCAACTTACGAAACAAATTATGTCTTCTGTGAACGAATCCACAAAAGCTTTATTAAAGTTCTGAACGTGTATTAATTCACTGCGTACCGGTCGATCCCTTCTTTCGTTCTTCGTAGTCTCGCTCGCTCTTTCTCTCTCACACTTCCATTCGTTTGTTGATAAAATTTTATGTTGTGCGCGTGCGTCCCCTTTTTTAATTTACTCATTAGATATTATGGTACCGTTGTGCATCTAAAATTACATGGAATACAACAATAATTTGTAAGTTGTTATTGATTGACTTCTAAATGTTGAATTCATCTGTTTTCTTTCTGTGCATGCTTAACAAAATCGTTCTTTAATAAGTTATAAATGCTGTAGACAATTTATCTCACTTTTTTGTACAGCTGTGGTGTGGAATGTGGGTGCTTGGGGTTTTAGTTGTATTAAAATTTTTATATTGAGTTGATATAATATTTAATTTACGCTTTTGGGAGTTCGAATCATTTCAATGTATTTTATTTCTTTGTCAATTACTATTAATGCAAAAATCATCGATGTTGTCCAACATCGATTATCGGTTTTCGATAAATATCGAACATCGATGCTGGGCTTCCGATTATGACATCAATGTCAACATGGATGATTTTCTAATATCGACCATCCCTAGTTCAAGTTTATGTGATGCAAAGTTTAATTTCAATCAGATTTTTGATTCTGCTTGCATAGATGTTTCCTTGCTATTGCACTAACAACTTTAGTCTATATTTACTTAACAATGAAAAAGTTAAAAGTGATGTCAATTTTATATGAATTATATTTGAAGTTGTCTAAGACCATATGGTATGGTATGCAGAACTGGTAGGAGCGGATTGGGTTAGGAGTGTTAGTATTGTACCGAATGATGTTACTGGATCAGAGGGATTGCAACCCCTCCAATCCACCACCCAGGCACCAGGATACCAAACTGAATAAACTTGGCCAGATGAGGTTTATGGAAACGTCTTCTCGTGGCTAAAAGTGTATTCTTGAGTGACATTTTATTGCTCCATTTTTATTCATTCCTCCGTTAGGAACTGTCAACAATGTCAAATTCAAACACTCAACAGTTGTCACTCTTCAGGATTGGTGGACTATGCTTAAGACAGTTGCGAATTACTGATTAGACCAATAAAAGTATAGTACTCAGATTTTACCCAGCAAATAGTGGTAAAAATATAATCAACACATTTAAAAAAAATATGTTTTGTTAGAAATATGTAAGGTGCATTATTGCAATTTTCCTTTCTTGAGGTATATTGTAAACAGTTATTCACTTTTCATTTCAGCAATCAACTTCACCAACAATGATGTCACTGTTTTGTCTCTACGGATACTCCCTGTCCATCTACATCCCGGTGGCAGTTTTCTGGACGATCCAAGTTTCCTGGTTGCAGTGGCTTTTCGTTCTGATGGCGGCTTTTGTGTCGGGGGCCGTGCTGATCTTTTGGCTGCTGCCCGCGTTGAGGAAGTCAAGATATTTTCCGATACTGGTCGGCTCCATACTGGCATTCCACTTCCTCCTGGCGGCCGGTTTCATGCTTTACTTTTTCCACGTACCCGACACTGTTGAAGCAAGTCCGGCCGTAGCGAGCAGTTCGACACTGAAAAGTGTGAACTAAAGACACCTAGTTCTGATATTTCTTATTCATAAGATTATATGTATTTGTTATCATTCCTTAATGCTGTCTAAATAGGAGTTACGCCATGTGTGTATTAAGTAATGAAGTAAGTTTTTTTTATGGAACTCTCACCATATGCATGTATTATCATAGTCATAGAACGAAACTATAATTTCAAAGTAAACGATAAAAACATTTGCACATACGATTAGTTAATTATTTACACTATTTTTTTTGTCAATTTTAACATATACGAATGTGTCCGTATCAGGTGTTATATTTTGTTTCAAGTATTTACTCCATGTATTTTTCCTGTGAAATTATAATGAATAAAAGTAAGTGGCCCATATTGTTTGTGCTTAAGATAAGTTAAATTCGTGATCACTATTTTGCTTACATATAGTTATTAAAGAAACTGAATATAGTCTTTGATTACATTGTCTATCCGTCGACGCCCTAAATAATTATGACAGTTAATGCCATATAACGAGTATTTCACTCTGTGACAATATATAGGTTCTCTTTCTACCTAGTTGATAGTATCAGGGATCTCTGTGGGAGGAATTGATAACCAACGGAAAACAGTCAAAATAAATAATTTATTGTGAATATGTACAGTTGCAGAGTTGATTTATTAATACCCAAGGGCCAAAAGGTTCAATCGGCAGCCAGAAATGTGTGGAAGCTGCTCAGCCAGGGTTGTCTTCGAGGCGAGGTGGCGCAGCCCCCCGCCTCTCCTTCATGCCCCGAGGAGCCCTCGGCCGTCTGCCACGCGCTTGCAACTTCTGCCACCATATTGCCTGCGAGGAAGCCCCGTTTCTTATAAGAGAAAGAGGTGAACCACTTCACTTGGCTCGCTCAAATGACAGCGGACAGCAGTTTTATAGGTCTCGACTACCCTCCCTCGGGTATTGGATCGGTCTCTTGGGCCATTGGATGATGGTTCGATCTCCGCTACTAGAGAAATATTGTTTCTCCACATGCAGTTTATTGCGAAAAAATGGTGTTTAAGTACGTTTAAGTTATCGTTAGTATTTATATATGAAAACTCACTATGTAATTCGTCGAGTGGGAAGGTACGTAGAATTTCACAAAACTCGATGAGGTGTCCCTCGTTGTAGCCCAGCAGTGGGCAAAGCTCCGTGTCGCGGAGCGCGCACTGGTACAGCAGCTGCAACCCGCCGCGGCACACAGATAGCAGCTTCGAATCCGTGTCTATGAAAACCGATATTTGTCATTCTCATATCTCTTACTTTATTTTAAAATGTTGTCTATTCAACAGCTTCCATTCACCAATCTGAAAATATCAAACTAATTGAATAAACTTGAGAAAAATTATTATAATTTGGAGAAAAATTATTAAATTATAGCCAAAGCATTAATTTAATTATTTAATGTTTTATTTGATTTATATACAAAAAAAAATAGTTTTTACTCATTTAATATTGCTCAGTAGATAAACCTTTGTACCTAATGTTATATTGAGTTTCATTGTGTATGCTGTGTCTGCTATGTATAGAATGCAATCATTTTTTTTTCTGTGTATATTTCTTTTTTAAACATGCTAGATTGTATTCAGTTAAGCAGACTTAATAAACTAAAAAAAAAAGCACGAATCCCGAAGACGTGGGCGATTCCCACAGCGGCGAAAAACTTCATATTTTTTTCTACATTTATTATATTTTAATTAAATTTTATGAATGACATGAATGACGAATTTCGACCAAATGGTGACAACTAGTGTGTGATTAATATATAACGTCTCACCAGAGGCCGACTGTTGCTGCTGGCCACGCGTGGCAGTTGTGGCAAATATAGCACACAGGCGAAGCGCCGCGACTGCCACCTGCAACAGCGCTCGCCAGCAGCCGCACCTGCCACAACCAAATCTTCCATCAGCATATAAAACTCTCCGTTTTGTTTGATGGATCGGTTGCTGTTGATGTCTACTCATTGGTGTGATTGATTTTCTTTCCATGACTTAGTTTCTTTCAATTCTCGAACGTTAAATAATCTTGATTTTTATTTGCATCCCATATTAAGGGATTCTGGGGGGGGGGGGGGGGGGGGGGGGGGGGGGGGGGGACTTATGAATATTTTTTTATGTGAGAAGTTGGCAGGCGCCGCCCATGGATATTTGCAACGCCTGTAGAGTTATAGATGCATTGCCACTTTTTAATAAAGTGGGCCCCGGCTACCTCACTCACCAGGAAGTATGTACAACTTCACGCCAGCTTCAGCAAAGTCGTGGTACTTAACCGGACGAACTTGCTTCTTCGTGCAACAGAATATTGTCGCGTGGCTCTACCACAGTATTAATAACGGAGTAACTGAAATCTCATAAATTAATAATAAGTTTTTCTTTTGTATATTACATTATAAAGTATCTGCCACACGGCCACATTAAGAATCGGTGCACTAATGATATACCTCGACTTCTCCTGTCCGTCGGTCGAGTTCACGTTAAGGTCGGCACAGAAGAGGACCAGATCCCTAGTAAGAGTGACAGCTTGCTCTTTCAACTTCTGCCTTTCGATACACCTTAAAGCAGACTCTATTTGCTTCATCAGCACTTGCAGGAAGCAGGAATCTGTGATGAGGCATACGGAGATTAACATTTAATGCTCTTTGGGCGAATTATCATAGAGAGGTATTTGTATCAACTATCAAGTATCCGGCTCAAAGGACCAATTTTTATTTTATTTTATAGTGAAAGTGTCAAACGAGCTGGCGGTTCCCCTGATATTAAGTGATGACCGTCGCCCATGGACATTTGCAACACCAGTAGGTTTGCAGTTGCGTTTCTACCTTTTAATAGACTTGAATAGTGGGCCCCGGCTACCTCAATCACCAGACGAAAAGCAGAAGTATAACACTACTACTTCATGTCGGTCTTCTGTGAGGTCGTGGTACATACCCGGACAGAGTGTTTTCGCTTTTGCAAGAATGGGCAGGCCATTCTTGCCAAAGCGAACACTGTTGACAGACCTGCTGTGGTAGGCAGAAGAAATATTCTTACGGCGACTGAACAGAGTAATAAGCACGCCCTTACTTATTGAGTGTATATTTCATTTAAAACCATGATACCTCAGTCCGGACGCTCGTTTTTCAATACCCAATAGTCAGGTAACCTACGTATTTTCGAAATAACAGCGAAAAAATGTATTTAGAAAATACAGGAAGTCTGTCAATCCACAATGGGGTCGCATGGTGGGCTATTCCCTTAGACCCTCTGTAGAGAGGAGGTCTTTGCCCACCAGTGAGACATACTGCCCTTACTGTACGACAACATTATCCTGTATTGTGAGGATGTTTCGCATACGTAAATATATAACGGGAACAGAAACAATTAGCTGTGGGTCACACAAATACTTGTCTCATGTCGGGATTGAACCCAAGGCCTTCAGCACCACGGAGTCATCAATAGCTCACCGTTCTTATAGAGGAGGACGCCTTGCTCGTAGTCCAGCCTGAGGTCACCCGAGTGGGTTCCGCTGCAGAAACCCTGCAAGAGGTTGACCTTAGGGGGCTCCCCCGAAGGGCTGACCCTGGACGTTGCCACCCTCCTCAGCAGCCGCAAGGCCTCGCATGCCACGGGCAGCATCGGCCTGGCCTTGACTGTCGATTTTATCGCCTCGAGTATAAGGCCGCTTTTCGTATGCATCCAGCTCAGAAATCTATCCAACAGCTTTAGCAGAGACGTCAGCAGCCCACTGTAGAGTACCGCGCATGACTGAAAGTGATTCCATTAAATTGTATCGTATTAGAGATAGGCAGTATATGTACTGACGAAATAAAATTATGCAAACAATACAAAGTAAAGGATTTGAACGTATAAGTTGTGGTTGTGAAGTAGTTGTGGTAGAAAAAGTTAAAGCATAGAAATTCAAGAGCGGGATTGTAACAACAGGTTTGATCACGTAGGTGACAGGCCTGTCACCTTTCATGAATGTAGCCGTAGTTGAATGACTGCCCCTTCGTGGAAAGTATCACGGCTTTATAAAATATGATACTAATAAAAGTGAAAGTTTATATTTTTTTTCATTTCGTCTGTGAGTGAGGTATCCTTATCCATGCTAATGTTGGCAATTCAACTGAAACCTCACTTGATGCAGTCTACCAGTAGAAGTATTAAATTCTATGAACTATACAGCGTGTCGTTACCATCGCGACAATAAATGAACACACGTCTAACGCTACTTGCCAATAATCATAAAAAATATTAACGTTAAAAAAATCCATAATTAAAAAAAAATATTTTTCAAACAAACTTATTAAGTAAAAAAGAAACAATATTTGTAACATCCTATACACCTACAACTGACTGATTCATACATTCAGAGACTTTTTCATTTGTTGCCACAGCGTCGGATTACAAGCCTCTCCTTCTAACAGTACGTTTTGTCTCTTTTAAATTCATTCAACCCATTCATATGCTTTGTGACCTTTACAAATGAACCTTACGTTACGCTTTTATAGGTAAGGGTGTTCTAAAATTTTTTGTTTTGGAAAATTTAATAACTCGGTAAATATGGATGTTTAAAGAATGTTAATATTTAATATAATTTTAAAAAGTTATCCTCTATATGTGTGTTTATTTATTGTCGCGATTGTAAAGACACGCTGTATAAATCTTGGGCCCCTAAAGATTTATACTTGAATACAAAGGTGACAACCCTGTCACCTATGTATTCTGCTTCTGAATTTTTATGTTTTAGTTGTTAAATATATAACTTTTACACATACAGCTAACAAGGCTACCACAATGATGAATGCATGTAAGAATTATATTTATTGACATAGATATAGTGACAAGATGTTGGTAGTATGCAATATAATTAGTAATGAACATTTTGACGAAATTAGCTTACCGTTTTATCAATTAAAACACATATACTGGTAATAATTTCGATGAAGGAATAATTTTGACTGGATGAAGTGATATTATGTTCCTGTTCGCTTAATATCTCCGCTGCTCTAGAATTTTCTAGAACGTGAGACATTGTTGCTACAACTCTCCTTGCCGTTATTGCTTGCTCCTCTCTGTACAGCGGTCTAGAATTTAAAAAGTCCATCTTATAAAAAACTTTGGCCATTGCTTTTTATTATGTAAGATGGCAAGCAAGGTAGCCATTCAGGAGTCTATCATAGAAAACTCAAAAAGAAAAACGTTTAATTCAATAGAAACATGTGCCAATAAAATAATTTTTCTCCACCATTAACAAATATGGCGGACAATGCAAAAAAAAGTTAAATGCATAGATTAATAAGCATAAAAATACCTTGTTCATTTCTCTCATGAATAGGATGAAAAGGGAACGTACTTTCCTCTAATTAAATCTTCGTCGGACACGACGTTGAAATTCGACGTGGCCTCAATGTACTTCTCGTCCATTTCCCTATGGAAGGCGGTTGTTGTCCGAAAAGCCAATGTCTCGATTTCACCTTCAACTTCCTTTAAAGCAGATCTTGTTACTTTAAAAACCTGGAATGAGAATAATACACTTGACGTATGCAAATACAGGGAGATTTTTTGAGAAGTGCCCAAATTGTACCCTGATGTTTTTGAAAAAGAGCAACTGTTGAGTTTCTTGCCGGTCTCTTCTCAACAGAAACCGCTTTCCGAACCGGTGGTACCTTACGAACCTATATACTCGTACATAATCTTTGATGTAAATTTGACGATTCATAAGAGCGCGCAAGCGTCTATTTGAATAAATATATTTTTGATTTTGATTTTGATTTACACAGGTGGTTCAGACTCGGTAGTATAATCGTTTATTGAAATAAAAAACAGTTTTTTTTCCAAAAAAAAATGGCATTCTATTCCCTAAAAAACAGAACGTGTTGACAATCTGGTACTCATTCATAAATACCTAAATTTTAGTGCGTGTTAGTTATGAATGATCGCGCGTAAAATAAATGAGTTGCGTATAAATCACGCACTTTCTGGGACAAGTTCAAACGAATGTAATTAATTACTTAAGAGTGATTTCAAATGTTTATAATTTTTTATATAACATTATTTATGTCTAGAATTAAATAAAAAAAATGGATACACTTTTAACATTACATACTTAAACATACATTTCTTTTGTAAATAAATACATATTATACATGTAGAAACACCCAGACACTAGAAAAACACCATGTTCATCACACAATATTTTTCCAGTAGTGGGGATCGAACCCACACCCTCTGGCGCAGGAGGCAGGTACACTACCCACTACGCCATTCGGGTCAATCTTAGAAAAGCCACCCTGTATAGTACATGTTTATAGTATATAAATTAATAAAAAGTATATATAGATGGAATTACCCATTATATCTGTCACTTTATCTACCTTTTGCTTTGTATAGTTTGATGTTAACTTACATTTAAATAACTCTGTATACCTTCTTGCGTTCCTCGGTCTGCTGCTATAATTGCCAAATCCTCATGGATGTCATTCAATGAAACTTTCTTTGTGGTGCCTGTTTTAGTTACATTTGGAGTGTTCGGTATCCTATGAAAGGTGCTGAAAACTTTGCAGCCATTCGGAATGTCTGCAGTCCTTTGCAGTTTCTCATTATAATCTAATAGGGAATGTTGATCTATGGTGGGTTCTATAGTGAGGGGTAGGATTTGAATTAATTTCTTTTGTTCTGAAAAAATAAAAAATAAATACCGTATAAGATAGCCTTTATATTTACCAGAAATTTTTTGATTAGTATAATGAACACTTAATAGTAATACATATTGTCACTGGAAAGGCAAAATTACTTTACCGCCATATAAATGTTTGGCGTTTAAGTAATTTTGCCTTTTCAGTGACATATTATAATTATATTTTACTTAGTTTTCATAATTTAACTCACCACTTCTCCAAACTAAATTCACTTGATAATAATATGCTTTATTTTGATTTTCAGTCTGAATATGTTTAGATGCACTATTCAATTTTTTTAAACGCAGGGATGATGTTGAATCACCATCCCTGCTATATGCAATACTGCTATTATGTTTATGACTGAAAGTTAAATTGGATTAATACATTAGAATTTTGCAATCATTTGGAATAAAAAGTATTGTGGAAAGTTTTGTTCTACTTCCATTATAAGTTAAGTAACAGCTTCAAGGATAAATGGGAATGATGAAGTTAGTTTATATTAAATGGTTGTCATTTGTGATAAAATTAACTGCAAAAATAAAATCTATTTGTCTTTTCCAATAAGATTTATAAGGTTTCAATTACCTTGTTGTAATATCATTTTTAGCTACGGTCACTTGTGTCAGTTTCACTTTTGATGATTCCAGCATCCTGCATTTCTCTTTGATACTTGTTATTTCCAGATTCTGTAAGAAATAAAAAAAATTTAGATAAGAGAGTTTATAATTTATATAATTATAATTTATTATCAATAAATATTTTGAAGTCCTGACTAAATGCTATAAACTCAAGAACAAGGGCTTTTGTTCATTTATATGCAAAAATTTACAATTTAAAGTTTAATCTTGATTGCAAAGACGAGCACTTCAACAGCCATTCATTGATTCTTACTATTAATTATGGCATACTTATTGAAATTTTTACGTTTTTATGATTATTGGCAAGTAGAGTTAGATGTTTGTTCATTTATTGTTGCGGTTGTAAAGACATGCGGTATAGTGGATGTGACAACCCAATTGGCATAGTGGATAGTGGACATACCTCTTATGCCAGAGATTGTGGGTTCAATCCCCAATACTGGAAAAATATTGAATGATGAACATGGTGTTTTTCCAGTGTCTGGGTTTTTTAAATAGTTATTGTTGCATGTATAATATCATTTATTTAAAAAAGAAAAGTATATTTAAGTATGTTTATCATTTATCCAGTACAAGCATTGTTTAGTTTGGGACTAGAGAATAGTTCGCAAAAATGTGTCCTAAAATATTTATTTATTAATTTATAGTGAGCCATAGTTAACCATATGTGAATGTGTTGTTACCTTAAAATCCAACTGTGTCATTAAATCTTGCAACTGGTTGTTGGCAGCAGTTAATTTGTCAGTCCATTCCATTTGCACCCTCTCCTGCACCTTGATTTTCTCTAAGCGCGCATTATCAGCAGCGGCCTGACTTGTTTTGAGCTGAGTGCGTAGTATAGATACTTCGCCTTCTTTAGTAACACATTTTTCTAATAATTTTCCATTCTCAGATTTAAGCTTTGAGTTTTCTTCTTGCAGCTGCAACAACTGACGGTATACATAGTCAGCTTCTCCTTTGTGTATCTTGTCATTAAAAATCATGTCTTCAACCAAATCCCCTTGGTTAGTTTTCTGTATAACTTTTGACATACCCGGCAATGGTGAGGAAATAAGTTCACATTTATCTTTTAACTTTGTTGAAATAACATTTAATGCACTTGTCGTCGGTTTTTTGAACGAGAAGCTGCTTTTTGAAGTGCTAGGTACTGGATCACAAATTTGTGTACTGGTTTGCATAGATGAAGGTTGCATACAAAAGCTGTAATCTGGTAAAATACTATTACTATCACTGTATGCTTGCTCACAGGCTTGGCTGGCTAATAGTAATATTTCATCGTCGTTATCATCTCCCCAATTTGCTGCATGGTTGTCATCTGCAAAATACTTTGATGTTAATGAAAGTATAGCATATTCAGTAGATTGTAACATATAAATATAAAATATAAATAATGCGTTGAATTTAACGGTGGCTATTTTATTTATGTTACAATAAACATATACTATGGTTTTAGTTAATTTGTATTCTCATTCTCATGATAATATCAAAAAAATAAGACTTTTATTTACTTTTGAGTTTATCATTATTTTGACTCAATGGGAAGTTATGGTCTGATATTGTTACGTTCAATTTAGCTTTTTTTCTTTCTCCGTGTTGTTGCGGATAGTAAGATCTTTTAGACATCGTAGATTATTTTAAATAAAATAAATTTTGGCGCTGATCAAAACATAAAACCAAAACAACAGCTGTCAAACTCAAGTGTCAGGCTGTCAAGTTATTGCCATAAAGATATTTTTTTTTCCTTTCGCTCATGGCGCTCATGGCGGTATGGTCGAAAGATATAGACTATAGTCTTTCGACCATACCGCCTAATCTTTCGAAGAATTTTTCCTTTAATTATATATTAAGTCCATTTATGTCTTTCGAAAAATGCCATAAAGATAACTTTACTCTTTGGATAATGTCAGCATTTCAGCAATGTCAGCACAGAATATTTATACTCTATGGATTATCAGTCAGCTAGACTATATGAGAAAAATGTATTGCCATCTCATAGATTAGAATGTAATGGAGACGAATAATCTTTTTCACCTCAATTTTATTTGATTCATACCATTTATTAAATCATGAACGTGAAGCTTACATTTAACTCAATTTATTTTCTGTTTTCTCTAGAAGTTTTTAATATTTTTTCATATTTTGCTTAACTATCTACCTAAAAATTTTAAATACAGTAAAGTTTTAGTTACAGAATTAAAAAAATGTCGATATAAAGTTACACGTTCTATTTCGTTTTTTTTATATTGAAACACTTACTTTCTATAACCATAAACTAAGAAAAGATGCGTAAAGTTTGTATTTTCTATAATAACTATTTCTCTCTGGTCTCTGGCTTAGTTCGTCGTGGAAAATTGGACGGAGCAGACGTACATCATGAGTGAAGTTTATAAACTTGGTGATTTAGTTTGGTATGTAGTAAAAAATATTTTAATTCAAACAATATTACTTAATTATTTTGATATTAATTAAAATAATCCTCTTCATGTTTGTTTCAGGGCAAAAATGAAGGGATTCAGCCCCTGGCCCGGCCGGGTAAGTCGTTTGATTTTCTTTAATTTCTAATAAAAAAATCTAACTTTTTCACTGTTTAAATCAAGCAATTACACAGTAAATCTTTCTCATTCCCAACTTTTTTAAGAACAACTGCAAATATCTAGTATTTGTTTTGCGATGTTATTAGCGGGAAAATTTTGGTTACGTTAATAATGATGCTATGATCGAAACTTAAACAGTTATTTTGTTTGTGCTTAATTTAGATGATAGGCTGTTAGCTAGGCTTATTGGGATTTTAATAAAATACAAACTCGCGGTAATTTCTCATTCCAAAAATTGTACATGTTGTTACTTTCCCACCTAACCGCTATCGAAATGTTAGAAAGGGACAAACTTATGTTTTGTAAAGTTGCACACTTACTAATGTTGTATGACGATGGTTTTCAGGTAGCCATCCCAACACCAGAGCTGAAGCCCCCCAAGAAGGCAACTAATGTTCAGTGCATTTATTTCTTTGGGACTAATAATTAGTAAGTAAAATTCAATTGCAATATAATGAGTCTAATAGGTATTTACGGAGAAACTAAGGCTGGATTTTTAAAATATTTCTTTAGAGTAAGTGAAAATAGGCCTTAAATTTAGTTTTAAATTAAAATAATAAATTTAATAATGACTCAAAATTAAAATATCATAATATATGAATTTTGTAAGTTACATAAATTTATAATTCTATTTGCTTCTTTTCATTTTCATTTAATTATCTTAGGTATAATATGTTATAATTTCTCTAAAACATTAAATGTATTTTATATCCAGTTTTATGAATTATACAATGATATTCAATACAAAATTATAGCCTGTGTTACCACACAATAGTTTTCACTGTATTATGAATGAATGTGGCAGTCCAGAGGAGTACCACAACCTTACAGAAGACCAGCATGAAGTGGAAATGTTATACATTGTGATTTCTTTGGTGAATGAGGTAGCCAGGGCCAGGTGTTGCAAATGTGTAATGGGCAGTGGTTATCACTTAACATCAGGTGAACTGCCAGCTCGCTTGCCACCATCTCACGTAAACTAAATGGGCATTCATACCATCCATGCTAGTAATTATTAAGTTCAATGTTACTAGTAATTTTAACTGTTACTGTTTGATTTAATGCATTTGTATCATGAAAGTTTGTACTGATATCTAGAGCTGTTTGCAACTGTTTGAAGATGTGGTTTGTAATATAATTTTTTTAGGTGCACTATTCAAACCATTTTGTTCCTAAGCCACACAATATTCTGGTTCTGTAGTTGGCTGTTTATATGTATATTTTAAAGAATTAAAGATATTTGTAAAAAGCTTTTATATGCTTTCATATGCAGCATTTAATTCTTTAAATATAAATATAATAATCACATTGGATACAGCTGACACAAGATGTAGCTGAAGCTAGATCTTTATAATATAATATTTATATTTATAATCATATGTACAGTATTAAATCTAATTAAATTACTTATTTAATAAACCTAGTTCATGCCAAATGGTACCAGGAACACTAGCTGCATTTTCTCGCTGAATAGTTATGCTTACCTTTGAGCGATAAAAACCATTCATCTTATCACTAGACATCGGATTATATGCACTGTCAAAGTGCCAAAATATGCATGCAAATATGCGCTTTAAAAGGACGAAATATATGCACAAAATATGCATATTGAAAATACTGTTTATTATCTGAATTCATATTTTTTTTAAATTAACATTTGTAATATTGGTCATATTTGCATATTATGTATAATTTTTTCATATTTGTTTGTAATTTAATTATTAATATTTATTTTTTAAAGCCGAAACTTAAAATAAGTACTATTTTCGTCGCCATTTCTGCACAAACCGCTCCAGGCAGAGTTCGACTGGTGCAGTTATTTAAATGCAGATAATTAAAGCATTAGCTTCGTTCATTTATTCAAACTTGGGATTTTATATAGAATTGCATTTAATTTGCCACAGATCTTTTCGATAATGTACTCGGTGTGTTATTCTGTTAAATATTAAATATTTTTTCCCAATATTTCCTACGACGTCACTGGCGGCTCTCCACCGTTCCCGCATAATGCAACACGCCTGTCACATTTAACTTCTTAAATAAATACTATTTATAAAAATGTACTAAAATATGCAAGAATGCTGCAAATATAGTTTTATACATTTGTTTATGCTAACATTCCAATGTAATCCGATGTCTACTTATCGTAACTCAGCCTCTACCTTAGGTAAATCTAGGATGTAAACCTTTCAAAAATTTCGATGTTTTGGGGACATAGTGTTTACAGCAAATACAAATTCACAATCTGAACAAACAGCCACATACGCGCTAACTTCAGCAGCCTCTAATTCTGCTCTAGTCCTGGCTGAAGTGTAAGAATTAAGATTAGATGACTCTGTTTGACGTCAACCCTACCAAGGAGGGTTGGCGTCATGGTGTTGGTCATGTTGTGCCGACCTTCCTGGGTGGGATAAGGGAAGGAGGATGATGATGACTCTGTTTATTGCTATCTATGTGATATACATGTTTTTTTTTAATTTTCTCCCAAGGCGGGTGACAAAAGACATACATTTGATAACGCAATTTCTACAAATTTTAATACAATTTTCTTTATGTAATAATGCTGTATTGAATGATAGATTTTTCACGTTTGTTTTAATACTATTTAAAATATGCTATGAAATGGAATCCTATGAGAGTAATTTAGTTTATCATTATTTAAGTCCGTTGTAGTCCACTGATGGGCGTAGAATTAATTTTTCATGAATCTAAAATGAATTAAAATTTGTGTATGTCATTAATTTATCTCTAGTAAATTATAAATTAAATTTTACAGTCCTTTTCCCGAAATATTACCCAGACTAGTACAAACATTGTACCTAGAATCGTGAGGAAACTGCATATTTTCGAAATAATAATAATAAAAATTTCGTGGATATGTGAAGTCCGCCAATCCGCAGTGGGGTTGCGTGGTGGACTATGCCCTGATACACTATTTTCAGAGGAGGCTTTTGCCCAGCAGTGGGACTGTTATTTTACTTTTACTTTACCGACATATCCTTGCAGGTGTAAGAAGTTAGTTCACATATAAATATATTAGTAGAGTTGATAATGTATAAAGCGGTATTCATAATAGATAAGAAACTATCGCATATAAAAATGTACTGGAATAACTACTGGAGTATAAAACAAAGTCGTCCTATTGTATGTCTGTCCCTATGTATGCTTAGAACGCAACGGATCTTGATACGGTTTTTTTACTAGATAGTGATTCAAGAGGAAGGTTTATATGTATAATAAGAAAGAAAGAGATTTATTTGACATAAAACAGTCTGACGTACCCAACAATCATTTAAAACAATAAAAATTAGACAAAAAAAAACATGAACGTAAAACTGCAGTATGCATAATATATTCCCTTTTCATTATAGTACGTCGCGATTCATTGCCAAAAAGGACATCACTCAGCAGAATTTTTCGCTTGAAAGTTTTGTATGATACACTAATAATAATAATAAATTTTTATACTGTTTACTCCATTTTGATATTTTTTTTGTCATTGTTTAATAATTTGAGAAAGGATAGAAAAACCGACCAAGTTTGAGTCGGACTCTGGCACGATAGGTTCCGTACCATTATCTATAAAAACGACAAAAAAAATCATGTTGCATGGGAGCCCTACTTAAATATTTTTTATTCTGTTTTTTAGTACTTGTTGTTTTAGCGGCAACAGAAATACATTATTCTGCGGTTCGTGCATTCGAACCCAACCAGAAACAAGCCTTCGATAGTGTCCTGCATGAGACTCTGGTCCGAAAACTACACCACTCAACCTTCTGGCGCCATACTTGATATCCGAAATTGTCGATACTAGAACATCTGGACCAGCGGTCTTAACGTCTTCGTTGTTCTGTATACTAATTCGATTCGATTGTATTAAAGAGTAAAAGAGCCTTTGATTAAATTTTATAATTGTCCATGCGTCTCTATTATACTTAAGAATGTGGCGGCTATAATGTGTTAAATTATTGACCGTACATTTTACACTTACAGCAAGACAAAGACTTTTACAAATATCTGATTTTCGTCGAACTGCCAAATAATAAAACTATACTATGTTTATAAAACACCTTTTGTTATACAGCGTACCGTTACCATCGCGACAATAAATAAACACATATATAGGGGATAACTTTTTAAAGTTGTATTAAACATTTAAATTCTTTAAACATCAATATTTACAGAGTTATTAAATTTTCTAAAACCAAAAATTTTAGAACACCCTTACCTGTAAAAGCGTAACGTAAAGTTCATTTGTAAAGGTCACAAAGCATATGAATGGGTTGAATGAATTTAAAAGAGACAAAACATACTGTTAGAAGGAGAGGCTTGTAATACAATACGACGCTGTGGCGCGAGTTGTATAGGATGTTACAAATTTTGTTTCTTTTTTACTTAATTAGTTTGTTTGAAAAAAAATTTTTTTAATTATGGATTTTGTTTAACGTTAATATTTTTTTATGACTATTGGCACGTAGCTTTAGACGTGTGTTCATTTATTGTCGCGATGGTAACGACACGCTGTATACTGCCTACTTAATATACTGCCCAATAACTTGACAAACATCAGATGTGTAGAGTTTAACGCGTGAAGATATGTATCTGATCTGTATGTTTATCCAGTTATCTTTGTACGCATTTTGAAGTCAATTATTCATAATGTGGATTATTTCTACGCCAGTGTTTTCCATGAATGACGTCACCAGCAGCGCCACTTTGGCTTTTTAAATGGTGCTTTGCGTGCGTGCAAAGGATTTTAAACACGAAATATTGGAAGTAATGAAACAATCATGATGTGGTTTTTTAGAAGTTGCTATCTTAACAAAGATTAATCTCAAGGAAAGTTCACAATTCTCGTTAAATTATGAATTTCCAATTCTGATTTTTAATTGATTGATTTAAACTGCTTAAACTTTATTAAATTTACACTGGGTTACCCTTGTCTTAGGTAACGAAGGACTAATTTACACGATTCATTAGGAATTCGAATCGCTTTAGCTGGTAGGTCTTGACAAATAAGAAAGAAGCATACTAAAGAAACATACTTATTATGTTTACTTACAACCCGCCCGGCTTCGCACGTGTTTAATGTATTATACATATAAACCTTCCTCTTGAATCACTATCCAGTAAAAAAAACCGCATCAAGATCCGTTGGGTAGATTAAAAGATCTAAGCATACATAGGGCCAGACAGCGGGACGACTTTGTTTTATACTATGTAGTGATGACATTGGTGCATTTGCACTGAACCTCCCGGGCAGGCATAAACCGGGCAGGCTAACATGTGTGGGGATCAGTTCATATTTCCACTCGTAAGTACCTATTGCAACACGATCCCACCACGTCCCTGATAACCCACGTGTGTGATTAGATCTTCAGATGTTTGTAACTGGACGTTAGTGCTCGCTATTAATATAAGTATTCTTT